ACCAATTTATAGTTATATCCTGAATATCATGATTTTCCTTTCACAATAGCCTTACTTTATTGATAATACCTCACTGGTTTCATCATTGTAAAGGAACAAAGACCAACAGAACAAACCTTACACAGGTGTAGAAATATATCTTTACAAAACCCAGTGAGCAGCACTTATAACTGTAGGTGATGCTAAAGCATTCAGCATTTTCAAGATGAAACAAAGAAATCTGGAATGTAGCAAAAAAAATTACAATAATACAGCAATCCTAAAAGAGATTATGACTCCTGAATATTTAGAAATTGACAATTGTTTTCTGTATAACTGCTGCAGCCTCTGACATTCATTTTGTCACCTGTCCTCATTTTGTAGGTCGTCCTACTTGAATGAGGTGAAAATGCATATAATTTTCAACTATTGAAGCACTGAAAATTTGTTCAGAATTATAGCCCACAAACGCCAATTGTCCATGAGGACCACCATCATTTGATCTTTCCTTGTCCTCTTCACAAATTAGTGGTCTCAGGCAGACACCATATATTGGTATGTGCTCTATGTCTTGTGCTAGTGGACGAGCATGAATTTCACAGACTGTTTTGATATCAAAGACTAAGGTACAGATTCCATAACCATTATCAGAAAATGACAATTTACACTGGCTTATCATAATCCTGTTCACAGTCAAATCAAGTCAATTGTTTGACACCTACACTGAAAACAGTAATACATGCGAACAATATGAAAACTAAAAGTAATACAATATAACATTATCAACAACTAAAACAGATATACTTGCAAGACAGTAACAAAACAAAAACATGTGCCAAAGTTAAATTAATTGTGATTAATTTCTTATTACAAATGTGCAGTAGTGATTCAACTGAATGAAGTGACAATCATCAATAATACTGACACTAGTTACTCTGGCTAAATAGTATTTGTTCCTGATTTGGGGTAAAACCATTCACCATAGTATTAATTCTAGTGACATTTTCATGAATATCATACAATTAGCTCAAAACAAATGCTTAGATGAGAACACTCTTACAAACATGAATAATATACATAATACAGTGTCAAGCAGCTGTCAATCAAATCGAGCCAAATCTTCTAAAAACTTTAGGGTTGGTTGTAATTTTGTTTGTCATGACTATCGTTCCACAGCATCACGTGTAGGTTTTTGTCATCATCTCACAACATAACAATCTTGCTGATTGCGTTAAGCATAGACGGAAACAACTGTCACTGAACAATCAATAACAGGGACGAAACACAATGGTGCTCATAAATATCATTACTAGAACTAATTCATATCCCGGCTGTATGAACATTACCACCAAATTATTTATCTTGCATGGATTACATATTAAGCTCAATGTCTGTTTATAGAACATTGCTATTAACAGTTCAAACTTTATTTATCACTCAATCCTATTCAAAGCACATAGTGCTTCCCTTACAGCAATATCTGTGATGAGTTAATTCAGAGCTGCCTTCGACTTCTCCCAACTCTATGTCATAAAGTTCCCATTTAAGTCACTAGTCCAAATAAATAATGTACACAAGTTTACAAAGTTGAGTGGGCCCTTTTGATGGTGGGGTATGGGGGGCCTCCCCTATGAAAATCTTTAGATTTAGCCTGGAAATATGCAATTTATGGGCATACTTAACCGGATAATTCATAACTGAAACGAACATATTTACTAAAATTGTTTCAAACATTCTAAATTTATAAACATATTTGTATTTTCTAAAAAAAATGATTTTTTTTATAGACAAATCGGAGTGTGGATTTTGTATTTGAAAATCGGAGTAACTCCTCCAAAATCGGAGTGGATGGCATCTCTGACACAGTGCAACTCGGATAATGTCGCAGTTTACATACGTGGGGAATCAAAGTGGGTTACAAAACATACAAGGGCAACCTCCACTAGATTCAAGTTCAGCACTACTGCCACTTCTCCAGAGATCTATATCAACATAGCCAGTAGTATCGACTTCTTAATATCATAGTCTGACAAGTCATTTGTATGGTTTGGGTGAATTTTGAACATTTGCTCAATGATTCAAACTGTCAAAAAATTTTTGACACTATACGTAATAATAGCCAATTAGCCCAAAGCTCATTTAGTGGTTTATACAATGTAACTAAACTAGTAGTGCATCCAGTGTTTTGCTTGTCACAGGACAATAGGACTTATCTGCTCCTGGACTTAGAAAAGACACAGTGCAGTTGGTAGGATTTAAACAGGTTTTGTATCCTTACATCTGCAGTGCATCTTAATGAGCATGTATCTGAACTTACATCAACACATAAAAAATTGGACATATATTACCATCTAATTTCATACACACTTTACAAGGCAATTTATGTGATGACAAAATATCATAAAAATATCTTTTCATTCATCTAGTTCTACACCTAATCTGATAATTCATACAATCTCTATATCTGTCCTCATCTATACACACACTCACTTCTACAAGACTCACTAACAGCGGCACACTTCAAATGAAAGCAGGGAACTTGTAATGAGTGAGTGAATGAGTTTGGTTTTATGCGGCTTTTAGCAATATTCCAGCAATATCACAGGAGGGGACACCTTAAAATGAGCTTCACACAATGTACCCATGTGGGGATTCGAACCCAGGTCTTCGGCGTGAAGAGCGAACGCTTTAACCACTAGGCTACCCCACCGCCCTACTTGTAATGAACAATACTGAGGCTAAACAGTTCCTTCCTAGGCACGTAAAGTATTTAAAAGTTGATGCCTCAAGATGTTCATCAATGTTTACATTTTTCGCATAACCCCAAAAACTGAATTCGGCTAAAATACTCTCCAAACAGTCAATTATTTTAAAACGAAAAATGCATTTATTTAATAATCAAACATGGTTATCGATATTAACTTGACTAGAACATTTTCAAAGAAAGAGTAAAACACTGATCTGATTAGAATATTCAATTTGCACCAGCATAACAGTAGTTTTGCGTAAATATATTCAAAGTTACACCTTTAAATGTTTCAAGTCTGGAACATCCGTACACAAGATTACAACAAACACATTAGTCAGGTGACTACTAGGATCATTTGATTAAATAAACAACCAATCTATTCAATACAACCTATTACATTTATGAAAAGTTACATAAACAAGAGATATATTATTCTAGCTTCAGGTATTTCATATTAACACTATGAAACAATAAGAACACCTTTTGAAGTTTACAGTTTGAATAAAGAAAAAAAATCAACAGTCATATCACTAAAGAGCCCTTCATTCCATAACATAAGCTTGGATTCTCCTGTGAAATGAGTGTGGGGATGTCATGACTGGTGTTACCATGGAAACAACAATATATACACACACAAAACACAAAGAACAAGGTAAGACAATTGCTGTTGGTGATGTGGACAAGTGCACCATGGTTTGGCTAAATATATCACATGTAAGTATTTTTGGTCATTGCTGACCACGAGACTACGATGACAAGACAAGAGTGTACTATCTGGTAAAACAAATTTCACAGCTGTCCTCCATGATTCCTGATGCTGGGAAAGTATGCATTTCAGGTGTTAATGGCTTATGTATGCTTGATAAGGGCCTGCACAACACTTAGAATGACCCTGACTATGTATTCCTAAAATTAGTGTTGCAGTGTATGGTGACTACATATACCATACACTGGTATATGCTTGATAAGGGCCTACAAAATACCTATAATAACCCTGAATATGTCTTAATATGTTGTATGTGCGTGTGTGTGTGTGGTAACATTACAGAGGACTCCAAGCAACATACTCTTTGCCCTTAGCACTCAACCTATGGGATATCACACATGATGGTAACTTGGTTACCTGTAAAAATAACAAGTTGCAGTCAAGTCGAAGGCTATAGTGTATCAACCCCTTCAACATGGCAGCCATTTTGTCAGTCAGTCAGACATGGCAGCCATATCGTCTCTCAGCCAGACATGGCAGCCATTTTGTCTGTCAGCCCGACATATTATCCATTTTGTCTCTCAGCCAGTCATGGCAGCCATGTTGTCGGTCAGCCAGACATGGCTGCAATTTTGTCTCTCAGCCAGACACAGCAGCCATTTTGTCTGTCAAGCAGACACAGCAGCCATTTTGTCTGTCAAGCAGACACGGCAGCCATTTTGTCTGTCAGCCAGACTCAGCTATACGACAGAAACAGGACTGATGTAGATCAAGAAACCTCTCATTCAGCAACCCTAGATTAGAGAGGAAACAATAAATAAGAATAACTTCAGTAAAGTCAATTGGTTGTTTCTGAATTCTAGAATCCAGAACCTGTTTTTTGATAAAAGTCAAGTGAAACAGGTATACTTGATCCTATAAGTTGTAACTTACATAGAGTACAGTTGTAGAAGTATTGCTTTGTGATGTACGGAAGGTGTTGTAAAGGTTACTGCTTGACAAGAAGCATTAATTTAAGACCACAAAAAGAATTCAACAAATTCATCTTATAAACGTTCTTAATCCAACTTTGAGGTTGGGACAGGTCAGATTACCTGAGATTGTTGAACTACAAGAACTGTGTGTAAGTTGAACAGGTGTTGCATCAGTTGTTGGGTTAATGACCCTTTGTAGACAGGACATAGCTTAAGCTATAAGTTTCCTGCTTGATTGGCATTTTAGAAGATGATATTTGATGAACATAGAGATTTTTCTGGGTTATATCTTCTTTTTATTTAGAATAAAAAGAAGATGTAACCCAGAAAAATCTCTATGTTTATAAGTTTCCTGTTTCATTTCCATGGTAACAGGGAAGATACTTGATGAAAATTCATCAAAATCTTTCCCAGTTACCATGGACTGACTGACTGAGTTTAGTTTTACGCCGCTTTTAGCAATATTCCAGCAATATGACGGCGGGGGAAACCAGAAATGGGCTTAACACATTGTGCCCATGTGGGGAATCGAACCCGGGTCTTCGGCGTGACGAGCCAACGCTTTAACCACTAGGCTACCCCACCGCCCCCGTTACCATGGAAATGAAACTGTGCTGATAGAATGATGGAAGGAGGTTCTAGCTTGCATCACCAGCAGTGATCCATGTTTCTTCCTATACCCTAATCACCAATGGCTAAGCACTCCCTTGTCTTGTCAGTGAATGAGTTATGTACAACTGATGACTGATAATGTACACGATTATTTTTCAAGGATGTCGAATGCTGGTCCGACTCGGATGAAGAATTTGCGTAGGATGGATCTCATTTCTTGCTTCAGGTCAAACATGATGGATTCACACAGGAACGGGTAATACTTGGATGCATGGACACGGAACTGCAGACAGAAGAAACACACAAGTCATTAAAGTGGAAGCTAATTACAAAATAAGCATACATTTTGTCCAAAATGAATCCAAATATTTAAAAAAACCTTTGTACTACCAATATCCATAGTGATGGGAAAACGCCCAACCAATTTACAGAACAGTCTCATCAAATTAACGTTTACTTTGCATAGATGAACTAGCACATTGAAGAAGGGCCATTGCCAAGGACTTTTGAAGCAGTTATGTAATAAGTGTTTCAAGGTCATTTGTCTAACCTTGGACAAGGATAAAAGATGGATGATTGATCTGCAAGTATTAGACAAAGTCAACCTTAATAAAACTGAGAGAGTAAGTATGGTCTTATGCTGCTTTTAGCACTAATCATGTAATATCACTATCACTATTCATGTAACATCACTATCACTTTTCATGTAATATCATTATCAGTATATATGTAATAACACGGCAGGGTGGGAAACATTGAAGGACAAGGGATGAACATGACCCTACCCTCTGGTCGGACATCTTGATGACTCTGGTGAGCAACAGCAGCATGAGGCTGCTCCATGCCTCACGGTGGCTGTCTGACTGCAGGGACAGGAAGTAGTCCAGGGCATCACTGCAGACACTGAACACTGAAACACACACACACCGTGTCACACAAGATTAAAACACACACAGTCTCACACAAGATTGAAACACACACTCAGTGTCACACAATACTGAAACATGCAGTGTCACACAAGACTGAAACACAGTGATACACAAATTTGAAACAGTGTCACACAAGACTGAAACACAGTGATACAAAAATTTGAAACAGTGTCACACAACACTGAAACACACAAACAGTGATACACTAATTTGAAACAGTGTCACACAACACTGAAACACAGTGATACACCAATTTGAAACAGTGACACACAACACTGAAACACAGTGATACACTAATTTGAAACAGTGTCACACAACACTGAAACACAGTGATACACCAATTTGAAACAGTGTCACACAACACTGAAACACAGTGATACACTAATTTGAAACAGTGTGACACACAACACTGAAACACAGTGATACACTAATTTGAAACAGTGTCCCACAACAATGAAACATAGTGTCACAAAGCATTGAAACATGCACAGTGTCAGACAAAACTGAAACAGACAATCATTCAACAGTGAAACACAGTGTATCACACAAGAAACACACACACAGTGTCACACAACAGTGAAACACACAGTGTCACACAACAGTGAAATACACACAATGTCCACAACAGTGAAACACAGCAGTGAAACACACCCTGCAAATACTCACTTGATATCAGCAGCAATAATGTTAAAAATGAACAGACCCCCTTGAGATGCAACAATCGAAGACTAAGTAGGTTATAGTTTACACGACATATTGTTGACATCCATCCCCTATTCCCCAGATACAGCACAGCAACTCACTCTAATAATCTCTTCTCAATGTCTGGCCAGGCATCGGTTCTTGCTTCATCATTGTACATACGGAACAGGATGCGGAAGAGACAAGCCAGACTCTGGGTTTCCTGTTTCAGTAAGTTGGGTTTGGCTTTACCTTTAAAACCTGGAACAAATCATGTGGATGTACTACCACTGGCACCAACATTGAATACAGTTGTCAGAAGGGGATGACCAATTCTCCTAGATTGACCAAACATCACCTCAGCCACAGAGCATGAGTTCATCTCTTTTCCATTTAAGGGTAGGGCTTCAACATGACAACTATTCGACTAGGAGTGAGTGAGTGAGTGAGTGAGTGAGTGAGTGAGTGAGTGAGGAGTGAGTGAGGAGGAGGAGGAGGTGAGTGAGAGGGTGAGGAGTGAGTGAGTGAGTGAGAGGTGAGTGAGGAGTGAGTGAGTGAGTGAGTGAGTGAGTGAGTGAGTGAGTGAGTGAGTGAGTGAGTGAGTGAGTGAGTGAGTGAGTGAGTGAGTGAGTGAGTGAGTGAGTGAGTTTAGTTTTAGGCGTCGTTTAGCAATTATTCGACGAGGAAATTCAGGGCAGGCTACTGCTCAAGGATGATGCACAACAGTGCTGCCGCAGATGAATCAACTTCAGACATTTCTACTTATACAAATCTTTGACGGATGTAAAATTTAGAATATGTCTGAAAATCTAAACTCAGTGTCTTAAGAGTGTATGTCAGCAGCTGTGGGCAATACAATCTTGTGGCCAGTTGTACATAAATTAGGACGTACCTGCTTTCCAGAGTATATTCCTTTGTTCATGGTTAGAGTTGAAAGCTTTGGCAAACTTGTGGGACTGGAGGAGACAGTCGACAAGCATGAACAACTGATTAGAGCTGAGGAACTGGTACATGCCCTGGTCCTCCCTCTGTTGGGACGGATCAAACAGCTGGGCCTCATCACTGTTAGCCTGCACCGATAAACTTGGATATATGCACTGCAGGAATCAAAACATCTTCAACTCAAAATATTTTTTTGGGTCATTTATGGCGGCATAAATACAAAACATAACTTACACTTGTGGTACTTGTCATCTCCAGTAGTTATTTCACCTGTGCTGCTTGTAACTTCTGCTATTTATCTCAACTGTGCTGCTTGTAATCTCTGCTATTTATCTCACCTGTGCTGCTTGTAATCTCTGCTATTTATCTTACCTGTGCTGCTTGTAATCAGAACAGGTTATCTACATCAATCATCTACAGTGTTTGTCTCACCTGTGCTGCTGCAAGGTACTCGGCATCTTCCTTCTTGCTGGTTGCAGGAAAGAAGACAATGTTGTCGATAGTCTGGATGAGCTCAAGCTGCACCACACACTTGATCAGCAGGCCCTGGAACAACTTCTGGTCTGTCGCAACTTCTGCAACAACACATACATATCACCTGTACAATTCACATCATGCATTTGCCAGCCGTACTGCAGCAACATTATGGTGGCTGGTCAGTAATCCAACAAGAATAACACAAATCGTTTAACTAACTTTTGCTGTGTTTCAGCAATATTCTAGAGACATGATGGTGATTTGTTTATTTTCTAGTCCAAACCAGACAATCCAGTGATTTACATCATAAGCATATGCAACTGGGATACAATGACATGAATCAACCGAATTCTAAGCCAGATACTCACCATGGACCAGTGGCTAACAGTGTAAGCAACAATCCATTGTTGTACAATGAAAAACACATCAGCCAGGCTTATAGTTAAAACACCTACCACTTAAACTTGTTTCCAAGAAAGCAGTCCTGATGACTGACGGTTGATAGCATGAACAACAACTCATGGTAATGGGATACAACAATACAATGGTAAACAAGCATTGTCACTAAGGTTACATAATCCCCCGCCGCAAATTATCAAATCAAACTTTAAAAGTAATGAAAGTTTAAGATGAAGTTAAATGTCAACAAAAACATGACCAGTCAACCTCTCTTGATATCTTGCTCTTTAGTTCTTTAGTTGTTCAAACGCACAAAAATTTTCAAGACTGACTTTGACCTTGACATGAATGTCATAGTGTATGAAATATGCAAAAATGGTACTAAAGATATTGCTTATTGCAAAACATTCAAGGGAAGCCTTTAAAGTCTATGAAGAAAATTTAGTGAATTCAGGTTAACATGCTGAAATCTTCAAAGTGTCGCAGTGACCTTGAAAATTATGTGAAGGTCACCAAAATGGGCCCGCGCCTTCATTAGATGAAGCTTGGTATCAAATATGAAAAAAATCCAGTGAATGTTTTTTGCGATATATTGCTGACTATCTTAACAAGCAATTTAACATGCTGAAATCTTCAAAGTGTCTTTGTGACCTTGAAAATTAAGTGAAGGTCACCAAAATCGACTGGGCCTTGCACTTTCCCTAGATGAGTGAGTGAGTTAATATTTAACGTCACATCGGCAATATCGCAGCCATATCGTGACGATCCCTAGATGAAGCTTGGTGTCAAATATGAAGAAAGTCCAGTGTATTGTTCTTGAGATATCTCGCTGACCATCTTAACCGGCAGGTTAACATATTGAAATCTTCAAAGTGTTGCTGTGACCTTGAAAATTAAGTGAAGGTCACCAAAATCGACTAGGCCCTCCGCCTGCCCTAGATAAAGCTTGGTGTCGAATATGAAGAAAATCAAGGAACGGTTCTTGAGATATCTTGCTGACAAGAGTAAAACGTTAAAGTCCCCTTGTGACCTTGAAATTAAGGGACCTTTCTTATACTGTGATAAACCTAGGTACCAAATATGAAAAGAATGTAGTCAACGGTTCTTAAGATATTCAAATTTGTACGCATGGACGGAGCCTAATACTATATCCCCCGCTACGTATCTAAACGCACGGCGGGGGATAAAAATCAACCAGGTCACCACACTGTCATAGGGCAAATGTGTAATACATATAAGAGTTGAGCAACTGCATGTCTTACTTGATCGAGGTATTTTGTGATCCCTTGAATCCACCGAGACGTTACTGCCGATGCTGTCCGCTCGCCTCAAATTGCTGCCCTCATGGCTACTTTCAAGAGACAGTGCAGACTCTGACCTGTTGTCCTGTTAACATTAACACATGTGTGTGAATAAACTACAGACTCATTCCCTGGTTCCTCATTTCAGTCAGCTCTTACAACTTACGATAAACTATGGTTATAACAAACTCAAAAGGGAGCACAACTTGGGGTTCGTTACAGTGAGTGAGTATGTGTTTATATTAACATCCCAGCAATATCATGGTGGGGGCATCAGAAATGGGCTTTCCACATTGTACCCATGTGGGAAAATGGAACCCCAGGCCTTCGGCGTCACGAGCATAGTGAATACTAAACTATGTCCCGTGTAATACCATATTTATGAAACGAGTGAATGGTTTAGTATTTAACGAGCTAAAGCGAGTTAGCTACCAATACCATTTACAAGTTTCATAAATATGGTATTACACAGGACATAGTTATAGCATTTTATTTTTATTACTTACCAACATTAGCAAAATAATATCAAGCAAAGTGCTTCTTTCCAAAGAATTCATTGAGTGTGATGACTCTCAGCTGAGTCAAGCAAGGTCTTATTCTATTGTGACAGAGGTATTAGCATTGTGACGTCATAAATGTAAAGCATTTTGACGTCATATGTACGGCATCACGCGATGTGTAACAACATTGTGAAATTATTAAACAGTGATATCTTCAACGGGTGAGTAATAAAAAACACTTGTACCAGGCTACCACTCCCCACCTACTTTGTTATAAGCATTTCGGCTAAAATATACTGCTAATATATAAGTGACCAAAGGAAAAACAGTTTGTTATATCTGTGAGTTCGTTATAAGTACATGTGTAAACATATCGCGTCATACTGCTCACTGCCTCATATTTGTAGCAATTCATCTTAGTTTTGAGTTGTAGATATATTACAGGGAATGAGTGAGTGAGTATGGTTTTACACTGCTTTTAGCAATATTCCAGCAATATCACGGCGGGGGACACCAGAAATGGGCTTCACACATTGTACCCATGTGGGGAATCGAACCCGGGTCTTCGGCGTGACGAGCAAACGCTTTAACCACTGAGCTACCCCACCACCCCTATATTACAGGGAACATGGTATGTCCATGAGATGTGGAACATACCTGATTGTCCATGGAATTTGCATCATAATCACTGGCAGTGTCTTTAGACGGTGACACTGAGTCCATCTCGTCTACAGGTCTCCATGACAACAACCTAGAAAGGGAAGCAAAACAATTACACATACGTAAAATATATTATAAAACTGTACAAAATTGCTGTTAGCGATTCATATTTAAATGTACTCCTTACAGACCTGGCGAACTCCTCTGAGAGACAAAGGACAAAGCCTGAGGACTTTAAAGTGTGAGGATATCATCAATTCATATGAAGTAACAACTGAGGTCCTGACAATGGAAGGACTTACGAGTGTGGAATGGTGGACTTGAAGATGTCCAGCATACACCTGCAGGTCTTCTCCCACACCTCTGGGGCATACTTGATGCCGTTGGAGATCACTAGGTTCTCCAGGCAGTTGGTGCCAGACCGGGCCAGCTGCTCATTGTCTGCTCACAAACAACATAACAGTTACTTTTCATGACAACTGACACAGTCAACATAGTCACTACCGCTAGATTAGTTGTAATAATTGATTACTGTCCCACCAAACTGAGTGAATTAGAGTTACGCCCCTGATGATGCAAATAGTGTTTCACGCAAATAAATCTACATTTCATGCACAATATTTTCTACCAGGCTCAGGCATGCAAGATTCCAAGGGATATGCGTTTTAGGAACGCAAAGCTTTTTTTCCTACCGCTAAACACTGTGAGCTCCTCATACCTGTATATATTGTGCTTGTCCTCCCAGTATATATTGAGCTTGCCCTACCTGTATATATTGAGTTTGTCCTACCTGTATATATTGTGCTTGTCCTCCTTGTATATATTGAGCTCGTCCTACCTGTGTGTATTGTGCTCATCCTACCTGTATATATTGTGCTCATCTTACCTGTATATATTGTGCTTGCCCTACCTGTATATATTGTACGCGTCCTACCTGTATATATTGTGCTCATCCTACCTGTTTATATTGAGCTTGTCCTACCTGTATATATTGTACTTGTCCTACCTGTACATATTGTACTCGTCCTACCTGTTTATATTGTGCTCGTCCTACCTGTATATATTGTACTGTCCTACACTGTATATATTTTTCACCTTTGAGTATTGTGCTCATCCCACCTGTATATATTGTGCTGGGCCCCACCTGTATATTTTGTGCTCGTCCTACCTGTATATTTTGTGCTCATCCTACTTGTATATATTGTGCTCATCCTACCTGTATATATTGTGCTCATCCTACCTGTATATATTGTGCTCATCCTACCTGTATATATTGTGCTCATCCTACCTGTATATATTGTGCTCGTCCTACCTGTATATATTGTGCTCATCCTACCTGTATATATTGTGCACATCCTACCTTTGTGTATTGTGCTCATCCTACCTGTATATTTTGTCCTCATCCTACTTGTATATATTGTGCTCATCCTACCTTTGTGTATTGTGCTCATCCTACCTGTATATTTTGTGCACATCCTACCTGTATATATTGTGCTCGTCCTACCTGTATATTTTGTGCTCATCCTACCTGTATATATTGTGCTCATCCTACCTGTATATATTGTGCTCATCCTACCTTTGTGTATTGTGCTCATCCTACCTGTATATTTTGTGCTCATCCTACCTGTATATATTGTGCTCGTCCTACCTGTATATATTGTGCTCATCCTACCTGTATATATTGTGCACATCCTACCTTTGTGTATTGTGCTCATCCTACCAGTATATTTTGTCCTCATCCTACTTGTATATATTGTGCTCATCCTACCTGTGTGTATTGTGCTCATCCTACCTGTATATTTTGTGCACATCCTACTTGTATATATTGTGCTCATCCTACCTGTATATTTTGTGCTCATCCTACCTGTATATATTGTGCACATCCTACCTTTGTGTATTGTGCTCATCCTACCTGTATATTTTGTGCTCATCCTACCTGTATATATTGTGCTCATCCTACCTGTATATATTGTGCTCATCCTACCTGTATATTTTGTGCTCATCCTACCTGTATATATTGTGCACATCCTACCTTTGTGTATTGTGCTCGTCCTACCTGTATATTTTGTGCTCATCCTACCTGTATATATTGTGCTCATCCTACCTGTTTATATTGAGCTTGTCCTACCTGTATATATTGTACTTGTCCTACCTGTACATATTGTACTCGTCCTACCTGTTTATATTGTGCTCGTCCTACCTGTATATATTGTACTCGTACTACCTTTGAGTATTGTGCTCATCCTACCTGTATATATTGTGCTCTGTCCCCACCTGTATATTTTGTGCTCAGGTCCTACCTGTATATTTTGTGCTCATCCCACTTGTATATATTGTGCTCATCCTACCTGTATATATTGTGCTCATCCCACCTGTATATATTGTGCTCATCCCACCTGTATATATTGTGCTCAGTCCCCACCTGTATATATTGTGCTCATCCTACCTGTATATATTGTGCACATCCTACCTTTGTGTATTGTGCTCATCCCACCTGTATATTTTGTCCCTCATCCTACTTGTATATATTGTGCTCATCCTACCTTTTGTGTATTGTGCTCATCCCTACCTGTATATTTTGTGCACATCCTACTTGTATATATTGTGCTCATCCCACCTGTATATTTTGTGCTCATCCCACCTGTATATATTGTGCTCATCCTACCTTGTGTATTGTGCTCATCCCACCTGTATATTTTGTGCTCATCCCACCTGTATATATTGTGCTCGTCCTACCTGTATATATTGTGCTCATCCTACCTGTATATATTGTGCACATCCTACCTTTCTGTATTGTGCTCATCCTACCTGTATATTTTGTCCTCATCCTACTTGTATATATTGTGCTCATCCTACCTGTGTGTATTGTGCTCATCCTACCTGTATATTTTGTGCACATCCTACTTGTATATATTGTGCTCATCCTACCTGTATATTTTGTGCTCATCCTACCTGTATATATTGTGCACATCCTACCTTTGTGTATTGTGCTCATCCTACCTGTATATTTTGTGCTCATCCTACTTGTATATATTGTGCTCATCCTACCTGTATATATTGTGCTCATCCTACCTGTATATTTTGTGCTCATCCTACCTGTATATATTGTGCACATCCTACCTTTGTGTATTGTGCTCGTCCTACCTGTATATTTTGTGCTCATCCTACCTGTATATATTGTGCTCATCCTACCTGTATATATTGTGCTCATCCTACCTGTATATATTGTGCTCATCCTACCTGTATATATCGTGCTTGTCCTCCCTGTATATATTGAGCTCGTCCTACCTGTATATATTGTGCACACATCCTACCTGTATTGTGCTCATCCTACCTGTATATATTGTGCTCGTCCTACCTGTACATATTGTACTTGTCCTACCTGTTTATATTGTGCTCGTCCTACCTGTATATATTGTACTCGTACTACCTTTGTGTATTGTGCTCATCCTACCTGTATATATTGTGCGTGTCCTACCTGTACATTTTGTGCTCGTCCTACCTGTACATTTTGTGCTCGTCCTACCTGTATATATTGTGCTTGTCCTCCCTGTATATATTGAGCTCGTCCTACCTGTATATATTGACCTCGTCCTACCTGTATATATTGTGCTCGTCCTACCTGTATATTTTGTGCTCATCCTACCTGTATATTTTGTGCTCATCCTACCTGTATATATTGTGCACATCCTACCTGTATATATTGTGCTAGTCCTACCTGTATATATCGTGCTTGTCCTCCCTGTATATATTGAGCTCGTCCTACCTGTATATATTGTGCACATCCTACCTGTATATTTTGTGCTCATCCTACCTGTATATATTGTGCTCATCCTACCTGTATATATAGTGCTCATCCTACCTGTATATATTGTGCACATCCTACCTTTGTGTATTGTGCTCATCCTACCTGTATATATTGTGCTCATCCTACCTGTATATATTGTGCTTGCCCTACCTGTATATATTGTGCTCATCCTACCTGTATATATAGTGCTCATCCTACCTGTATATATTGTGCACATCCTACCTTTGTGTATTGTGCTCATCCTACCTGTATATATTGTGCTCATCCTACCTGTGAGTGAGTTTAGTTTTATGCCGCACTCAGCAATATTCCAGTTATATGGCAGCGGTCTGTAAATAATCGAGTCTGGACCAGACAATCCAGTGATCAACAGCATGAGCATCGATCTGCGTAATTGGGAACCGATGACATGTGTCAACCAAGTCAGCGAAACTGACCACCTGATCCCGTTAGTCGCCTCTTACGACAAGATAGTCGCCTTTTTATGGCAAGCACATCGGTTGCTGAAGACCTATTCTACCCCGGATCCATCCTTCCTGTATATATTGTGCTTGCCCTACCTGTATATATTGTGCTCATCCTATATTTCACGTTTCCTGCCTGTGTTTGTACTCACCCTGTTGGACGCACCAGTGCAGCATCTGGTAGAGGTCTGACAGGAGGATATCATTAAGGACATCGTAGTACTGCGTGAACACATCCACAATAGCATACAGCGCATGGTTACATGTTGTCGTCATCCATTCATTCTTCTGTGGAAAGAAAAATCACACCATTTACGAACTTAGGACAAGATATATTTTCAAGTGATTTTGAAATCACACCATTTACGAACTTAGGACAAGATATATTTTCAAGTGATTTTGAAATCCACAAAAGTATCCATACAGTTAACTATCAAAGAACTGTTGTCAGTCTTCAGGCTTCACTCACCTCATTCAACTGTTCAGGTAGTTTCATGTTATCAAAAATACGGAAAATAATATTGAAGAGATCTCGCCACCAGTGTGGCTGGAATGTTTCTCCATATGTCTTCATGATCTCGAACATCACAGTCAGACCTCTGAAATACAATCAGCTGCTTTAGTGCAAACAAGAAAAAATTGTGTCCAGGGATGCCCCTGCTGACATTCATAAGACATATAAAGATCAATAATTGAACAAAATTCACGAACAAGTTCAATAAACATCTATGCAACTATGAGATGCACACCTTTAGAGTCCCTACGAAAGACATGTTGAGTCAATTCTGTTGAGCAGTTTTTGTGGAGAAGTGGATAGATTTAATCCCCTATTACACTATCATCATAGAGAAATTCAGCAAAATGTACCTAAGTTCAAATGTCTCTAAACTTACAAAACAACCAATAAAATACAAAAACAAAATATGAGATGCACACCATTAGAGTCCCAAGAAAGCCCATGTATAAGTTCATTGAATTCCACAGAGCATTTTTTGTGGAGAAGTGGATAGAGTACATTCCCTGTTTCATACGGATGGACATACAGACGGACACGGCGGGTAACCCTATATGCCCCCAGCCATATATGGCGGGGTCATAAAAAGAAGGACAAACTGTTGTTCATTTAGCCCTATGAAAAGAACAGCATTTCATGAGCAGCATGGGGTATTATAATAGGGTAAAAAAACAGAAGCCAAAGATGATGCTAGACCAGTGTTTACAATACTTTAATTTGCCAGTTGGCCATCAGGGCCTGCTGCCACCTGCAGGCTTCAAATTCTACAGGCCCTGAATGAGTGAGTGAGTTTTGTTTTATGCCTCTTTTAGCAATATTCCAGCAATATCACGGCGGGGGACACCAGAAATGGGTTTCACACATTTTGCCCATATGGGGAATCAAACCCGGGTTGTCGGCGTGATGAGCGAACGCTTTAACCGCTAGGCTACCCCACCGCCACAGGCCCTGAATGAAATCTGTAGGCCCATTCAAACCAATAAAACCAAAATAGACTACACCACACACAGTTATACACTGTCTAAATCTGGCATTATAACCAGTACAACACTGGAAATGTGGAATGACATCAAATTTCTGTTGAACAAAAATTGACAGATAATTTACTGATGGCCACAAGGGCCTGCAAATATTTCAAACTGCCGGCCTGATACAATAACAACTGAGCTGGGCCTCTGGGCCGGCAATTATTTCGAATGCTGTGCTAGACACTGATGTTTGTAATAGGAATGAAATCTACAAATATGGCTGTGGTGTTGGGAGACCAAGTATAACACATTTATTTCTCAAATGTCCCTTGAAATGTCCCATTTTCGATTAAATACAAATCATGGCTTAAACTTATCATGCAGTAACAAAATGTGCTAAAACTGGTAAAACACATCAATTACTTTGTTGCGTGTTTGCTTGTTTATCGCCTTTGGCATTTTCCAGCTTTATGACAATAGTTTGTATACAAGTCTGGACCAGCCAATGTAGTGATCGGCAATCTATGCAACTGAGATACGCAGACATGCGTAAAGCAAGTCAACAAGCCTGACCACCCGATCCTGTTAATCACCTCTTATGACAACCCAAATCTTCATGGGGTTTGCAGATGTCAAACATGCACATACAGCATACAAAGATTCTGGAAGTAATTTCTTTGTATATCACTAAGTAGCCAGTCCAAAGCATACCATCTCATTCACTGATAGTCACTAAATGTAGGTGGGAAAGTTACCTTGTGCGGACATCCAATTTACACCTGTTGATGACACAGGACAACTCAAATAAAACAGGGAACCATCCTCGCACCCATTCTCGGTCCTCCTCTAGAACCGACATCTCATCCCCTGCATGATCTCGGAACATCTACGAGGACAAGGATGGCAAAGTGTTAGACATGCACTAAGGTGACATGAATGCAGACTGATGCTGTGTTTAACACTCAAGTCAGGTCTCGCAGTAATTCATGTTTAATTTAGAGGCTCGATGCACCTGGTATGACTCAAGAAGTTACTCTGGATATGCTGAAATTTGACCAGTAGATGCCTATTGTTTACAGTCATAGGGATTGAGTGCACTCACGTGACACCAACTAGCAATTCAGTGAGTGAGTGAGTTTAGTTTTACGCTGCACTCAGCAATATTCCAGCTATATTCCAGCGGTCTGTAAATAATCAAGTCTGGACCAGACAAATCCAGTGATCAACAGCATATGCTTCGATCTGCGTAATTGGGAACCGATGACATGTGTCAACCAAGTCAGCGAGCCTGACTACCCGATCCCGTTAGTCGCCTCTTACAACAAGCATAGTCGTCTTTTGTGGCAATAGCATTCAGACACAATATGGGCAGTATGGAGAAAATTGGTCTGCAAAAAACCTAATCTCTTATAGGGATGTAGTACTTAATTCTGTCCATACTTCTGATTATACTACCTGGATTTACGGAAGGTGTCCACTTAATTCAAGTCCCCAAATAACTCTTTGGACAGCATAGTCACAAACTGTACTGAACCCTATCAATGATGATATTCAGACATATGAACCCTGTCATCTACAGGCAAGTTCTTCACAAGCAGTCCACAACACTGCATGTGATAAATTGACAGTTAAATAATTTAAATTTCCCTACCTTTGGCACTGATCCAATTAAATACAAGTTACTGAGTCATGTGTGTATCCTGGGTCCCAATCCTCAAAGCGTTCATAACGCTTTGAAATGTCGTCGTAACTCTATAGCTTATCAGAGGCCTTGTCACAGTGCTAGGAATGTTTAGTGGATCGGGACCCATGACTGTACTGCGACACCTGACCCTGCAGCTTTAACCTGAAGCTCTGCTTGTGGGTTATTCTTACGACAGAAGTCAGCCATGTGATAAATTGACAGTTTGTTAATCTAAATCTCCCTACCGTTGCCATTGATCCAAAAAATACAAATGACCTCCCATTTCCCTGAGTCTCTTTTCTCGTAGCATCCATACCTCCTATGTTACATTATTGAAGGTACAAATGCTACAAGCAAAGTTACGAGATCTTAGGCTTACGAGAGCTTTGTGAAACGGGGCCCTGGATATTAGTTCTATACTACATGATCTGACCCAGAAGTATAAAGCTCTGCTCATGGCTCACTTACTCCATTTAGTGATCCATGTTATTTGTTATTGTCGTTGTTGTCTGCCAGCCCAGGATGCTGCTGTACTTACATGAGGCTTCTCGGCGACGTACTTGGCACAGTTCCTGATGAGCCTGATGGCTTCCATGCTGGTGTCAGGGAATGCAGCATTACATGCAAACTCTGACAGGCACTTGACAGCATCTTGGAATGAGTCAATCACAGCAAAAAAATGTTTCTCAAATATGCTGGCTGAAAAAAGAAAAGAAACGGGCCGCTTGTAATTTCCCATACATGATGGCTTCATACATAGACCAAGTCCCTTACTATTGTTAGCATGGATCAAGGTCTCAAAAAGATTATGTCTTGCAAAATGTTGGGTATTACGGCACTTTCAGCACAGAGGACATCCAGAAAGGTGCCTCACATGTTGTGCACATAGGAGTGAGTATGGTTTTACAGCACTTTTATTAATATTCCAGCAACATCACAGCTGGGACAAAAGAAAGGGGCTTCAATTCCCACACCATACCCATGTGGGCAATAGAATCTGGGTCTTCGGCGTGATGAGCGAATGCTTTAACTGCTACAACTACATCAGTCTGAATTTACGATGATTAATACCAGTAAATCGTAAGTAATATAAACTTATTTTTCCTAACATACAATACCTCTGATTTCGATTAATTCAGTTACAGTGTTGTTTCAATAGGCAAAATGTAATTTGCAGACACAAGGAATAGAGCTCTGGTTCTGAGCAAAATCTCATCTGTTGCTTGAGTTATATATATTAATCAGTTCCTTTCTCTTTTCCTGAAATAAGTAAGGACAATTGATAACCCTAGTTTCAAATGTTGGAATCTGAGGAAGATAGGGATCTGGGGCCAGGCAATGCTCCAGGAAATCAACAATCAACTCACAAATGATTTTGCCGGTAGTCTGAAAGGCCAGTTCCACGATCCCCTCATCATGATCAGAAGCAGCTAAGTGGAACACACTGAAGATGTTCTTCCAACCAGACCGGATATTTCCTGCTTGGGAGTTGACCATCTGCGTAACACATCTCACAACCATGTCACGGATCGTGGGGGACCTGAACAAACCATCATACTCATCTTATATCATGTGTCATGTAAGGCTTTATTGATGAAATCAATCAGTATACATTAATATTAATGATGTAATTTTGCAGTAAGCTTTTTAATGTACTTTTGTTTGAATTCTTTATTGTATAATATTTCACTCATGACTAATAGTTGATCATTCAATCCACATGAAAGCCGGGCATGAAGTTGAATATTTTGATCGAATATTCAATCAAGAGTGTAATCTGAACCACCAGAGGGATAGCCCCCTCAAAAATATATATGGCAATGAGCACTCACCTATTTCTTTTCATGATATGCTCAAAAGGCCTGAGGAAATCCTTCTGGAAACGGAAATTTGCGAACTCCCCTTTTTCAATGAACTTCATGGAGAGTTGACGGAGGGAATCAACAGCAAAGAATGCAATGTCTTCATTGGGGTTGCAGCCCACCTACAACAGTAGAACAGCGAGCTCAGAAAAAAACAAACCGTAATCCTTCACATGTGAATATAATCCTCAAATGACAATTTGAAGGTGAGTGAGTGAGTTTGTGTTTTACGCTGCTTTAAGCAATATTCCAGCAGTATCAAGGTGGGGAACACCAGAAATGGGCTTCACACATTGTACTCATGTGGGGATTCGAACCCGTGTCTTCGGCGTGACGAATGAATGCTTAACCACTAGGCTACCCCACCGCCCCTAGTTCAAAAGACTAGCTATATCAACATGAAGCTCTACAAAATCATGATCCAAACATTTTTTATCTCGAAGGAACTTTTTACTTAGCATCTGATACTTCTGATACTTCATCATTATACCCTTCCCGACAATGCCATAAATACCACCAAACAACAGACATCGGTCATAAGGGACCAATTCAAACTGATTCCTCATAGGACTGACAGACAAGAGTGAACTAGATAAAACAACAGTATTTTAGTTTCAGAACGGAACAATTTCGAAGAAAAATTCAAAGAGATGAGTCATAAAGCTTATCAAGTTAGTGACATCTACACCAGACTTGGAGCAGACAAACCAATATCATGATCATGTCTAATACAAGATTTGAACCCATGACCAGCATGGTTTAGGTGCACACACAGAATTGCAATTTGCAATACCATAACCAAGGAGAGGGAAACCAGTGACCTCTGTCTGTTCAGAACTAAGACCGCACCTTATTGAAGTGGTCTCCGAGGTATTGCCATATCCTGGACCACTGTAGACGCACTCTGCCCATGTTGTAGTATGAGATCTCCACTATCTTCTGTAGACTGAACATCCGCGGGTGACTGTGACTGGCCAGCTCGTCCATCGACACCTGGCACAGCGCCTTCGTGAACTCCACTACAAATGTCAGGTAAAATTGGCCCAAATGACAACAGATTTATTTGAATACATGTTCGTATTACATAATTTTGCTTGCACCATGAATATATTTGTCCCTTAACACTGAATGCTTAAACCATACAGTTGTGACATGCCACAGGATGCCACAGTTCAGCTTTGTCACAATGTTATCCTGAAAATTAATCCACTGAAATTTTACGCAGAAGTTAATTGAGAAACAGGATGAGGAAAGTCTCAAAAGATAACATGCAATGATGAGACATTAACAATGCATCAAATATTTTTGATTGAATTCAATTACCTCAATCTGTTAAACATTGAAACAAAGTTGAACCAAAATTATCACCGGCACATTCTTTAGATCTTGACATTTAGCGAGCAGTTTTGATGCAGCACTTTTGACGTACATTCATTCTGTTGCTCATTCAGTCAAACCAAGATGTCTGTACTGAGAATATGTTGAAGTTGGTAGATCATGGCATGCTGTGACCAGCAACCTAGCAGGCAAAACCGTGACAGCATGATTTATACTGGATTCTGTCAGGGCCTGATAAGGGATTGTGAGAAGCAACAGTTACCAGTATCTGTTCTATTCTGGATTGCCAACCTGGCACTATCTACTGTCAAGCCCCCAATCTCATCAATGGGCTGTTGTGAGAAGCAACAGTTACCGGAATCTGTTCTGTTCTGGAATGCCAACAAGGCAGTGAAGACTCCATGCTTATCTACTGTCAAGCCCCCAATCTCATCAATGGACTGTTGTGAGAACCAACAGTTATCAGTTCTGTCCCAGAATACCATCACGACTTACCTACTGCAACACCATCGAGTTTGACTGAGCCTGTGAAGATCCTGTCCACTGCAACAACAACACTCTGTGAACTCGTCTCACCGACTGTCTCGTGGAAGTTGGCTAGCCGCTGGCGGTCAAGGGGCCCACGGGCAATAACTGGAGACAAGAACAAGACACAGACTTGAAACCTACATTTAACCACAGCATCACAAGCAAATGGTTGTGTTTAACTCAATGTGGTGTTGGCAAGGTCCCACCTTGAGGTATACCACACAAATATTTAAATAGTTTAAACCAAAATCACAGCAACTATTTCAAAAGTATTACCGGTAATAAATAAAATGAGTAAGATTTACTAAACACAATTTCCTTGTGAAAAACATTGTCAGCTGTTTTCTGGATAAGCTGTTAGTGAGTAAATGAGTCTACCTCAGACTATGGTCTAAGTGTATTAAAGTGAATTGGTCTTAACACTAGTGTTGGGAATTGGTTAAAATCTCATAATTGATGATTGGTTCATTACAACCGATCAATCATCGAAAATAATTGGTTAGCGTCATTTATGAAATTTTCCTGTTTGCACAAAAACATAAAGAAAAAACTTGTAGTTCTTTGGTTGTTTTCCCCGCAAATTTCACATCTTTGAAGGATGACTAGTATATTAGGAATATAAATTTCTTGGGGTCTTTAAGATAAATTCAATCATGACTTGCACCGAGCTGGTAGTGTTTATGAAATGTAACAGACAAAACCAACCTTGTGAGAAAAATTGTTAATGCAAAAGGTGTTCCAGAATTGTTTGTATTCGATCATGAGAAAACATGATCGATTGCTTGGTCGTTTACTCACTGTGACTAATCTTTGATTATTTCAATTAATCTTTGGTTGTTTTTTCCGCAAATTTCACATCTTTAAAGGATGACTAGTATATTAGGAATATAAATTTCTTGGGGTCTTTAAGATAAATTCAATCATGACTTGGACTGAGCTGGTAGTGTTTATGAAATGTAACAGACAAAACCAACCACCACTAGTTAACACTGCTTTGAACAGTAGTCTAGTGATATCAAGGCTGGTAAACTCAATGTGAGGGGCCAGCACAGATCTGAGACATTTACTACTTCAGTAAAACCCACAAGCATGGCTATGAAGGTGACAACCATACAGTGATTGAGTTTAGTTTTACTCTGCTTCTAACAATATTCAAGCAATATCACGGCAGGGGGACACTAGAAATGGGCTTCACATATAGTACCCATGTGGGGAATCTAACCCAGATCTTTGGCCCCATTCAATGTTATAAGTTGTAGACGTATCACTGACAGCCGTAGAAACATATGCAAGGCGACTGAGAGTTGGTTACATGTTCATAGGTTTCCTGCATGCCCAAGGGATGTAACTCTGCATCGTCAATTATGGCACCTTCGGCAGCTATGGTGCACATGCCCCTCAAGAATATGATTCAAGATCGACCATGGTACAATACAAAGCCAGACAGCTTTATCATTTGTGTCTTTGTTTGTTCCAGGCAACGGGGATATGATTACATACAGCCACAGGGCATGACCACGCAATGTCCCAGGATCAAAAGTCTTGTCCAGGATCAATACAGATGCACAGCTTCATCAGCTTCATTTTAGGGTACCGGTTAACTAAAAGTTGAAGTTTGAATACCAAAACTTCACATGCCAACATCCACTGGCAGATATCAGTACAAAGAGTACTGTCGAGATACTTCAAATTAGTAAAATGCCTAGCTACCTTCAGGGTCGAACGCCTCCACTGGGTGACCAGCTTGTGAGTGACTGGAGTGTCCCGAGATGTATTTCGTCTTTACACCAGTGCCAATTAACTGTGCTAGTTCTAACTGAGAAATGCATCGCAGGATCTACAAAGAGAAAACAAACGTCAGAATATATCTACTGTTCATGAAGGCAGAAAGTATAAAGAACACATATCTACTGCCATCCTTGTATACTTGAGCTATAAATTAATAGTTATCCATGACAACTCCACCAGACTATCTCAGAAAATGGATGAAGAGATTTTGAGTCAGGCATAAACAACTTCTTACCCTTGATTGAAATTGTCTTAGAAATATATATATATACTGACTGACTGAGTTTAGTTTTACGCCGCTTTTAGCAATATTCCAGCAATATCATGGCGGGGGACACCAGAAATGGGCTTAACACATTGTGCCCAATATATATATACAAAAATAAACATTTAAAATATCCTGAGATAGTAATAGGCTGAAGAAAAAGCGAATGGTTTGGGAACATTCCTGAAATGGAACTTGACAGACAGAGCTTGTTTTCAATACCCTGCCAAACTGCTTGGATAAAACCAGGGAAAGGAAGTCTCAATGCATATTTCTTTGACTTTGGTGTTGTATGCATGCAGAACAATGAAAAACTTTCTTTCATAAGTTTATGTAGCAAACACTCACCTCTAACCAGGACTTGCCCAGGTAGTTCCCATCAGTATGGGCCACGGAGATCAGGGTTTTGATAGTGTCTATATTTTTAGCTTTCATCTCGGTGATCGGTGTTGCACAAGTTAGAAGAGTGAAGCGGGCCAGGGCTTGGACATAAGCATCTCGCTCCAACTGAAAGTGAATCTACTACAGTTACTATCTGCCTCCACACACAGAGACAGCTACTGCTGTATAATCGAGCTACGGGTATAAAATACAAAAACTAAGGGTACTGACATGGTGAAACAGTTCATTGCTGGACTTCAGTTTTGATACAATCTGGTGATTAATATTTTGAGCAACAATCCACACTGAGTTCAATGACTTGCAATTTAAATTAATCAAGCTGTGAATACACGAAAAGTGGTAAAATGTTTGGGTTTACACTTTCTCAATCAGGCACCAATTGCCAGCCCGAAATCAGCGACATGAACCACTCAGCAACTGCAGCTTCCACAAACTGGACGGGTGGTCACATGTCATCGTATCCCAATTGTGTAGATCGATGCTCATGGTGTTGATCACTGAATTGTCTGGTCCAGACTCGATTATTTACAGACCGCTGCCATATAGCTAGATATTGCTGGGCATGTTATCAAACCAACCAACCAACCAACAAAATGGAACTCTGATCACATAATTTTCCTGTACCCCTCTTACAAGCCTGACGAGCCAATCTTAGGTCCAGCTAAAAGTTGATGTGTACCAACTCTTATGCCTGAATCCCTGCAGGGACCATGAGGCAACACAGGGACCACAGCACAAACCTACAGATTGAAGTCCTAAGTGAGTGTCTTTTCATGTTGTTCTGTCAGGTTGTCATTTATATCAGTCAGCCTCATGTGGGCCGAACTTTATTCCCTAACTGATACAGGATGTAGAAGTTTACACCCTGGTGAACCCACGAACATTGGTACGCCAAGAATCATAATCAGGTTTTCAACCATATGCAGACTCTGGAAGGGATACAGCTCTGCAAGGTGAATTGTGATGCCTTCAAAACACAAGGCCATCCAACCACCAAGAGTGAATGAGTTTAGTTTTATGCCACCTCTAGCAATATTCCAGCAATATCATGGCAGGGGACACCAGAAGTGGGCTTCACACATTGTACCCATGTGGGGAATCGAACCCAGGTCTTCGGTGAGAGGAGCGAACGCTTTAACCATTAGGCTACCCCACCCAACCACCTTGAAATGAACCACCTATGAACAGGAGGCACACCGTGGTAGAAATGTTGAAAATAACATGGGTCTTCAGTGCATGAATCATAATCAGAATCTCGAATTGTAAGACGTCTGCCATACCTCCATGTGGAAAATACATGCTATCCTAATTGCACATCGGATGCCATCCAAACAAAGGGAGGCAATTTCTGGATCATCACAGTCTTGAAGACCCACACTGAAAGCTGCCAGGAAAGGGGTCCATGCCATCTGTGAAATAAAGAAATATATACTGTGACAGCCTAGTTATAACTGAATGAAAGAGGAAACCTTAGTCATTTACCACTTGGTGAAACTAAAACCCATAAGCATAAGTATGGACAAACTCAGAAACATAATCAGGGCAAGCCGGAATAGAACCCAGAACCACAGGATTCTGGCATGGCCAAAGGGATGCAACTCTGCTAGGGGAAGGGGAAGAAAGTGACTTATACAACTGGGCCACCCATGTACCTCATATTTGTGTTAGTGAGGCGAGTTTGGATGCAGCTTTGGACTGTATTTCAGTTATATTGTGGCATGCCAGTTTGATGAAGGATGAAAGCCTGCAGTGTTGCTTGGCTGTGGTGATTACCAAATTGATGAAACTATCAGCAGATCCTGGCACAACCAAGGGATGCAACTCAAAATAACACATGATCTACAGTTTGGCATAATGAATGATGAACATAATACATGTGTATCTTAAACATTGGTTGGATGTGTTCTTGGTGAGTTTGCATGAAAACCTGATGATAATGTGACATGTTTACCTTAAACATTGGTCGGACATGTTCTTGGTGAGTTGCCATTGTGAAGCTGGACTGGACATGACTGACACTCTCCATCAACACCTTAGCTGTCTGCGCCATGTTCTCCATCTCAAGATTGTACAGCAATCGCCGCTGCTTGTCACTCGTGATCTCCTCTGCAGGCAGACATCAAGACAGTAATGTGTGTAAACGAGTCTGGTTAAACACCACTTTGAACAGAACTCAATGTATATTTGTGTGTCAGCTTAACGTGGGAGGAATGAATGAATGAGTTGGGTTTTACACCGCTTTTAGCAATATTCCAGCAATATCATGGCAGCAATGTGGGAGGAAAGCCGTAAGTTGTGCAGGTATTAGACGTTTGCTACTTTGCTGAAACCCACAAACATGGGCATGACAAACTCAGAAACAGAATTAGGTTGGTTGGCTGCTTTTTAACGCTGCACTCAGCAATATTACAGCCATATGGCGGTGGTCTGTAAATTCAAGTCAAGTGTGGACCAGACAATCCAGTGATCAACAGCACGAGCATCGATCTACGCAATTGAGATACGATGACATGTGTCAACCAAGTCAGCAAGTCTGACCACCCGATCCCGCTAGTTGCCTCTTACAACAAGCATGGGTTGCTGAAGACTAATTCTAACCCAGATCTAAATGGGTAACAGAATTGGGGTGAAAGGGAATGCAAACGTACGATTGTAAGTTTCTGGTCTATCAAAGGGACAAAGGGACACAGCTCAGCTCTGCACTGCAAATTGTTTTGCATCATCATCTGGGCATTTTGTACCCCTGCAAAGCTTAAAACAACCCACTGGTAAAGCCTCCCAAAAATATACACAAACATTCCTCCTCCATTCGTGCTGCTCCAATAACAGCTGAACTGGCATCCTTTTTTGTGAATTTCCAGGCATGAAGTGGACAATGAGTGAGGCTTGACTGCACAGACTCAAATACTCACTTGCTGACTTGCTTGGCTTCTGTCCTGTTGCCTTCATCTTAATCTCGTTGCCGGCGATCTCATCGTAGATGACCGACAGATACTCCTCTGGCAAGTCCTTGCTGTCGTTGATGCCACGGTTCATGCGGATATATTGCTCCTTGGTCATCTTGTGCTCTCTCTTGACCTTGAGTAACAAGTAGTCTCACAGTACAAGGTACGTTAACATTTGTTGTTTATATGGCGGCAGTCTGTAAATAATCGAGTCTGGAGCAGACAATCCAGTGATCAACAGCATGAGCATCGATCTACGCAATTGGGATACGATGACATGTGTCAACCAAGTCAGCGAACCCGACAACTTGATCGTGTTAGTTGCCCCTAAAAACAAACATGGGTTGCTGAAGAGCAATTCTATCCCGGATCTTCAGGCCTCATTGCCGATACATTGACACACAAACATGAGTGAGTTGGGTTTTACAAAAAGCCACTTTTAACCGTATTCATCGGCTTCATGCTGGAGGAAAACCAGAAGTTCCGCAAGTCTGAGATGGTTTAGTTTACATAGACCAGACATGAGAGAACATATTCTACATCAGTATCAACCAGACTCGTCTAATCAGCTTCAAATTTCTATTTATCCAGCCTCAGATTTGGTCCTCTCATCATCACCAATATAAATACTGAGAAGATGTTTTGACCATACTCTTAGGTGGTGGTCCAGTTAATTGAAATAATCAAAGATCAGTCGCACTGACAAAACGACCAAGCAATCGATCACATTTTCTCATAATCGAACGCAAACGATTTGGGAACTACTGTTTTAGTTTGAAACACTTTATGTAAGGAACTTCTTCTTAGAAGCTGTCGGCCCTGAAAACATGTTTAATTCTTAGAAAACTCACTTCACTTACTGAAAAGTCATGACTGAATATTTCTTGACTGACTGACTGACTGAGTTTGGTTTTACGCCGCTTTTAGCAATATTCCAGCAATATCACGGCGGGGGGACACCAGAAATGAGCTTCACACATTGTACCCATGTGGGGATTCGAACCCGGGTCTTCAGCGTGACGATCCAACGCTTTAACCATTAGGCTAACCCACCGCCCCGAATATTTCTTGAAGACTTCAGGAAGTTTATTTGTTCATGATATATTAGTCATCACTTTAAAGTAGCAAGATGTATTATTTTAAATTGGGGATGTGAATTTTGCAAAACAATTTCGATGACTGCTCGCTGGTAATAAACCAATTATCAATTGTGAGATTGCAACCAATTCCCAAAACTAATATTAATATAAGTTCAGCTGTCCTTTATGAGGAGATACTAGAACAAAGCCTTTACTGCCTTATTAGACTATGATGATACAATATCAATACAACATCTATGAACTGTTTCATGATGCTACCTGTGTACTGTGTAAATCTGTGGTGAGCATGATGATCGAGTATGCCAACACGTACGCTGTGTCGGCACTGGCAAACAGCTCCGTCCTGAAAACACAACACAAGGAGTGATTCAGTAAAGTTTCTCTTGTCTGACAGTTTTGGTGTGTGACAGACATCATCACCCATGAATAAACAGACTTCATGGAAACATGTATAATTTTGTTTCTTATTCAGGAGCCACTTTATTCAATGGAGTGAGTGAGTGAGTGAGTGAGTGAGGTGAGGTGAAATTGGGTTTTACGTCGTGCTTGAGAATATTTCGCTCATATGACGACGTGCATGCGTGTGCATGTGTATGTGCGGTTGCTTGTACTAGCCCTGACTGAAGCTGATTTTATAGTGCTAACCCACTGAGATACCATGCGGCAGTGAAGCATGAATACCCCACTCAGACACATTATACTGACTCCGAGCCGACCAGTCCTTGTTGTACCCATTAATGCCGAGAGCCAGGCAGGGACCAACAAGTACCATATTTTAACGTCTTTTGGTATGACACGGTCAGGAAGAGTGAGTGAGTGAGTGTTATGCCACTTTTAGCAATATTCCAGCAATATCACAGCAGGGGACACCAGAAATGGGCTTCACACTTTGCCCATGTGGGGAATCAAACCCATGTCATCGGTGTGATGAGCGAATGCTTTAACCACTATGCTAAGAGAGTGAGAGAGAGAGGAGAAGAGAGGAGGAGGGGGAAGATATTTCAGATAGCCACTTACTGTGAACTACAAACACAGTATCGAGATGCAAATTTCTCCATGAGTCTATCTATTTTCTGAGCTTCGCCAGGTAGACGAAAACCTTCAAGGAACTTCCTCAGTGCAGGTACAAAGTCCATTTCGGTGAAGTCTAACTGGTCGACATAGGTGTACATGACTTCCTTGTTAAATCTGCACAGAAAGAAATCAGTTTAAGCGTAAAGAATTATTTTTCTTCAAGAATAACAATCAAATTTACAGAATCACTTTACAACATTGCAATGGAAATAGAACATAATTAATGCAAGCAGATTTACTAACTTTTCATTTTCTCCCAAGAAATCGCCCAGTGCTGTCTGAAATGAAAACATCTGTGTGATTATGTGTACCATGTATGAATACTGCACACTATAGACTTGTCATTACTTAACACGATATACCAAAACAATTCTCTCTAAATATGGCAAAAATATGGAACAATGGAAAATATCCCCCTCAAAAGAAGTTGAGGAACACTCAGTTCATACTATGACAGAATATCAATAGTCATATGATAGAATTTTTGATATTTTTGAACACTGTATATTGACCAAGTGAAATTAAGATCTTAAAAGAAAGCTCATAAGGCCAAGCTGATAAGTGAACCGAGTTGGATCAAATATTATAAGATGGTGTAATGAGATCTATGATCATGGGTTCAAATCCCAGAGTCATCCTGTTTATATAAATGCCTGTAGTTGTTTATCTCACAAAGATCTAAGACCTGCATCACTTCAAGCATCTCCCAACATTAAGCAGAAATACCTTGATATTTAGTTAAAGATTAATGGTCAAACCACTAATCAAAACTACAGAAATGTTTGCAACTTAAAGAACACCTTATATGACAATAAAAAATGATTGGCCTCATTACCTTATCAATCCTGTCTTCCGCATGGAAAAACTCGGCAATATCCTCAGGGCTTTTACCCAGCAGGCCTTGTTCTTGCAAATATGCTATACCCTTGGCAGGCTTTTTGTGAAATCTGCAGCAGATAGTGATTGATTTCGTCATAGAAGGTACCATGGTTGTATCATTTTCAGAAATAATTCTAAATTTGAAAACAAACTTTCTTTTCCTAAAATCACAATCATCCACATTTCAAACCAAACTATTTGTGATAAGCGATATATCTACCACTTGATAAAAAAAAGCTGTAAAAATTTAGTTGTACTTTGAATAACTGAGTAATTGAGTTTAAAACCCAATTTTCTGTGCCATGTTCAAGCAAAATATTTGAAAGAAAAATAAACTGGCAACCAAAATTGGCGATTACAAAATGGAACACAGTCCTTTTGCATCCTGAACAAACCCCTTTAACTAGTGGGCTACCCCACCGCCCCTTTCTATGTGTGAATTAGGATACTGTGTGCTCAATCTTCACTACAATAAATATTCCCAACAACATTCACTGTTTTTCTTCAGACATGATATCCAACCAATGAACAAACCACTCACAATTCAATTCCGGTCTCCATGATCTCCTTCTGCTGCTTGAGGACCTCGAACTGTTCGGGGTTGTCTGGGGCAGCACTAGACGTCATCTGCGAACTGCTGTTAGAGCTGAGAGAGTTGCTGCTGCCATAGCTTGCTATTGTCCCCTTAAACGAGTCATTGTCTGACTCCGTGTGGGGCTTGTTGTCCTGGCCTGGAAACAAAGATTTTTGGTGAGTGAGTTGGGTTTTATGCTGCTTTAAATGTTTAAGACCACATTCAGCAATACCTCAGCTATATGGCGGTGTAAAGTATTGAGTATGGACCACACAATCCAGTGATAAACAACATAAGCATCAACCTACACTACTGGGATAGGATGATGTGTCAACACACACAGAGACCCTACAGCAACCACACACATAGAAACACAACTGTACCACACACACTGAGATCCCAAAGCCACCACACAAACTGAGAAACACAGCCACCACACACTGAGACCCTACAGCCACCACACACACATACTGAGACCCTACAGCCACCACACATACTGAGACCCTACAGCCACCACACACACTGAGACCCTACAGCCACCACACACACTGAGACCCTACAGCCACCACACACACTGAGACCCTACAGCCACCACACACACTGAGACCCTACAGCCCACACACACTGACACCCTACACAGCCACACACACTGAGACCCTACAGCCACCACACACTGAGACCCTACAGCCACCACACACACTGAGACCCTACAGCCACCACACACACTGAGACCCTACAGCCACCACACACATCACTGAGACCCTACAGCCACCACATACACTGAGACCCTACAGCCACCACACACACTGAGACCCCACAGCCACCACACACACTGAGACCCTACCCTACAGCCACACACACTGAGACCCTACAGCCACCACATACACTGAGACCCTACAGCCACCACACACACTGAGACCCTACAGCCACCACACACACTGAGACCCTACAGCCACCACACACACTGAGACCCCACAGCCACCACACACACTAAGACCCCACAGCCACACACACACTGAGACCCTACAGCCACCACACACACTGAGACCCCACAGCCACACACATCACTGAGACCCTACAGCTACCACACACACACTGAGACCCCCACACCACTGAGACACAGCCACCACACACACTGAGACCCTACAGCCACCACACACTGAGACCCTACAGCCACCACACACACTGAGACCCCACAGCCACCACACACACTAAGACCCTACAGCCACCACACACACTGAGACCCTACAGCCACCACACACACTGAGACCCCACAGCCACCACACATCACTGAGACCCTACAGCCACCACACACACTGAGACCCCACACATCCTACAGCCACCACACACACTGAGACCCTACAGCCACCACACACACACTGAGACCCTACAGCCACCACACACACTGAGACCCTACAGCCACCACACACACTGAGACCTACAGCCACCACACATCACTGACCTACAGCCACCACACACTAAGACCCCACAGCCACCACACACACTAAGACCCCACAGCCACCACACACACTGAGACCCTACAGCCACCACACACACTGAGACCCTACAGCCACCACACATCACTGAGACCCTACAGCCACCACACACACTAAGACCCCACAGCCACCACACACACTGAGACCCTACAGCCACCACACACACTGAGACCCTACAGCCACCACACAAGTTATCACCCCTCAGCCAATACCAGCAGGAGAGGCCTACCTAGGTTAGACTGGGAGTGAGGGTTGATGTACAGGTCCTTGCTCCACTCCACCATGCACTTGAGAATGGACACCAGGCACATCAGACCCTTGATGCGCATACTCTTCTCTTGGTTTGGCGAGGCACCTGGAATGTATAGAAATAAAAGTAGTATTCTTTTGTTTGCTTTGTTTGACTGGGAGTGAGGGTTGATTGTCCTTGCTCCACTCCACCATGCACTTGAGAATGGACACCAGACACATCAGACCCTTGATGCATACTGGAATGTATAGAAATAAAAGTAGTATTCTTTTGTTTGCTTGTTGTTTAACGCTGCACTTCCCGCAGTCTGTAATTAATCGAGTCTGGACCAGACAATCCAGTGATTGACATCATAAACATCCATCTCAGCAAACAATGACATGCATCAGTCAAGTCAGCCTGACCACCTGATCCTGTTAGTCGTCTCTTAACAGAAGCATGAGTTGCTGAAGACCAGTTCTCATCTGGATCTTGACAAGTGAGTCAGTGAGTGAGTGATTAAAGATTGTTTAACACTATTATCAGCAATGTTTCAGCAAATTCAACACTTTAATCACTGTTAGTTTCAGTAATGATCAACAATAGAAAATCATATCGCTAAGAAAGTACTTCATTTTAATTCTTTTTGTGTACCAGTAACCCATAAAGCTGCATAACAGGAAAGATGTAGAAAAGTCCTTGATTTACTGAAGAGGGAAAATGTAAGAAGATGAGGAGCAGTCCTTAAATGACAAGGAAGTTAAAAACAAAAACAGGAGTCAACTTAAGTACTTACCCAACTCCATTGCCTGTCTGCCCTGTGCAATCTTTGACAGATCATTAACAAGTCTCTCAAAAATATTAGCCAGGGCCAAATCACAGTCATAGTTGAGGTAGATGTCCACGACACACTGAGCATCTGAAAACAGCAGTTACCTCCCTTTGATGCTGGGACCATCTTACTGGCACATATCAAAATTCATATATAATACATATAGTGCTGCAGGGTAAGCTGTTTATAAAATAAATACACCCACCCAGTGGTGGATCCAGAAAGGGAGGGGGGTTGACACCCCCCAACCCTTGAAAAAAACCTGAGGACCACATTGAAGTTAATGTTTTGCAATGGCAGCCAAAGTGGGGTTCAGGGGGTTTGAACCCCTCCCTTTGAAAATTTCTGGATCTGCCTATGCCATCCACCCACCAAAGTAATGGTAATGGTCGGTCCTATTGCTGACATGTTTAAGCTTCCCAACAGTTTTCCGTCTTGAAGAAGCCACTACCTTGTTATATGTATAATAAAGGCCTTAGACAGTCACAGCACTAAGACACATCATAAGAACTGATCAATGGCAACATGCATCAAACAAGTCAGCGAGCCTGACCACCCGATCCTGTAACTGCCTTTCATGACAAGCATGGGTTGCTGAAAATCTGAAGAACAGTAACCCGGTGTAACAGGCCAAACTTTCCCTCTGGCCAAACCTTTGTGAGTGGTATGAGAATGAGATTGGAATTATAGGTAACATTACCTTATCGTTTTCCTTTCAACTTGACTTATAACATCAGCACTACTTCTTTGGGTATAGGGACAAGATGGGAATCAAACATAGCATTAACCTGACGTTTTATTTTCAATTTGAGCGATAATAACACAATTGCTATTTCTTGGGGTATGGGGCAAGAGAGGAATCCAATATAAGAATAGCCTGTTGTTTTGTTTGGAAAAGGGTGCTAGCTCACCTGCACAGATCCTCGTGAGTGCCTGTATAACCATCCACTTGTGTTCGAATGAGCTGCTGGATGTCTCAAGGATGTAGAGGAATATCTCCTTGAAGAACACCTGAATCAAGACAACCCTTTTACTCAATCATAATGTAATATGGTTTCTATGACTTAAGCACTGAATGCTGTTAAGCAACTGTCCAGCTATACCACACCTTGGACACAAGCAAGAAGCTTCATACATTGCATACACATACTGAAACAACCTTGGGTCTTAGGTATGACACAGGAAAGTTTACATCAGAAGGTACTCCCAATCCTCACCATAAATGAACCTTCTTAACCCAAAGCACAATATGCCAGCTTTGCTAGTAGCAACCCAAACTAAAACTCAATTGGAACATGTGATAAGCAAATCCTGTCACAGTAAAGGCACATAACCTGCTCAGTAAAGTGGGGCACCTTAGACGTTGGAATTCTCATGATTAAGAAGGTACTATATTCCAATTCTATAAGAATATACTTCAGTGTCAAACATAAAACAAGAGTCATCAGAAGATGACATATCCCCCCGGCCCCCACATATTTGAAAGAACAAATCATCTGACAGTTACTTAAAGTCCAAATCGTTTCCATGGAAATCATGAGAAATATAAATGCCCAAAAATCTGTAAATAGCAAAAGGCACCATTTCAAAATTTTGCCTAATATATCTGCCAAGTTCTGTTGAAAGATACTGAACGCTTTTCGAGTTGCATCGAAATGAAGCTCACTCCTCCCTTTTTGGACTAAGTCCTAATCATTTCCATGGAAACCGGAAAAGTAAATATGCCAAAAATCTGCCAAATAGCAAAAGGCACCACTTTGGCATCTGCCTCACATATCTGCCAAGTTTTGCTGAAAGATATTAAGAAGTTTTCCAGTTGTGCTCCGGAAGCGAAAACCCACCCCTCCCTTTTTGGACTAAGTCTGAATCGTTTCCATGGAAACCGAAAAAATATACATGCCATATATCTGCAAATAGCAAAAGGCACCACTTAAGGTTCTGTTTGATATATCTACCAAGTTTTGTTGAAACAGTTCTTGAGTTAAGCTCTGGAAACGAAGCCCACCCCTTCCTTTTGGGACTAAATCCGAATCGTTTACATGGAAACCGGGGAAAAATACAAATGCCAAAATCTGCAAATAGCAAAAGGCCCCACTTTGAGATCTGCCTAACATATCTGCCAAGTTTTGCAGAAAAATATTGAGCGGTTTTGAGTTATGCTCGGAAGCGAAGCCAACCACTCCCTTTAAGACGAAGTCCAAAATGTTTCCATGGAAACCGAGAAAAATAAAAATGACAAAAACATGTAAATAGCAAAAGGCACCACCTTAGGTTCTGTTTGATATATCTACCAATTTTGGTGAAAAATAGTGAACGGTTTTGATTTATGGTCTGGAAATAAAATGAATACAGATGGGCCGAGGCATCGACTATATCCCCCGCATTACATGCCGGAAGGAATGAATGAATGACAATAAAACATAATAATATTTAAAAACCAGTGACACAAGACGGCACATACCTCAATCTGCATCTTGAGATGCTGCTTGAAGTTTGACAGCAGCGTGAGGAAGATGGCTAGTGATAACTCAAACACTTCTGGTACAGCACTCACACCATTTTTGGACAGAGCCACACATAGGTATTGCTTGATGGCATTTATAAACATTTCATTGGTACGGAACACATGGCCTGCATTCTGTAGGATGGAGAGCAGAAGTTGAAGTGACAAAATCTTTGACCTCAGCTCATGGGATCTGAAATAAAGAATTTATGTTCATACTTTCTACTGGCATGGAGTGAGATGGGACGGAGGGGAAGAGGAAGAGGGTATTATTTCAGTACCTATATACAGTAAACAATGGTTATAGAAAACATCTCTATAATGAACTGGCGGATAGAATGAACATTTCTTTTTCATCCCAGCTACATGTTGTATACTTTAATACCAAATGTATAACAAAATATGGTTATAATGAACTAAAGTTAAGCTGAGTTCATAACAACTGTAATTTACTGTATATTAAACATAATAATAATATCAATATCTTTCCTGGGTGAAGAAACAATGATTTACTCTGGCCTGAACATAACCGTCAACAGTAGGCTACAAGAGGCCACCACTACCCCTTTATTCATTGAAAGAAAACATTCAAGATGACAATACATATGAATATGTACATAATTAGCACAAAGACTGTTGGCCTCAAAAATATATTGTAGCATATTGTGATAAAGTTGTCAGTATTGCAATACTTATTGAGATATAGTGGGAAGTAAAATGTCTGATAGTGGCTGACACTGATTGTACCTCCAAATCCTATTTCCTATATATCATATACCGGTATACCACAATGTTAAAGTCAGTAAGGTTAGGGGAGGCCATTTTGTCGTCATGGATACTGGGGAGACAACATGAGAAAAACAACTTAAGTCTTTCTGACATTTCGTAAGCAAATTTGTGAATGAATCTCAGTGAAGATCTTAATTTAAATGATACAGATAATACTGAAACTTGCCATATTTTTTTTTACAAAAAACACTGGTACACAGCAAAAATATGTGACATGCAATACACATGGTTTGCAGCATTACCAGATACAATGTATCAATAATATTGTGGTCCTAAATGGTACTTACTCCGGATCAGGTGGGCCTTCCCCTAGTGGTTTCATGGACAGTTTACAAAGACTGCGGAACACAAGGAATGCATCCTTTTGAAGGATGTGACTAAACGCCCCCTGCATCTGTTCCACGCCGTCCCCAGCCTCAATGCTGTCATCTGATGTCAGACGAGAAAGTCCTGTAATAGTACACATTGGAGGTGTTAGCAATAACCTACTCATAATTGACAGTTCTTTTATACAACACACAGATACATTAATCTATATTAAGTATTCACTTGGTTTCAAAAATATAAAATATACAAACACAAAGCATGGTTTCTGCTGACAATTGTAGCATGATCATTTGGTTGGAACAGCTTTCAAGTAAGGCTTTGAAATTGTTTATGAGAAATTGGAACTGACTTAAATATGTATTGCTTTCATAGAAGTTCAAATGTAAAAATCAATGCAAACACAAATGTAGCACACTGGTTTCTGTGTTTATAACTATATAAATGCAAACAACATTGAAATCAATTCTTATGAATAAATATGTCGACAATATCCTCCCAGACTTCTTATTTAATCATCTACACACAAACACTACACCAGCCCCTCAAGTCTCTATAATCAGCTAATCAAGAAACAGTTGTCCAATGGTGGATCTGGCAAAAAGAATTTCTCAGTTAGCCATTCAAATTCAACGGAACCATCTACATTTATTACTAAATACCATGGCATATATAGTGAACGTTTTGGAGAATGTATCTGCGAAGGTAGAATGAACATATCACATGACCACAAAAGTTCAATGCATTGGAGAGGTGTTTGAGAGTATATGGGAGCCTGATTTCTTTGGGATTGCTGCTATAGTATTTGAATCTGGGACTTTCTAAATCTTTAACATCCATCCAGGACCATTTGACTTTCAGGAAGAAAAGAGAGAGTGACATAAATGAAATATGCAAACACCAATTTATTCAAATATTGATGAGCTGTAATAAAGAATGTGCAAGACAGGGTACTGTGCATGTGATATACATAATGATATTCACCATAGATCATGAGAAGCTGAGAAATGGGAGTGCTCATGGTTATACAAGAAAAGGTGGAATAAAATGTGCTGATTATACATAAGAAGGTGGAATATGGTATGTTGACTATACTCAAGAAGGTGGAATATGGTAAGTTGACTATACTCAAGAAAGTGGAATATGGCATGGTGACTATACATAAGAGGGTGGAATAAGCTATGATGACTATACATAAGAAGCTGGAATATGGTATGTTGACTATACTATACTGGAATATGGTATGTTGACTATACAAGAAGGTGGAACAAGTAGGTGGAATATGGTATGTTGACTATACATAGTATGGAAGGTGGTGGAATATGGTATGTTGACTATACACAAGAAGGTGGAATATGGCATGTTGACTATACATAAGAAAGTGGTGGAATATGGTATGTTGACTATACACAAGGTGGAATATGGTATGCGGACTATACATAAGGTGGAATATGGTATGTTGACTATACATAAGAAGGTGGAATATGGTATGTTGACTATACACAAGAAGGTGGAATATGGTATGTTGACTATACATAAGAAGGTGGTGGAATATGGTATGTTGACTATACACAAGAAAGTGATGGAATATGGTATGGTGGAAGGTGGTGGATGGTATGTTGACTATACATAAGAAAGTGACTATACACAAAGAAGGTGGAATATGGTATGCTGACTATACACAAGGTGGTGGAATATGGTATGTTGACTATACATAAGGTGGTGGAATATGGTATGTTGACTATAAATAAGGTGGAATATGGTATGTTGACTATACACAAGAAGGTGGAATATGGTATGTTTACTATACACAAGGTGGTGGAATATGGTATGAAGTGGAATATGGAATATGGTTTACTATACACAAGAAGGGAATATGGTATGTTTACTGTACACTGGAATATGGTATGTTGACTATACACAAGGTGGTGGAATATGGTATGTTTACTGTACACAAGGTGGAATATGGTATGGTACACACAAGGTGGTGGAATATGGTATGTTGACTATACACAAGGTGGTGGAATATGGTATGTTTTGTACATACAAGGTGGTGGAATATGGTATGTTTACTCTGTACACAAGGTGGTGGGTGGAATATGGTATGTTGACTATACACAAGAAGGTGGAATATGGTATGTTGACTATACACAAGGTGGTGGAATATGGTATGTTTACTATACACAAGAAATGGTGGAATATGGTATGTTTACTATACACAAGAAGGTGGAATATGGTATGTTTACTATACACAAGGTGGTGGAATATGGTATGTTGACTATACACAAGAAGGTGGAATATGGTATGTTGACTATACACAAGGTGGTGGAATATGGTATGTTGACTATACACAAGGTGGTGGAATATGGTATGTTGACTATACACAAGGTGGTGGAATATGGTATGTTTACTGTACACAAGGTGGTGGAATATGGTATGTTTACTGTACACAGAAGGTGGTGGAATATGGTATGTTTACTGTACACAGGGTGGTGGAATATGGTATGTTGACTGTACACAAGGTGGTGGAATATGGTATGTTTACTGTACACAAGGTGGTGGAATATGGTATGTTTACTGTACACAAGGTGGTGGAATATGGTATGTTTACTGTACACAAGGTGGTGGAATATGGTATGTTGACTATACACAAGAAGGTGGAATATGGTATGTTGACTATACACAAGGTGGTGGAATATGGTATGTTTACTATACACAAGGTGGTGGAATATGGTATGTTGACTATACACAAGGTGGTGGAATATGGTATGTTTACTGTACACAAGGTGGTGGAATATGGTATGTTTACTGTACACAAGGTGGTGGAATATGGTATGTTTACTGTACACAAGGTGGTGGAATATGGTATGTTGACTATACACAAGGTGGAATATGGTATGTTGACTATACACAAGAAGGTGGAATATGGTATGTTGACTATACATAAGGTGGAATATGGTATGTTTACTGTACACAAGGTGGTGGAATATGGTATGTTGACTATACACAAGGTGGTGGAATATGGTATGTTTACTGTACACAAGGTGGTGGAATATGGTATGTTTACTGTACACAAGGTGGTGGAATATGGTATGTTTACTGTACACAAGGTGGTGGAATATGGTATGTTTACTGTACACAAGGTGGTGGAATATGGTATGTTTACTGTACACAAGGTGGTGGAATATGGTATGTTGACTATACACAAGAAGGTGGTAGAATATGGTATGTTGACTATACACAGGAAGGTGGAATATGGTATGTTGACTATACACAACATAAAGCACACTGTGGCTTTGTACTGGCTGAATAGCCAGTGATGATGATCATGATGATATAGTATGTATAACATACCGATGTGAAACAAAGTAATTCACTGCACACCCACACAAAGCAAGGACACTGCTACTGCATACTGTAAACCGGAAATATTCTGCGTCAGTTTATATTTTGCGTTTCTCTTCCCCACGCAAAAAAATCTCCGCGTAATATAAAGAAAGGTAAATTTACATCAAGAATATCTTTGACATTCCTCCTTCAATATTTATCAGTATTCTTGACCACACAATCAGCATACCAGTTTGTGAACTCGGTTTTCACAGCTGACTTAAACTCCGAATTAACTGACAGGTCCATTGGCTGCAGTTCGCCAGTGCAACCAGCCGGAACAAATTTGTCAATGAAGTTCCGCTGCTTCAGCTTGCTCAGGCATGGTTTACACGATGTGCTGCACAAACATCAAAGATCAGCAGAGATTTCTGTCTCAATGGCAACTTGAGTTTTTTTTCACAGTCTTAATGTAAGGCACAATATACTCGAGCATGGTCGATTCATTGCTCCAATGATTTGCCGAGTGAGTCACGTGCAAGGTTTCTGGGAATTTGAAGTGGGCGTGGCATCTATCAGTAAGTCCTTGGTAAATCAGCTGAGGGAGGAGGTCACCACTTGCACTAATTCCTAATACCATTGTCACTTCACGCTTATCTTCTAGGCCTACAAATGCCCACTTGTTTTGACCCTTGAGTAGCTAATGTCCAGTTTGAGACAGGTACAATTTTGACATTAGTTTGATCAAAATTAATAACCAAATCCGATGGGATGTCGTGTTTGGAAACTGCCTCCCTACACCACTAATGAACTGTTCCTTCTGTTCGTCAAAGTTATCAGGCAATTATCTAGCTGCTTTTCGTACCTTTACGTTTGACAAAGCCTGCTCTCATTTAAAAGATTCTGCCCATGTTTTACTTAAAGAAATGGGGCCCCCATATTCAGCAAGAAGTGACCTATTTTCAAAAGAAACCATACCCTTAGCAGTAGCCCAAAAAATATTGCAATTGACAATCCCCCCATAGTCACGAATGGCAGTCACGTGTTCTCTACAAGTTTGTCTAATTCTCCCAACATGAGGGGACGGCCACGTTGTTTGGGTACTAGTTCTTCTATATCAGCAGTCTTGTCTTCTTTCTTCTTAGCAAGGTAGGCCTTCGTCATGAATCTGACGGAGCTTTCGCCAATGTTAGTTTTAAGAACAGAACTGAAGTGCCTGGCAGCCCTGGTATTGCCGTTGTCAATCGCATATTTGCGATCTTGGCTCTTGTGGTTGGAGAGAAATTGTTATTTTCTCGTTTTCTCTTGACACCACGTTTAGTAATGGTTGTGTCATGGCTACCGCTATTTAAACTTTGTTCAATGGTCTGGTTAACAACAGCCATCCTCTTAGCCTTCTCGGGTGTCGAGGCCTTCGAAGGATATGGTAGGCCTATGTCTCCACGCTTCTGTGCAGTTACAAACCTCCACATTTTGTTTTTGTGAGAGACTGACCATTCTGTCGTTTAAAGTTACATGTCCACTGACAGTGAGTTATCAATCTCAGTGCCCACTGACAGTGAATTGATACTGTTGAGATCAAAGGATTAATAAGAAGCAATGTAGTTTTAGTTAACAATGTTGTTTTAGCAAGGCCTACTACTCTCGCAAAAATAATACGTCGCAGAACAGGCTGGGGGTACGTTGATGCAAAATTTCCAAGGAGCAGAAAATTTCCGGTTTACAGTACATTGTTACAACACTATTACCTCCACCTTTCACCCCATCTACTGTTGGGGAGGGATCAGGCTCAGGACCGGAGCTGGAACCTGGAGGAGGGACAGGCTGGTCTGAGTTTGGGGAGGTTGGATCACCCTTCGGACCTACAGAGGCAAAATCCCACGTCATGCAATCGCATTCCGTTTGTATTCAAACCTTGCAATAGTTCCAAGCAGTTCTTCAACAAGATTTGCAAAGTGAAAGCTTCAGTTGAAATTTGATCAAAATAAAGTACTATAATAACTCACAACACATAAATAAACTCAGGACATACACATTCTTTGTGATCAAATTGTGTTATTGACATTTTCTTCTTGTCTCCCAGAGAGGTGTCTATGTTAATACAATCATTATTCAATTTTTTTTAAAATGTCCCCATAGATCATGTGGGATACTGCAATATATTATACATCATTATCTAGCTAACAACAACCGTGAACACGTTTACTTGGTACCACAAGATTACAATTTCTCTGCTAGAAATGAAAGAAAATACCCATGTTTAAAATAAGATCTGATCTGAGCATGTGTGAGTGAATTACAACAGCATGATTTAAAGTATCATCCATGCAAAATTTCAGCTTTAAATATTTTGAAAATATAAAAAGAAATTGTCAAAAGAAGTATTCCATGATCTAAACAAATTTGCAATTTCACTTAAAAAAGTGAAAAACTTCCAACTTTGTTGATAGTAGTATTTATCAATGAGATACATGGGGAAAACTGAAAGTGAGTGAACGAGTGAGTGACTGAGTTTAGTTTTGCGCCGCACTCAGCAATATTCCAGCTATATGGCGGCAGTCTGTAAATAATCAAGTCTGGACCAGACAATCCAGTGATCAACAGCATGAGCATCGATCTGCGCAATTGGGAACCGATGACATGTGTCAACCAAGTCAGCGAGCCTGACCACCCAATCCCGTTAGTTGCCTCTTACGACAAGCATAGTCGCCTTTTGTGGCAAGCATGGGTTGCTGAAGACCTATTCTACCCCGGATCTTCATGGGTCAAAAGTGAAAAGGGAGTCCACACTTTGGATGGTTTCAAATTTCCTCATGTTCATACCCGTAAATCTCTATTTGAAATACGTAAACTAAACTCTAATTTATGGACCATGATCTTTTAACTGCCAATAGTTTTCGCTTGAAAAGTGAAACTTGTTGAAGAAGCTTAGATCTAAAACACAAACTTTGATAGTGACATGCCATGGAACAACAAACAAAACAGTGACCTGAAATATGTGCATTATTCCTAAAAAAAGAAAAAACTTCAAAAGAAAAATAACTTAAAAAAATAAATACCAGGCAAAACTGAACACATGCATCATGAAAAGAAACTCGCTCTTCAATCAAAAAAGTATGTGCAACTCTGTTGAGATCAGCAAACAAAGATCAGGGAAAACAAGCAGTTGTCATGGTTACTATCACAATTAAATAGAGTGACTGAACATCATCTAAATAACAACTTTAGTAAACATTGTTGATTGTTAAGAGAATAAATAAATGTTAATTCAAACATATTCAAATGGGAGATTTCACCAATGCCACTGGCAACACAACCTACCTGAAACAATCTGATCTACCAGTTCGTCAAGAATCCCGTGGGCAATATCTTCTGGGGTCTCCGGTTCATGATTTTCTTGTATGTCTGCAAGTAACACATACATGAATGATATTTAAAAAGCAAGACTTCTTTAGTCTTGAAGATTTATTAATTATGACTACACCTCAGTGAGGTCCAGGTTATTTACATCACTCAGTTAATGTCAGTAAACACCTCTACCAACCTTGCTCTCCGTTGTTATCTGTCACATCCCTGTCTTGTTCGACGGCCTCATTCTCCTCGGTCTGAAATGAAGTTGAAGTGGATGAGTAAATGAGTGTGAGTTTAGTTTTACACTGCTTTTAGCAAAACTCCAGCAATATCACGGTGAGTGACTCCAGAATGGGCTTCAAACATTGTACCTATGCGGGGAATCGAACCCGGGTCTTTGAACGCTTTAATCACTAGGCTATGACATCACCCCGATCAGTAAGTGAACAAATGTATAATTAAACCAAATCACCTGAAACCAAACCCTTTTTAAATCATGATGTGTTGATTGTTTGTTGTTTAACTCTTTAATCTAACTTCACTATACTTAATGCTTTGTGATAGTAATCCATTTAAAAAAAAATAATGGAGGGGTTGATATCATGAGCAACTAACAGGATTTGATGGTAAGGCTTGCTGACTTGGTTGATGATGCATGTATTTGTATCCCAATTGCATAGATCTATGCTGACAATGTCAATCACTGGATCAGAACCAGTTATTTACAGACTAGTCATATCTTAACACAATGGTGAAACCCACAGTGAGTCTGGTTTTACTCCGCTTTAAAGGTCACATGCAACGCAAAACAACTTTGCAGCTTCTGATACCTTTCGGTATGGACTTACAGTAACAAATCATCAAAAATGCAAATTCAACTTATAAACTTGAAAATAGCGATGAACCCCACCACACCCCACCCCACCCTTGCAATTGTAAATCGGAGTTCAAATGATTCACTAATTTCACCCCAGCGCTGGGGTGACAAGTGGTTTCAACAGCTATGCTGTGCTGCGCTGCACCCATAGCGCATGCGCAGTGATTAGGTTTGCACGGCTTGAACCGGGAAGGCGACTCGTAAATATAAAACAGCAAGTGATGCGTGCAAGGATTATCGCTGTGGTCGAAGTTGGAGAACAAAAGATGTTTCTTGTGATTACAAGCATCTTTGGTCTGCAGTAATAAAAATACACTGGTCCCATACCTTTTCTTATATGTTTTCACATCTTGCTTTTGGGGGTTGGCAGATTTGCAAACCAAGTTTTCAAGAAAGTGTATCATTAGAAATACTAATTTCTTTGTTTAAAATTGCTCAGCTTGAAAACTGAAATGTTTTAATACATGTCTATGGAAACAGAGAAAATTATGTTGATTGTGATAAGCAGTCTCTGTCACAGACAAAACTCAATGTCTGTTTTATTGACACCTATGTGTCTGCTTGCTTGTCTGCTAATGACAATATGCAATACACAACTTCAATCATTGACCACATGCAATTTGAACACCATAAACAAAATACATTGATTTATGGCTCGTGCACCTGAGTTCTGTCTCTGTCACATTATGTAATTACACAGACAGGCAGGTGTGATACTTGTACACATGACATGTTATTATGTCTGTGGGTTGCAAACAAACAGCATCCATTTTTCTCGGATGACTGGATCGGACAGAAACCGGTGCAAACTCAGATTGTCAGTTTCAAGTCCTGCTTTGTACGAATGACAGTTTCGAATGACAGTTTCCAGCCATTGGCGGTAGTTCACCATTTGTATTTGTTCACCCAACATCTCTTCCAGGTGTTCGAGAACAGATGGAACAAACTACGGCACAGTTCACAGGTTAATGAATCAAGAACTTTGTCAGTACTTGTGCACATGCTTCTCTAACACCTGGCTGTCCCTTTCTCTCCACTCCTCCCTCGTAACAAATAGTGAACTGTGTCAATATTTTAATGATAGTTTCTTAAACAACTTTTTTGGTGGGGTCCGGAAAATTTTCAAATATAAGAAAGCTGTTGGGTATTAGTAAATGATAAACATGTATACTATTTATATTTATGTGGCAATTTTGTACAATGGTAACATTTGCAATTCATCGGTCCGTTTCTGACTCAAACGGACTGTAAGTATGGTGATCATCAGTATTACCTCTGTCTGATCCTCAGTGCCATCCCCCTTGTTAGAGACTTTGTCATTTCGACCTTTATTCTCCTGCTTTGACTGTCTCTCTTGCTCCTGGGGATAAATAAACAGCACAGACAATTAATTAACTGAAATAATGATGGATTGGAAGGTCCAAACAACAGACCACCATTTTCCACAGCAGAGATACAATGAAACTGCATCATAATACTTTGCTGATCATTATGATGTCATCTGTTACCATGATGTCACAATCAAATGACATCACTAATTTTTCTGACACTGAAGCTCAAGACCTTATCCGTGTTACTTCAGTTTACAAAAAGAAAAAGTTGGAAGAATGAATTTGGACAGTAAACAGAACCTCATCCTTGAACCTCATCCTTATATCTCAGCAACTGTTATTAATTTATATCCCATGATTCTATGCACAAAGTTTCATATACTTAGTTGAACAAGTGAGAAGAGTTGGATATTACAGTCTCAGCAGTACAGTGTTAGATATAAATCAAACTCAGTACTCACAGCTTGTGCCTCCATCCTGGAGAATATAACATTGAGCATCTGCGTGAGAGTGGCCTTGGCTGTGGTCTGGTTGACGAGGTTCTTGCTGGCCAGGTAGATATTGTAACATGTCCGCACCGTCTGTAGCACTGTACCCTCGTGTATCTCACAGGTGTTGGACGTTACCACAGTCAATAAAGCCTGCACACAAGGTAAGTCATAAAGTATATCTGTGTAGCTTTTATAACTTCTCACATGTGTGAGTTGGGTTTAACACAGGTGTGAACTGTATTAAGCAGGGTTTTATGTGATGCTCAAATGTAGAGAAAAGGTGCAGAAAAACAATTCACTGCGTTCAGAGGGATGCACAATATTATTCATTGTACCCACAACACATCTGTGACAATGTTAAGTGTTTGGTCGTTTCTTTCAGAGCAGTTACTTGCACCATTTCATCCACCAGTCCACATAATCAATGATTCATTCCAGGCTCTAAAGAAATTATCAAAACATACAGTTCTCTAAACGTTGATTCACAGGACCCTCATACTGTTTGCAAAGACTCTTAAAACTGATAATTAGGGGTCCTTGGGACCCTCATGTTTAATTTAAGTCATATCGCGGCTTGTAAGGTTAATCATGTTAATATGGGAAAACCTGAAGTGTAGTAGGTCTCAGACGTTAACCACTTAGTGGAACCGACAACCACAGGTTTGGTGCTGACAACCCAGAAACATGACAACGGCAAACCAGTCTCACTGAGTGATTGGAGGGTTAATTCTATGTCCTGTTTCAGTGAGTAGCTGTTAAAAATTAATTGACTCAACCAGAGCTACAGATAACTTTTTGGGTCATTGAGTTATGTACTCACTTGTGTTCATCTCAATTGGGTATCCTAATTTTCCTTTGAGTAACCAAATAAATTGTACCCACCTCACACAAACTTAATTGGGTATTTTGCCATTTTCCATTAATTGTAAAAATATAAGACTGCAAGTTGCCAAGTTCATGTCCTGAAATAGAACCTCTCAGTAGACCTCAGTTATTTTATCTATCCACCGGTACGTAAGCTAAGATTTGACATTTTTGTATGTATGCATGTAAGATCAAATGTATTGAGTGTTTACAAAAATTCAAGCATACCTGTACGCAATAGACCTAATAGGAATTGAGTTTTCACATAAATATTTGCGTAATTTACGCAAATACGCAGCTTATCTGTACCTGTGCTCAACATTCTATCATATCACTGTGGCCTTTGAACAATCAGTCTGGGTAAGGCCAACCAATGACTGACAGCATGAATGACTAGCCATCATCCAGGTCATACATATTATTGCGCCATCCTCATTCGTCAGCCCTTACAATGAGTTGGGTTTAACGGCGTGATATGGGAGAAAAGCCCAAATTGACGCAGGTGGCATTTTGTTCTTCAGGGAAATGCACGTAACTAGGTATGGTGCTGACAAACCTAGAAATATCACAGGGGCCAGCAGGGCTGACACCCACAATCCGGTGTGCCAAGGGAAGTAACTCTGCACAGTGAATATGGCACCTTGAATGAGTTGGCTTTATCCATTCAGAAGCAATCTTAAAACAAGGGCTATGACACTGATACAGAAAAATGGTTCACAAACCTACACATGGTCCTGAAGCCTGACAATCAGCCTAACAAGATTAATCATGTTACTAGTTTGCTACATTCATTGAAAACAATTGTTAGTTCAAGGTAGTCATCCCTCGCAGTAACACTCTCTGCGATACTGCAGATTTGGTTCAACCAGAGGGTAATCTGTGGCTCCCAATAAAAAGAAGTTGCCCAGCGATCACAGTCATACCGTTGAGCTCAGATTAATCAGTTGTAAACTGGCGAAATTCAATGCAGATTGCAATGAACAGTATTCATCGTACATATCCGTGTTTTTTCAGATGCTAAAAACATTCAGGGTTTACTTGAATAATCAGACAAACAACGGAACATCATGATAACTTATAAAAGACAACTTTATCATAAAGACATGCCATCAGCCGAGTACTTACGATGTTTGCTGTGATGCAACATACCGCATTACAGCCCGAGTAAACTTGCCATCCGAAAAAGTATGATGTCAGAATACACATCATAAAACGATCTTCCTGGATTTCATTTTATTTGATTATATTTAATCTCATTTCATTCATTAAAACTGTTTACAGTAACATTGGAGAAAACGTGTGTCAAATGGCATCACCTCATTCTATACGCTTACAACCTTAAAACAAGGCAGAAATGGGCTTCACACATTGTACTCATGTGGGAATCGAACCCGTGTCTTCACATTGTGCTTTTGTTATCTGTAAGATATCAACAGTTACTCACTGATAATGACATAGAAATAGTTATTAAATTCTTTGATGTTATGTTTTTAACTGAATCACCGGTACATTGGACCAAAACGTGTACACAGCTGATTGCTATTTCCAGCTTAGTTGAATAACAGGTAGCATAACAAGAACAACAATTCAATTATCAGGTCTAGTGATGTTTGAATGTAAGTTTGCTGTATATATATCTATTTTCATTTACAAAGGGTTTTTTTCACCTTGGATGATATGATATAGGTTTGAAAGGTCACAATATACGAAATAGCAGTTCTGTTATGTCCATGGAAAATACGATTTTACTTGGCCTTTATTCCAGTTACCTGTATTGCAATAGAGATGATAGATATTGGGATTTAAGTGACAATGATTGACACTGATTGCACAGGCCAGGCAGATACCACTTTCAGCACGAGAAATTTTCAACATTATTCAACATTGTCATTTGCACCATTGTCATGGATAGAGGGGAGATAATATGTGAGAGTAAAGTTATATTTTGGAATGTTTGATGTTTTTAAACAATATCAATTCAATCTATAATAATGAAACTTGTATTTGTTTCCGAGGAACACAGTAAATATACTGCAATATGTATTTTGAAAAGTGAGTGAGTGAGTTTAGTTTTACACATCTTTTAGCAATATTCCAATATTCTTGCATCCTTAGTACATCAGTCCACGAGTACAGTTCACTACCTACCTTAATTATTTGCAGCTGTACTCCCTCGTCTGTCTGCGGTCCGTGAAAACACCCGCATATTGTCTCAACTATCCTGTCTATAAGTCTTTTGCCAGGAGTTGTAGTGTCAGGGACATTTCCAGTGAGGTGGCCATATGCTATCAGTTTCTGGAAGAGACAATACAGATATCACTCTGAGAGTGAGTGAGTGAGTTTAGTTTTATTCCACAGTCAGCAATATTCCAGCTATATGGCGGCGGTCTGTAAATAATTGAGTCTGGAGCAGACAATCCAGTGATCAACACCATGAACATCGATCTGCGCCATTGGGAACCGATGACATGTGTCAACCAAGTCAGCGAGCCTGACCACTAGATCCCATTAGTTGCTTTTTACGACAAGCATGGGTTACTGATGATCAATATTCTAATCTGGATCTTCACTGGTTATCACTTTCAGAGATCTCTCACTGATCACTGACTGATTGCAATGGTCTAACTCAAGATGAAATAATCACGACAGACAGAAAGACAGATACCCACGCACACTACTTTCTGGAGAGTACGAGGGACGTTCATTAAAGATTTCCCCTGACCCACTTCTGACAGACTTGGACAAACATAGGCACCACCAAGAGTTACTCACTTTCCCCATCATTTTATGCAACTCTGAACGCCTTGTTTGTAAAAAGCTGTGAGTTGAGCCTCAAGCCATGACTTCCCTTTGGAAAAAGTGCATCATGGGTTGAGCCTCAAAAATGACTTCAAGGTTGACTTCAGATGGTGTTTCATCATGTGGAAGGATTTCATGGCCAAGCGTGCTTCCTTCAATAAGTTGTGGACTGGGGCATTGTCTTGCCGGAGACGGACTCTCTGGTCAGCATGCTGTGCCTTTTGAGTTTGATACCTTCTTGCAATTTATGCAGTAGTGAAGCATAGTAAGTCCCAGTGATTGTGGTACCGTTTGCCAGGAAATCCGTCATCACTACTTCATGCTGGTCCCAAAAGACAGTGAGCATGACCTTTCCTGCAGAGGATTGAACCCTTGCCTTCTTTGGGGGTGGTGAGTCAAAATGCTTCCACTGCATAGACTGGACTTTAGTCTCGGGGTCATAGTGATGAACCCTTGTTTCATTCTGTGTGTCAAGTCTGTCAAAAAAGGCTTCCTGGTTTTCTTGGCACATGTGCAAAAGAGCCTTTGAGCAATCGACCCGTTCCTGCTTCTGAAAAGGAGTGAACAGCCTGGGAATCCACTGTGCACACTCCTTATGCAAATGGTTATGAATGATTTTTTCCACAGACCCTACACTTATCTTGACATTTTGGTCTAAGAGGCGAACAGTTATACATCAGTCGTCTAAAATGGCAGCCTCAACTTGCTGGATGGTGTCTTCATCAATGGCGGAATGGGGACGCCCAGGAATGGGAGCATTTTCAACAGATGTTCGGCCACACTTCAACTGGCGATGCCAGTGTTTTACACGTCTTCAGATGGGGCATCATCCCCATAAGTTTCTTTCATTTCCATCGGCCCTCCCAATTTCCCTCTGCCGCGGACTTACTTTTTCAAACAAAACCTTGGAGTCGGTTTTGATCCTTCACATATAACACACTTTACATAACAATGATGGCAAGAACTTTCAAGTTTAATGAACCAAATAAAGCACCAACCTGTAGGCAGTCGAGAGCTGCATTCACAATGCGGGGACATTTTGACTGACATGCTAGCTCAAATGGTAGAAAGTACTTGTCGGCTTCCACAAACCCTGCCTTTTTGGGCATCGGCAGGGCTGATGAAGATGTGTTCTCCACACTGAAGACAAAAACACCGCTGATGATATAAGTCATGGCCAGTACACTGCTAACCAGTTTAATTACAAGCACAAACCAGTTTCAGATTTCTTAAGCAGCTGAACAGGATATTATCATTTTCCCCTTAAGCTATTATTCATGTTAGGTAATACTGACATAACATGGCAGATAATTCTCAAATCATAATTACACGATGCCATTTAGAAAGTATGTTATAGTTGGGATTACACATTCTTAGTAGAGATTCTAGAACTTTTGTTGGGTTGAGTCCCATCCAGGATTTGAACTCACCCCTGACCCAGGCACCTAATCACCAGCATACAAAGTCATCCGCCTAACCTGCTTCCCGCTTTGGAAGTCGCGGTGGCTGAGCAGGTTAGGCTGCTGCTGACTTTTCGAACCCACACCCTCAGAGCCAGGCACCTATTCGCCAGCACACAAAGTCATCTGCCTAACCTGCTTGCCGCTTGTGGACGTCGCGGTGGCTCAGCGGGTTAGGCTGCTGACTTTGTGTGCTGCCGATTAGGTGCCTGACTCTGAGGGTGTGGGTTCGAATCCTGGATAGGAATCAACCCAACAAAAGTACTAGAATCTGTACTTTACTAAGAAAGTGTAATCCCAAACACAACATATGTTATATTAGCATCGTAGTTAAAATCGAAATCAAAGAGGCAGTAACAGATTAAATAACGAATATCTGATGTGTCTGACATAAATAAAAGTATAGAAGGCAATTATTCAAACACATATATCATTGCATAGTGACCATGTCCACACACATTTCAAAATAACTGTCTTCAGGTTTTTTATAATAAACTTCATTAAAGACATCTACATCTATATCATTTAATGTCTACTAATCTGAAAACAATCAACACCCAAACGCAAGGCAGAAAGTTACCTAACTTGATGAAGATAAAAGCCGGCAGTCAAAACTAATCACTCTAACCATATCAATGATATCAAATAAGATAAACGTAAGCATGAATTGATATTCATCAACATAAATGCAAATGAATGGTGATTATCACCAAATAGCTATGACTACTTCCGGCTGATATCTTTTCCAATCACCCAAAACTGGAACTAAAATAACAACCTTACAAGATTGTCAACATGCATCTGAGAATAAAGGCAGCTGTACACATGTTGACAAGACTATCCATTAAGCTGAAGACTTGCAGAATTGGTCATGCTCCTCCAAACCAATGCTTCCCAGGTACGAAGCCTGGCATTGGTAATGCGTATATGTATTTGTCCTTCGGAGTCACAAACATAGTTGGGAAATAACTTAAAGAGATGAAATATAGACAGACTATAGACATCACTTACTTTTTCCTACGAAATGTTCTGAAATTTGAAATTCCTCCATGTACATTTGTACTATTGCTGAAAATTTCTGTAATGATCTGGGAATCTCTGCAAAATTTTGATTCATTAAATCATTTGCTGAGCTCAGTCCAAGTAATTACTTGATCCTTGCACCTTCAATTATTCAGGATTCCAGTAATCCATCTATATGAAGGCAGCCCGTACAAAATCAAGTCTTGCCCAGACAATCCACTGATTCACATGAGCACATTAATACAATTGGGATACAATGACCACCTGATGTCAACAGTTGCCTTTTATTACAACTTGTTTGAGACCATTTCTAACCACAGGGATTTATCCAGGATTTCAAACTAAGTGACATTGGCTTGCAATTTTGGAAAGTGTATTGTGAAAATTTTGACTTTTTATTTTTAGGCTATTTATTTTAGAATTTTTTTGAATATAGGTAATTTTAACATTCAACTTGTGAACTTTCGCTCTTCTTTTCTGCAGAGTTGGGGCTGAATGTCAGTCTATGAACATGTCTAGATAAATCCCTGAACCAGTATCTTCATGACTTAATGATTATGTCAACACACTGGCAAGTGAATGTGCTGACAAATGATGTTTTAAAATCATGATAACAACATTTCTTTCACCATCACTCTTCTGATTTCATAATTGAAATAGACATGATAATACTGCACTCTTGATGAAATATGGATTCTTTCATCAACATTATTTAGAAAGCGATCAGGGTGTACCTTGTGCAGGGATAGAAAATAGCAGCATCACTAGCTAAGTGGAATTTGAGGAATTCTAAGAGGGTTCTAGAATATCATTTACATCTGATTTTCATTTGTCCTTGCTATTTATTTGGAATATTTTTGTGTGGTTAAATTATGTACCTGAATATTTGAGAAATGTTTTTAAATTGGAGTATCAGTAAGCATGGGTAAGACCCATTACATGTTCTTGAGAATTTAAGTCTGAACACATATTGTTACGTTACCATCTTTGGGATACCTCTGTCTGCGACCCTAGCCACAAGAGAAACCAAAGTCAGTTCAAAATCTGTTTTGCTTTCTAAACTCAGCAAATACCACACCCTTTAGTAACACTGAAATGTACTGAAAATGATGCCAAAAGCAATGGAACTTTTTTGCACAGACTCTTTCTAAGTATGCATGGATACTTGACCAATGAGGCAGTTGAGAGAATTGCTTAACTTCTACATGGGCACAAACAATATAACCAGGTAAGTTCTGATTCTAATACAGCTTGAAGCAATTCTGTTTCATGTGATCAAATCAGAAAAAACATGAGTAATCTCGCAGAACTCACCTCTGGTCTTTCTGGTCATTTTTTAACTCCTCTGAAAAAACAATATTGAAAGATTTGATCATGGTCAAGAAGTGTTGGACAAGGTGCTTTAGTTTCCTATTGTCATTAATTACAATTAATAACCATTGAAAACAATTCATTCTAGGCTTAGGCTTCAAGATACAGAATCAAAGGTTACAATTGCCAATATAACATCGATTTCTAACAATATTTGAGGATAATAGTGTTATGAGGTAGTTCAGATATACACGGTATTAATACTGTAGGAATTTAAAATGGTGCTATACGAGGGTTACAACACAACAAAATGGTTTGTGCGATGAAAACACCGACACACGGTTCGTTGCACACTGACAGGTGTTGACAAATGTCACCGACAAATACACACATCTTGGGCTCTTCCGCTTTCGTGTAGCGTTTACATTCACTACCAGCTTTGTTTCACATACTCCAAACATCCGAAGGCATGTACAGTGGAGAAAAAGCGGTATGAAATAAGTCAACATCCATTATTCGATGGACGACAGTGATATCTGTCATTGGCATTTGTCAAAATAATATGCACAAAAACTCACCAAGTGCCACCTCACAAGCCCGTTTCAGTTGAGAATGATGAGCCTTTCTAATTTCTTTGTCAGTTAGAATCTTCTCAAGTGCACGAGTCAAAAACATATTGTAAGCTTCCAAATGCCGCCTTTATTACATCAAACGGCACACATGAGCGTGTATCATTTTCTAATACCGGTCACACCTCTAAACAACTTTCACGTAGGACTAATCGTCATCCGCCATGCTGGAGATCACGTGACCCATGGACAACACTATTTTCTATCTTTTAAAACTTTATAAACAGTTATGTTTTTTAAAACATTAATAGGGAAATGCTGTGAATAAAAACGTCCATAAAATAATTTTATAATGTAAATCGGATCGGGTTTTTTGACCGAGACTGCCTTAGTTGCTGCTGAACAGTCGAAGCAAAATGGACTCTAAAAATGCACAGAAAACTTGGGAGCTCAGCAATAGCGTCGAAAGTGTTAATAGCACAGATGATATTTACCGCTATGACAACAAGCAACAGCAAGATATATTAACAGCAAAACCCTGGGAAAGGGAGTAAGTATGAGCTACAAAAGGATATCAGAGAAAAAACGAATAAGCAGTTTGGTGAACACTCTAAGTTAGTTGTATGTCCAGTTCTCGATCACCGGATGAGTCAGTGTCTATAGATTTGTGCATATGCTGATTATATTTGACTGTCAAAGCATGAAAGAACAAGTGGTCCTTACAACTGGAGAACATGATGAGAATTTATAGTGAGATATGTGCATAAAGCCTTGGTTCCTTGGTTGTGGATACCCGTGAAGATCCGGGTTAGAATTGGTCTTCAGCAACCCAGGCTTGTCGTAAGCCTAAGAATAAGGGGCGACTAACGGTATCGTGTGGTCAGGCTCGCTGACTTAGTTGACACACTTCATCGTATATCCAAAATGCATAGATCGATGATTGTGCTGTTGATCACTGGGTTGTCAGTTCCAGATTTGATTATCTACAGATACATATATAGCTGGAATATTGCGTGTAGGAACAAACCAACCAGCCAACCAACCTTGGAGTTGGAAGTGGTCATGAAAAAAGTTCTTGATGAACTACCAGCTGAATACATTCTAATATAAATCAAATCTTTTACTGCGATATGATACCCCTGTGTGTGAAGTTACAAGTACACATCAACATGAGTCATGTCAGGTGAACTCTCTTTCATGTCTATCAGCAATCAGTGGCAAGGTTTCTTAATTCTTGGAATGAGTCAATGAGGCATTCAGACATCATGAAGGAACATATCTGATTTTGTTCCTGGCTTTTGTTTCTTATAGCTGTCAAGAATCGAGGAGGTGTGATTGCAGAAAAAAGTTGTGCTGTAATATTGCTGTTGTTAGTTTTTACATCCTGTCGTTTATGAGTTCCATGGCCTTGACACAAAAGGTTAAACAGTCTTGATCTTGTTGCAGAGAGGTAGTAACACTCGAAATACTAAACAAGTGGAATCTAAAATGCGAATTCATCTCAATGCAAGTGTGGATTGTCACTGTTTGAAGGGAAACATAGGACAAATGGTTTTGCTTTTGTTTCATTACTGCAACTGGTGTTTAGTAAGTATCAAACACTGACTGGTTTTGTAATTTTGTTAGATCTTGTTTTTTCATATGAAGCCCTTTTCTGTTGTCCCCCGCCATGATATTGCTGGAATATTGCTAAAAGTGGCGCAAAACCATACTCACTCAGCTGACAGCATGATTAAGATAAACAGTTAAGTTTTCATTTACGCTTCGGGTCATATATATGGTGCTTGGGGCAGTGAAATTAAGGAGGATCACAGAAAAATAGTACATCGGACAAGGGGGAAAATTTGGTGAGGTCAGCCAAAAAGCATCATATAGATTAGTGCTAGAAGTAGACATGAAGTTAGCACACATTGAAACAATGAGTATTCTTTTTTCAGTCCCCACTATTTCAAGCACATCAAGATATCTGCTCTGGCTCTGCTGAAGATGGTGATGCATGCAAGGTCAGGGGGTAATCTGGAAGTGATGGGGCTGCTTCTTGGAAAAACTGATGGCAACACAATGATTGTCATGGATGGTGTAGCTCTCCCAGTGGAAGGAACCGAGACTAGAGTGAACGCTCAGGCTCAGGCGTATGAATACATGGCTGCTTACACTGAAGCTGCCAAGCAGGTAGATAAGAACACCAATGATTGGTTATCTCCCATTTCAGTCTATTCATACTTTTGAATGTAGTGTATGTTTTAAAACTGTTGCTCTTTAAAAAAACAGGAATGAGTGGTAATTTGCAACATAACACTAAAACCTGTTTCCAATGAAGATGGTGACTGATTTTGGTCTTATGAAGTATATATACATTTATGTTAGATTCATAAAAATCAGACAAGACTTGGATGACAAAAGTTAGAATTGGAATTTCAAAGGAAAGGCTGTTTCATGGGGACCTGATAAGGGTTCAGGAATCCGGTGATCCATAATTTGTTTATTTTTGTTTTCCTAATGAGTGATGACTGAAAATACTTATTTTAAGTCCAATTCCATGTCTGTCGCGATATCCTTTCAGAAAGCTGCCCAGAGTTTGAAAAGACATATTTTTGTGGCTAAAGTCAGTTTCTTTGGGTGTGTTCTGTATTTATGGTACCCCTAAATCCTGGGTGTATATGAGAGTCATCTACCATTGTGTCCTTGTGCTTTCATCCCAGGTTGCCAGACTTGAGAATGCTATAGGATGGTACCACAGTCACCCTGGTTACGGATGCTGGTTGTCTGGTATTGATGTCAGCACTCAGATGTTGAACCAGCAGTTCCAGGAACCATTTGTAGCTATTGTGGTAAGTGTTCAGATCAAAGGTCTCTGCTCAGAATACACTGTTATTTCAAACCAGGTGTTTTCTTAAATGAGACAAGCTGTAATTGATGGGAACAAAGATAAAGATAGTGTCTGATGGATTACATTGTTCCAAGCTGACCATACCATCGAACACTTAGAAAACTCTTTCGCAAAACATCGTATAATATATGATTGTCAAACTTTTAGAAACTTAAACCATAACATACTGACATGATAAGACAGATTCTGTTTTTTATAGTATAGCAAAGTATATCAATTGGATATAATGAGTTCCTTATAAGATATGTTACTTTTGACATGTGTATTAGGATATATTTGGAAAATATTTTTCGTATAATACATACATACATATATTTAACCATTTGACGTGTATTCCAAAATACTTCATATATTACCATGACTACTTGTTTCAATTTGTAATGGTTGTATTTGTTTGGTGGTTGATATTGATTTCAGTAGTACTGCCATGTTCCAAGACTTACAGTGACTGTTGTTTTGTAGATTGACCCTGTGAGAACTATATCTGCTGGTAAAGTCAACATTGGAGCGTTCAGAACATACCCCAAGGTGAGTGGAATATGTGGTGTCATTACTGTATTATCTTTGTGATTAAGGTGTCAGATTAACTTGGTTGTGGAGCTGTGACAACTGTAGTGTTGTGTTGACTTTGTGCGCTCTGTGGATTAATCATTTCATACCAGTCTAAGAACACCACACGTTGCCAGTCCTCTTAATTCAGTTTACTAGTTGACATGCAAAGTGTAACTGAGACACATTCATCTCCACACACAATCATTCCTGAAATAACTATTAGAACACAAAACTCAATGAAACTAACATTCATTTACAACTGTGAACATCACCTGTACGAATCACATGCTATCATAACAACGAAAGTACTTCCGATCTGAGAGTTATCTCCCTTACATCAATAGGCTATTCAACAGATCTGAATGAAGTGATGATTGAACTGAGTGAGTGGTTCACTATTTTGCAGCTGAAATGATGCACTTCTACCATTTTAAAGAACTTTGATAATGTGTTTTAAATGGCAGCTTGCCCAAGATATTTTGGTGATTGCCTTTCCAGTTACCTGTATAACAAATCTATCCATTGCCATCAGTTTTGATGTGTATATGAAAGTTCAGATGAAGTCTGATGATACTGCCATTTGTTTGAATTGTTTAACTTCAACTGTCATTATATTTACATACTAGAAAATTATATTTTACTTTCCTTAAACATGTCCAAATAAACTGATTACCATGTGAAGCTCATGAGGTGACACTACAGGTCAGACTAATAAGTCATTTCCACATCCCAGCTTGTGAACTCACTTCAAAATACACAGAAATATTTTAATGAAATGATAATAATCAGGTTGTGGTATTCTGAATTGGAATTTGTAAGATCTGATGGATGTTGTAACTCTGACATGCTCAGAATATTCTGTTTCAGCATCATAATACACTGAATTCCTTTCTTCAGGGTTACAAACCTCCAGATGAGACCCCCTCCGAGTACCAGACTATCCCACTGAACAAGATTGAAGATTTTGGTGTGCATTGTAAACAGTAAGTGTTCATCAGTTACTATACTCATGTTGAACAGTAATAACTTCAGAATGGGAGTTGGTCATTGACTAAATTGGCTAAACCTTAGCATTCAGCAAACTGTTCTCAGCCAAGGGGAGGTAATTTCATCACTTGCTTGATAACAGTGTTAGAACCTACACCGAAACGTCGCTCTCACAGCAATAAAGAAGTTGTTCATCCATATATTGTTATCCTTCCTCACTGCTCCAACTTCTAAATGCCTCTCAAAGAAGGAGGTAATTTCAAATCGATGCAATTCAGATTATCTCCCTTGACTATAATTGCCAGAATGAAGCTGTCAAATTGACTTAACCTGATCAATGTGCACATTCAAGTTTGTTGATGTCTACTTTGTTTTCCCTAACATCTTCTGTTGTTTGTTTTTAGTTTGATTGACTCAACATAGCGTCACCACTATTATAGCCATTGTCAAGTAATAAAATTCATGTTTCAGCTACTATTCACTTGAGATATCCTACTTCAAATCAGCTTTAGATCGACGTCTGTTGGAGTCACTGTGGAATAAGTACTGGGTCAACACACTCAGCTCTTCCAGTCTTCTCACAGTGAGTAAATGGGGATTGGTTGATCAAAATGGCCAAAATAAACGAGAAGTGATTTTACAGGTTCCTGGCAGTTGTGTTTAATTCATTCTTTTCAGTCACATATTGTTGGACATACACAATCAGTGACAACATCTGTTGAGTTTACATGCTAAAATATCTTCAAGGGGATCGATCTGGTAGAGTATTATGTGAATAAATGGGATTTTAATCAATGTATATTACAAAATAAAATATGTTTTAAGACCTCTATTGCAAATTTGCAGAATCAGTTAGGATGGGTATCATGTGTAGATGTGTTTGTTGTCTGACACTGCAACAGCAATATCCAGCTATATGATGATGGCTTATGATAATTGATTCTGAACCTGATGATCCAGTGATCATGAGCAAGTCAATGCCAGCGAGTAAAATGACCTTGACCAGTGGTTTCATGTGTTACCTCTTACAACAAGTAGGGTAGCCTAGTGGTTAAAGCGTTTAACCCGAAGACCCAGGTTCAATTCCCCACATGGGTACAATGTGTGAAGTCCATTTGTGGTGTCTCCCATCGTGATTTTGCTGGAATATTGCTAAAGCGGCGGAAAACTAAACTCACTCTTACAACAAGCATAGGTTACTGGGGATCACTTCTAACCTAGAAACTTAATACAGGACAGATACAGTCAAGATGGGTAGCTTTCATGTCTGATTATTAAAGTGAAGCAAAATTTGAGGAAGGAGATGGACATGGTAGAAACTCACATAATTAGTTAAGTAATAGCTATTGTCAATGGGTTTTTTTATGTCAATTTTGATTTATCCTTGTGTTGCCAATCATTTACAAACTGAAATGAAGATGATGCTTCTTGTATTCTGTGAAACCGTGTTCTCTTGTTGCCAGAATGCTGACTACATGACTGGTCAGATTTACGACCTGTCGGACAAGCTGGAGCAGTCAGAGGCCCAGCTGGGGAGAGGGGGCTTCATGCTCGGGATGGACACGCATGAGAAAAAGTCGGAGGACAAGCTACTCAAGGCAACCAAAGATGGGTGAGTGTTGTTGAAGAGACTATAGGGATCAGCATAAGGCCATAGAATATTTATTCTGGATTTTGATTCCTACCTGCCTTACTACGCCTCACATGTTGTCCCAAAATACCTCCATTTTATCGCCATAGGTGTTGACTTACTTCTATAATTGAATTACTTTACAACTTTACAACTGTGATATTGGCTCTTTTATGTCAGCCCTTATCATCTTATCCAGAAATCCTGCATTTTTATTTTGGGAATGCCTATTGTGTTAGTGTTTGAAACTGAACACATGATTCTATGGATCCTTTGCTAATATAAACAATTTAAGGTTTACGGAGTCCTGAGATTCAATACTGTGTGAACAAAGCTCAAGGACACTTCATTTCAATCACTATTTATTAATGATTCAGTTAAAGGGAGATAACTATTTACTGCCAGACATTGTACCATCTAGAAAAATTAGTTCTGACAGTTTCATTTAGAATGGTACAGTCCAGTTGAATGGAGTATGAATACATGACACGTTTAAAGGATAACAACTTCTTCTTATTTTTCATATAACATTTCAGAGCTAATTCTTGTGCCTTCATCAGGTGAAGGAACATCAGTTCACCTGATAATGGCCCAACCACTACTGAAGGAACACCCGTTCACCTGATGAAGGTGCAAGAATTAGCTCTGAAACATCGTTAAGAGAATAAAAAGAAGTTGTTGTCCATAAACTGTGTCATTCATGTTCTTCCAACTCGTCCATGCCTTTCAAGAACTGATTGGAGTAGTATTTTAGGACTTGTGACATTTGTTACAGAGAATGGAGTGACCAACATGATAATTATACACAAAAATGGTTTTGTGTTATGCATTCCCTTAATTGAGAGACAAATGTGTTGCCATGGTAACATTTTAGTATGTTGTGTCTGTGGTATACATGTGTGAAAGTACAAGGTCTCTTCTACTGTTTCAGGTGCAAGACCACCATTGAGGCTATTCATGGTCTCATGTCACAGGTTATTAAAGACCGACTGTTCAACCAGGTCCATTTACCCTCCCCTCAGTGAAGTGACCGAGTCTTTGCTACAGATGTATATAAATTGATGGGGTCTCCTTGTATTGGGGAACCATGTACTGCGCCATTATTTTGTTTGCAGATCACCAAAGTTTATGAACATGAACTCGCTGCAAATTACTGAAATGGAACAACTTTTGAAGATAATACATGCAGATGGGGGGGGGGGCACATAGTTATGTTTGATGCTTAATTACTGTATTCTCAGACTTGATGACATATACATGAGAGACCAAAAACTTAGTCTTGTCTGTAAGTTTTCCTTTGCTATATTAAGTTTTCTTTTGGTAAATATGATGAAGCTAGGTGAGTTTCTTGCATATATATATATATAAATGAGTAAATGACAAACTTTACCACACAATCTTTAGTTTGTATGTATTTGAGTAGGACTCCGGACCTCCATCGCTCAGTTTACCATTGGCTATAAACACTAGGATGGGTCCAATTTTACTGTCCATTGGTGTCAGGATTTACATATAAGTAAAGTGTATGATTGGTAATTGTTTTTCTTGAGTACGGGAAATAAAGTGTCAAGATAAACATAAAATGATCTGATCGTGCACACACTAAAGTTTATTCTTACTCAAACACACACAAGTCAGAAGGAATACATGGGTAAGTGATTTGTAGTGTCATTATACCAGCCATTCACCCAGGTGAAGTTTGCCAGTGAGTGGTATGTATGAGGGAGGAAAGTTTGCAAGTACTTACCTACTTCCGTACACCATTGAGCTTGTAATCTCAGTGGTTTGAGACATCCGCCCTGGCATCTTGTAAAGACTGACCCCAGGAACCTATCAGTGTGGGGCTACAGTTCTACCCCAGGAACCTATCAGTGTGGGGCTACAGTTCTCACTTTTTTCTCCTATTAATCTAGGGTTTAAGTTTCTGCTGTTCTTCTATTTTATGTCAGGGGTTTCAGTTCTTGATTGTCTTCTATGACAAATTAAGGAAAAATTAAACCATTCTGGTGAACTTATGTGAATTGCAATAATTATTTCAATGTGGCATAAGATACAGTTCAGAAAATGTATCACTTTTTGAGTGTCACCACAAGATCTTGTGATTATTAATTAACACTTGTGATTTTAGCGAACATCAGTTGTCAAAAAACTGGAAAAGATCAGGGCCTCATTTTAATGCAAAAAGTTCCATATATGTTGTGTCTCATCCCATGAAAACAGTTCCTTTTATTGTGAAAATGTGCTATTGTTCCAACTTTCCAATTTAAAGTGTACTTGTACAGAAAGTGCTGTCAAATGTTGACAATAAATACTTAAACTATGATATTTTGTATGCATTGTCTTTATGTCAATAAGTGGTTGTGATTGGTACTTGTGTACTTGGATCATCCCCTTGATGCAAGCATCCAGCCAAGGGGAGATAACTCGTTTTTACTTCTATAATACATTGTTGACATGTTTGTATCTTGAGACCTCTTACCATAGATTTCAGGTGTGAATTTGGGCATGCAAGGTTTGATACGATAATAATGGAACAAGAATTCACCTTGCAGGAATTTCTTTTAATATGCCCCATAAATTGACACAATGACATGTTATCATATCATATCATGGTGTGTTGGCTTGACGTGGGAAGAAACCTTGAAGTGATGCAGGTCTTAGATACTTATCATTTGGGTGATACAAACATGGGATCATAAGTGGGGCACTATTCCCTGCTTCATTAACGAGAGAGTTGAGATTAAAGCGGTGTTGTTTTCAAGCATACAGCATGTCTTGGATCGTTACAAATATGGTGAAATCTACAAGCATGGGTATGGACCTGACAAACCAAGATACTTTTTCTGGGGTTTTGACAGCTGAACCTGTTGATATGAAAAATACTGGTCCCCAGAGAGAGTTGGGTTTTTCATTGATTAGTATTTCATCAAAATGACAAAGACAGTTTTCTTTGTCGAACTATTTTACTTAGTGATTTGCTGGGGGCTGAGTAAGAGGCAACTAACGTGATATTCTCATGTCTGTCACTGGATTTTCTGGTCCAGACTCGTCATATAGCTGGAAAACAACAGCGTTAAACTTACATTGGAGTTACGAGCTTGTAAATTGAATTTGGAAGCAAACATGCAATTTGAGGTTCAGAAGGTTATACATGTGTGATAAGTGAGTGAGTGAGTGAGTTTAGTTTTACTCCACACTCAGCAATATTCCAGCTATATGGCGGTGGTTTGTAAATAATTGAGTTTGGACCAGACAACCCAGTGATCAACAGCATGAGCATCGACCTGCGAAATTGAGAACCGATGTGTCGATCAAGTCGGCGAGCCTGACCACTTGATCCCCTTAGTCGCCTCTTACGAAAAGCATGGGTTACTGTAACACAACACGCTTCGCTGATTCAGGAAGGTACTTTTATTAAAGTCTAGAGTACAGCTAACTGGATTGGCTCTGGTTCTGGCTCTGGCTCTGGCTCGGTTCCCCTTTCTGCTGTGTGCTGCTGGAGGAGTTGTAGGTTGTGTGTCAGTCGACCTGCTGTCTCGCCGTTTCTTGCTCTTCCTCCCTCTCTAAGAAACTCGTCTTCTTAAAGGCAGTGGATCGTGACCTCCATTTATTCTCGGTCACGTGGTCTTGACAGTTCTATCACGATTAGTCTCCGGCAATAGAGTGAGGACACTTCTCCTACCGCTATCGCACATGGTTATTTGACACTTGACATATAGTCCCTGTCTGAAGTATCTGGTCATTGTCTTTCACCAAATGTTTGGACGATGTACCGTGGCTGTGATTCATAATTCATTATGTCAGTTACGTCATCGAACTGAGGGTCATAGATTGTAACTGTCCGAATAATCATGCTGAATAATCACTCCAGTAACCCCCTTAGGGTATGCGTGACCATCCTCATGGTAGCTTGACCCTCTTAACAGTTTTTCACAGTATAGCTGTGTTACATTACTGAAGACCAATTCTAAGCCCGACCTTCACGGGTCACATCTGTGATGAAAATATGCACACTGAAATATAGCAAGGTTATTTCGATACATAATGATTGAAGTTGTATAGGTTGTAGAAATCATATACTGAAACAGACTGTTGGTGGTGTAATAAACATTTATTTCAACTTGTTGAATGGCAATGGCTTTGGTAACAAACCTTGTATGGCAAACATAACATAAAACTTCTGAAAAATATTTCTGTAAACAACTATCACAAATATACTAAAACTATTTGAAAACAGTGTAGGTACAGAACAATATATTAGACTCAACACAACATCTGTTGAAATGGGTTTAAAAGTATTGTAATAACATGGCCGACAAAGTGTTTTTGAGACTTATCATGGACCATTATATTGAGTGTATACATTAAACACGCAATTGGTGACAAATATAAAAGTATGAAATATTACATGAGGAAGTACACTTGAAATACACTGCTCAAAGTAAGTTAAAGGTCACATGCAACCAAAAAATCAAACATACATGTAATTAAAACACAATTATCACTTATTCATGACATATAATATACATTGCTGGTTATGACAAAACATAAACAAAATTATAAGCGTACAATCGCAAATCAAAAGTGCAATATTGTGTACTTGGGTTTACTTCCCTCGAAACGAAGCAGCCGGGATACCGAACCCAGTCAGAGCGGGTGGGTGTGCACTCAAGTGTAACGGCTGGTTCATTTGCAGATGCCCTCACGGCTCATTGTGTATATATAGAGATGTTGGGTTTTGTAAATACATGCTCATTTTTTGTGTATAACATTTTGCAATCAACAGACATCATAACATGTCATGTGTTCAAGTATCACACCTGCCTGTCTGTGTAATTACATAATGTGACAGAGACCGAACTCGGGCCATAAATCAATGCGTTTTGTTTATGGTGTATAGCCTGATTGGTGTTAAGTTCAAATTGCATGTGGTCAGTGATCGCAGTTGTGTATTGAATATTGTCATTAGCAGACAGGCAGGCAGACACACAGGTGTCAATAAAACAAGACATTGAGTTTTGTCTGTGACAACGACATATCTATATCACAGTTAGAAATTCTGTCAACGCTAAATAATGACTTTGCTTTTAAGTATCGAACTGAGAAAGTGACTCGGTAAGAAGAACGTGTGATGAAATAGACAAATGAAATTATATAAACAATTTATTTACTGTCATAACATATAAAAAGCTCGCGCCTGTGAGATATCAACAAAACATTAGGAAAATAGCTCACACCAAAGCCTTCACCGAGTATTCACCGGACAGCCCGCTTCCAAGTTGCGCACCTATTTCACTGCGCACGTGCTATGAGCGCAGCCCAGCTGTTGAAACCCGTTTTCCCCCGAAAAGTCTGGGGAAAATTAGTGAAACGTTTGAACTCCGATTTCGCGCGGTTTTTTTCATCGCGTTATTTTTCAACTTTATTAGTTGAATTTGCATTTTTGATGATTTGTTTCGGTAAGTCCATACCGAAAGGTATCAGAATCTGCAAAGTTGTGTTTTACGTTGCATGTGACCTTTAAGGAAGACCTATGGCATGCCAGATTAATAGTTTGAAACGATCAGTGTTCTTTGAGTTCTTTTGAGTAGTATAAATGAGAATAATTAACTCTGTGCTTCAATTTGTGCTGGAATTGAACTAGCCTGCTAGTGCAGTTTGATCATTGCAGCCTGTACATTTGCAATGCACACACTTAGAATTAATGCACTGTCTTAAGGTTACACAAAACCAAATATTTTCCCCATTGACTTCTTTTGTAAAGTTATATATTAACAGCTATTACAGGTACATGTGTGAATAGTCTGGCCTTAAAGAAGCACTAAAAATATATAATAAGACCACCTCAGCAAGCTCCTTCTCCGAGTACAGGAATCTAAACAGACCAACCCCAGTTCCGCACAAAATGTCAACCGCTTGAAAATACCCATGGTCACATTCAGTATAAGTCATCATGTAAAATAAGACAGCACTAAATATTAAAAAATATGGTCAGTTTTAATTACTGGATGGATGTACATTTAAAAAGTACAAACTCCTATACAAAATCAGCCAATCACAGCTGCCAGATGATTCAGACTGCATTGAAAGCTCCCTACGAAAAGTGCTTATTAAACTACAGATTCTGATTTGGTGTAGTTTAACCTGTAAGCTTGCCAGGTTAGAAATGGTTCAGCAACTCATGTTAGAAGAGGCCACAACTTAAAGGAATCGGGTGGTGCGATGACTTGCTTTGATGATGTTATCATATCCTAATTGCATATATAAAACCCCCAAATCTTAATCACAGGATTGTCTGGTCAATTATTCACAAACTGCCAACATAGACCAGGAATATTGCGGAGTGCAGTGTTACACAACAAACAAACAAACTTGCATTGCATTAAGTAGGTCTGTAAACTGTCAAACCATTACAGATACACATTTAAACAATGGAGAGATGTCATAGCTGAGGCTAACAGTGAATCAAGTAAAGGTTCTGTCAATCTGAGAGGTCATTTTGAAGCTCGTATATTAATGATGAAGTGACCAGTGATTTGTGACCAAATTAGAATGTTATTATCAATGTAGTTCTGATCCTACTTGTAATAGTGAGTGAGTCGGTTTAATGCCATCTTAAACAGCAATATCACAGCATGACTGGGTTGTGGGGGAAAAGAGAACATTTAAGACTTTAGAGAAACCACCTTGCACAGGTAAGGCACTGAGAATCCCAGAAACATTTCCAGGCAAAATTTGGGTTTCCAAACCACAACTATGTGTCTCAGATGGAGCTATCAAACTGTCACACATACAGGTATTCCTTAACTATTATTTTATATATAAATTCTGAAATAAATAAATTTCTGTCCATAAATAAAACATTAACAGCACTTTTTACAATTATCACACTATTTTGATCATTTCAATAAAATTCACTGTAAAATATGCAGTCGATTATATAACATCCCTACATTCGTGTTCATGAAGAAACTTGTGGGAGCTTTTGCTGGAATAGGGGTAGCTCAAATATACATTTCATTAATTAAATTCTCTATAATGGAAGACAATAAACCATGTTATTTATATGCATTAAGAGCTGTCATCAAATGTCATCACTCGACACAGAAGAAGTTTTGAGCAGAAAACACATATTAAAATGAACAGAATGTACCAAAAAATATGCTAAATATAGAACAAGAACATTCCTAACACCTTCTCACTGTATAGAATACTCTCAAGTCATCAGAAAAGAACAGGTAAGAGATAAAAATGTTATTGCACAAGTGGTATTTTTTCAGCATGTTTGTCTGAAGCAGGTTTTCAGTGTTTAAAGAAGACTTCCAACAGGATTCTTTCAATTCAAAGATATAATTTTGTAAACAAACTTGTTGAAACTCATCATTATCTTCCTGGCATGATTGAGAGTTTCCTGTGCTTCAGCCCTTAATGAAACACATCCTTTGACAAGTGACATTAATGGAAACATTACTCTGTTCATCCAGCAGTGTATGGGTACCCGATAGGATGAGGTAGTAATTTCATCTATTCCTTTACAGGGAGATTTGGTTGTATATTACATGACTGAGAGTTTCCTGTGCTTCAGCCCATAATGAAACACATCCTTTGACAAGTGACATTAAGGGAAACATTACTCTGTTCATCCAGCAGTGTATGGGTACCCAGTAGGATGAAGTAGTAATTTCACTGTTAACCTTCTATTGCTTTACAGGGAGCTTGGGTTGTATATTCCCAGGTAGGTAGGAATGAAAACTGAACAGTCACTGAATCTTTGAATCTCTGAATATTGAGAGAAATGCATTATTTACTTTTAGAGAAGTCTGGTGTGATATAGTGCCTTTAAGAACATTCCCAGTAACTTTTCAGCATGTGAACCACATACGGGTATTATAACGTACTAGTAGAAATAGTGCATAGACTTCTAATTGAAAGTAGGTCTCCACGACCTAACACTGATATCAAAGATTATCACCACTAGTCTCACCACTAGTCGTACCAGAGACCATGTAATATTATATGGTCTCTGGTCATACATATCTTTCTTGAGCTGTCATGTAAACCTTTTTTTCAGTCCATGGCCTTGAACTTTTGTGAAATAAATTTCCCATGGCTGCTGATGAAATAAAAGTGATGATATCCCTGAGACCTCCAGGCACAGCCTTTCTTCAAAATATATTGCAACTGTGCGTTGTCCTTCTTGAGATGTGATATCAGCAGCCTTTTCTTCAGACGATGACCTTGAACTTTGTCAAGTAAAAACCGTGCAGAATCAAATTCAGAAATACCTCACAGCATTCTCATTTACAAGGAGGTGATTAGTAAATAGGAGCTGATTTTTTAACAATGAACCAAATTCAACTCAAAGTAAAATTATGTTATCAATGGATTGATCTCATCGGTGGGTGTGTACTGAGGATCATAAACTGGGCTATCAGATCTCGTTGGCTGTCCCTCATTAATAATCTTTACCTCAAAACGAGACTTTTCAGTGTCAACTTTTGAGAATTCAGCCGTCTGCTCAGGTATTTTCAGTTTCAACAGTGGTCTCTGATGCTTCTTATATCTTGATTTGTTTGTTGACATTGGGCGTGAATTAACAATACACAGCTCAGTGTGACGTTTACGAAGTTGTTTTCCGTTTAGAAACGGTTTCTGTGTCATAGGCTGAGGAGTTAGTGGCTGTTTGGACTTCAGCTTTAATGGCATTTCACATGCGTGAAATGTTCTATAAACTCGTGCACATGGATCAGCTTCCTCCGGGGGCTTAGTCAGGGTTTTGTAGTATTCCTCTTCATTTCTGCCTATTCTTAACTCGGCAGCAGAAAATGTCTCTTTCAGGTGTGACGAAAATGGCTAAAAAGAGAAAAAAATATATATAATACTGCCATTCTTGATGTGTATTATCAATAACCTAATGATACCATAAATGTAACAAAGGCAAGAGTGCCCATTCCCAAACAACCATCTGTGAATATGAAAATAAACATTTGTGTTAAAATGTATCACTTCAGGGGTTTATCTACACTTGCCACATATGTACGTGTAGAAAATAACCCTGAAACACTAACTGTACATCTCGGTTGATACACACAAGATGAAAGCATTCTTAGAGTACATCTCAAGAACGTGACACTGGAATTCAGACTGTCTTTTGTTATTACTGATTTAATTGCCAGAATGAAATACTGTATATTTGACCCTTTTAGTCTGTGGTTTTCATTGTCTCCGATATCAAGGAAACCTTCAAGTGACTCCACTGAATTTTCATTTACCTTTGACCGTCCAATACATCTTTAAAATGAATGGGTTCATGGGCCTATCAGATGTCAGATTAAAAAAAAAAAAAGTTTCATTTCTATAATGCAGGAATTATTTGGAAATTTTGTTATCAGCAAATCAAAATTGCCACAGAAAACAACAATACCTGAATATTATTAAAAGCATGACTTTTAATTTGACTTTTAAACTTTTCGTAAAGAACATCAGAAAGCGGATGTTTGTCTCAAAATTTGCTCACTCAAACGAAGAACTGAGAAGCCTAGATGTAATTTTCTTCAGATATGACCTCATATCTTCAGGTTTAAAGTTACCATATATGTTAGAAAAAGATTTCATTTGTCTATTAACAGTCATGATAATTAAAAGATTTTTTCGAAATGTTATTTATTACCACAAGTAATAAGATTTGTAGATGACAAGTGCTTCTGTACTTACCATTGGTGACCCAGGTGCAGCTATTAACCCAACCACTTTCTTCACTTCAGGCGTGTTTTCCACTTCCTGGAAGATGACAAATGTATTCTCATTTAAGCCATAACTTGGAGCTCACTACAGACTTAGACCTCAACAAAATGACCTTTCACCTGACCAATCAGAATTAAGCTTACTGGATCAGGAAAGTGACAATCAGCCTGTGTCGTCTGACCCAGCAACCTCGAAAGACAACACCTTGTTTAGAAGTAGCAAGAGGTCAGATCTGTTATTAATGAGACTGATGAAAAGCAGCACTCACACACAACGTCTTCACAATTTCCACACCTTACCACAAAATTCAATGTCCCCCTCGTAAATATTTCAAACAAACAATGAAACTTTTCACAATTTCACACATTTAATCCAAATAAACCACCCATCAACCCTTTGGTCTCCCGTTACCTCAAGCACTTTCTTAAAGTCCAGTGTATTCACTTGTTCCTCCTCTTCCAGATCCTCCTCTGGTATGCCCTCCATCTTGACCTGAGGGAAACAAAGGTCATGGACTCTCTAGCTGTTGACATTACAATAATTTCGTACTTTAAAGTTTACACAGATTCCCGAATGTTGGTTGGTTGAGAGAGCGGTCATGTGATCTAAATTTCAAGGTTCATTTCCCTTGTACCCTTCAAATCGTTCATACGTGTGTAAACATCGTTCATACGTGTGTGAACGTTATTGAGCTGATCTGGGTCATGTGAACTTTTGCCGGAACTACTTTCCGGGTTTTCCCCAGGATACTCGCTGTCCAGCTTGACGTAAACAAAATAAATCATTTGCATTCACACTCCTTTTAATATATACATATCAGTTACTTGTTTTTGTATGTAACAAAAAAGCACCAACTGACCACAGTTTTGCAAAAATCTGACCGACAACGCGTCCGACAAGTCCCAGCCAGTGCGACCTAATTTTCTAATTTCGCTTCACGGTTTCAGGAACCCCAAAGATCTTGCTGCATTTGGTGATGACAATTTAGCGAAGCGATCCTGTTTCAAGTCACCCCAATTTTGGCAATGTCGCTTCTTCACGACCAAACGGATTTCCAATTGAGCATTGTTCCTTATCACAAGAGTTTAATCTCTCGCGGTTTGCGTGTTCTGCCCCATGATCTGTTTAAAAACTGTTCATTAAATTTCACAAATAAACAATCAACAAATAAATAGAATACACCAACTAGATCTGCTTCCTATTCGTAACGCCGCACAATTTCGAAGTCGGTCAGTGTATTATTACCCGGTCAAACGAATCCGTCATAGTTTTATAGGTACAATGACAGTTTGTTAAAATGATATTGATATTTGTTTCTGTTTGGTAATTTTATTGATGTTATGCTTATTAAAGCAGTTTCAAACCTATTGACGAATTTGTTCTAATATTTTAAGGAATACTTTGAGAACTATTTCTTCAAGGGTTGGGATACATGTGTAAAACAAATGCCAAGTATACAAACATCGCTACAATACGGTCCTTAACAGAATGACATTACAACATTTTACAGGTATTAAAACACATCACTGTAAACAATGATCATGTAGAAGTGGGTAAAAAACGTATGTGTAAACATCGAAGTGCGAAATTATAAGAATTGAATGTCACTTTGTGTGTTTGCACTGAAAAATGAACGATGTCAAAGCGTTGTTCAAACTCTCGTGTGAACTCGTGAACTCACGAAGTTTGAACTCAATTTTTGTGCATCAAAGCGTTGTTCAAACTCTCGTGTGAACTCGCCCGTAAACTCGCTCGTTCACACGAGTTTGAACAACGCTTTGACATCGTTCATTTTTCAGTGCAAACACACAAAATGACATTCAATTCTTAATTACATGTCATCGAACTATATGCACAAAAATTGAGTCAATTAACTGAATTGTTTGACAAATCCAAAGGCCATGATTGCATTTTTCATCATTTCAAAGAATCTGTTGTCCATAACCTTACCTGTGCTTTGTAAAGTGACCTGAATCTTTTATCTGACCTTGACTAGGAATTACAACTGCAACCTTTACAAACTGACCTTGACCTATAAACTCACCTTCTTATATTCTTCAAGGAACTTCTTAGCAAGGGTCACTGACTCCTTGCCTTTAGTGGTTTGGTAAGACTCCCCTGGCAACCTGCAATTATATTGAACATATAGAGAATCTCACCTGACTTATTTGATATCAATCATATCTTCCATAACATTGACTAATAAATTTCTATTCCGACTCATAAATTAAAGCATGTCCTACATTTCTCACTGTTAATGCTATCAGAACCCTTCATGAATCACCAACCTTAAGATCATTGCGAAAAAAATATTCAGTGGATGAGGGTGATGTGTGTGGGGCGACCTCCTTTATCTGAAATAAAATTTGTAATTAAAAAATGTATATTTGTAAAACATTGTGACAAACAACTGTTAACTAACAACAACAACAAATTCTATATGTTTACTATTCTCTGACATTTTCAACTATTAATCATAAAGATAATTTGTAAACAAGCAATTTTATCCCTCGGTCAAATTGGGTCAAACTGACATTCATGGGTATAAATAAGGAAAATTAAAAAAATTAAAGGGCTCGTTTTGGTCAACAAGATCCGAACAATTTAAGAAATGAGAAAATCGTCTAAAATATTTATAAAACAGTAAGATGTCCCAGCGGGCACTCAACGTTGAATCAACATTGAATCAACGTTGAATTTTGGTTGTTTGGTTGATCAACCTTTCATAAACGTTGATTCAACGTTTATCATGCGACCAAAGAAAGTTAGTCGAGATTCGTTTAGTTGTCAACGTTGTTTCAACGTAAGGAACCAACAAAATGTCAACTAATTGTTTCCTTGGCAAATTTGATACATAATTCATATTGGTAATAGGTATCCAACTTAGCAACTATCATTTCGAACATTAATTTCACAAAAGATCAAGATCGAGCTAGTGACACATATAATCGTTATATATTGTTTGATTGTGCATCGATCAACGGATCTGAAATATTACTGAAATTGCAATTGAAAATGAAAACATAAATGATTTTAGGTATAAAGTCATCAGTTATCCGAATTGCATTACATTTGATATTTTCCCACAAAACTGTCAAAATTGTATAATTCCGACAATTTGCTTTCAAACACATGCCAGATCGCCTCGTTTGGCCATATCGGACATCACGCACAATTATCGCGCGCAAAGGCAGCTGATCGTTGTCAGTTTACTTTGGCGAAGTTCAACATAATATCATTCTATTTTCAACATCTTCACGGCATGCAGGTGTTTATTTGGTAAGTATGTCCTTCATGTATAATGAAAAGCATTAGGAATGTTGTTTAAATTTAGCAGGTCAATGTAGCAAGAAACTCGAATTAGGGCTCATGTTTTATCTCACAAGGGTACCGGTATGTCATGTACATGTTTCTCAAAATTTAGTGGAAGCCCGTGTTTTCCATGAACTTGTTTTGTTATTTTTCAATATATTTGCATGCATATATTTGGCATTTTATTATATAATCGAATAAGATTTCCTTTTGTACCCATCACCTGATTTAAATTTTGCAAATATACATTTTCAAATAATCAATGAAGGACATCAATATAAGGGACCATTCTTAATTATATGGCTGCGGTGGGGGTGATGATTGTAAGGGGTTGGGGGTGGGAGTGTCACCCATTTTGTTCAGGGGAGCTAAGGGGGTCAGCATTTTTGTACACACGCACTATGTTTAATATGATGCTTAGAAATTATGGGAAGGGGAGATGGCGTCATAGATATTGTACATGACATGCAGGGTGGGGCGTCACTTATTTCGTGATCATCAAAAAAAAAATCATCATCACCCCCAAGTCATACATTATGAACGGTCCCTAAGGGCAGCTATACAAAATCGAATAGAATTTATCAACATTTTATATTGCATCACATTATTATGAACATTTGTTCGTTTGAATAAGTCTATCAGTAAATTATGCATCAAGCACGCTCTGAACCCTGTCAACATATGCATATTATTTGGGGGAGGGGGGTTGGGGGTGGAGAATTGCGAATAATTTATTTGAACATTTATTTATTTACAAAATGTGTAACTTCACTAATGATTCTTTGATGGGACAATTAACAAAACTGCACTCACAGACTTTCATTCTTACACTTGTTTGGAAGGGATGTGATGATTCATGTCTCTTAAAGGTTAAAATGTTACATACAAAAGAAGTAATTTAGTAAGGAACATTTAATTATGAAATAAGATATAATTTTAATGGTATTTGCAGAAATCACATCTTCGAAGACTGGGTGGCATAAATTTTGTGGTCACATAAAAGGAGCAATGCTAAGGTAACAAGTTTTTAACATTTCACTTGTTTCCAGTATATCCACCACAAAGGTTGATCATGTAAGAGAATAATTTGACATGATTTCTCCCGGAGGTGTTTAGTTTAATGAGCACTCCCCTTGCTTGGCCATATTGTTTTTTGCCGAAGAGCTGGATGCAAGAAAGCACGAGAGGACAGAAGTCATAAATTTATAGAGATATATAGATGTTTATTGCTGGGAGACACACTCTTCAGGTATTTGGTCAGCTGTAGAATTTGAATATGATGTTTCTTTATTATTGTCAAAGTGTAGGTTTTCATTATTTTGCATTTAAATGTGTGTGCAGTGAAACATACTGAAATTTGGAAGAGTCCATTATTTAGAGTACAGGTATTGTTAGATATCAGCATTTTATGTACATGTTCCCTGTCAAGATCATCTATCGAAAGTATATTAGAGAGAAGGTGTATATTTGTAGTGTTTTAAATCAGAGTTATTTTCAGTGTATGACCTACTTTTCAATATGTTTTGGCCACCTGTCACCCCTTTGGTCAAATAGAGTAGGACTTCCATTTCTTGGACTTGAGAGTCAGAGATACACCGTTTCCAAGAATTTGCATGTGCCAGCGATGTTTGTTTACGAGTACATTTAAGTCTTTTTGAGTGTAGATTGGAGTTGTAAGAGATGTTATTCAGTGTCTTATTATTCAGGGTATGATAGATTATTTCTGGCAGTGTAGAGTTTAATCTCATTATTTTATTGTTCATGATTCAGAGAAGCATATAGTTATGACGTCGCAGATATTTTAGGCACACATTATTCATTATATGAGAGATTTTCTAAGCGTTCCTATAAGAGATTAAGTGTAAATATTTCTGAATTATGAAGAAGTTATGTTTCTGAGTTTTATGAGTGTACAAATGACAAAGAGAGAGAGACAGAGTAGATAATAGGGAATATATTGTATACTTATGAGAGCTCATTATTGTTTTCAGAACTCCATGATCCATACTTCCTTGTGTTTGGGAATAAATGGTGTTGGAAGACCTCCCACAATAGACTTGTTCTTTGACCTGTGAACCACCACCCATTTTGTTTTCTTATCATTTAATGTAAAATGGCTTTTGTTACAATTTATGACTCCTGTTAGCAAAATTGCTACATCAGTACAACTCCTATTTAATTTGAAATAATCGTTTCCGAGAATCTCTAAAGAAAACTAAATCTGACAGAATAACAACAATCTTTCATTGTTTTGCAGGACAACGTCAAACAATTTGATGTCAAGAATGAATGTTGATGGGCAAAACGGCAAGTTTTCTTTTAAGAATACAAGGTTGTATTCAATCATCTCTGGTAATTTAATTACCAAATGCAGCAGTTTCATCATGACCATAGCAAATAATATATGACAGTAAAGCATCGTCTAATTCATCCTAATTCATAGTCTAATTGAATAATCAACTTGCAATTGAGGATTTTCTTTGAAAATGTTTAAGAAAACTTCCATTCCTTTAGTTGAAAATATAAATTGTTTACATTTTTCGTCACATTTTGTATTGATGCTGTTCATATGTTCACATGGCAAGTTACAGCAGTGAAATGAACCTTTCAAGTGATTGATTCAACAAATACTTTAATCATTTAAGACAATATATCTTCCATATAAAATTATTCATGTATTTAAATATAAAATTTCAGAATGTGTCCTATCTCATGGGAATGAGATGGGAATGCATCCAAGCAAATTTCAAGAAAGAGTTAGAACGTTTCTTGAAGTATCCACCTGACCGCCAGGCAGGAGTGGCAGAAAGAAGAGAAGCTGTATGTCAGTTTAATGCTATATGCAGATGATATTGTGTTATTATCACAACAGAGATCACCTACAGACTATGTCATGCGTGACGTTTTGCATTATGCTTTAAACCACGTTTCTCTGTGTGCGTTTGTGTTCATAAAGAATTCATAAAAAGTGACTGGTTTTATGTGCTGTCTGCAGGTATAGTTCCTGTTCATCTTGGATCCCTTTCATGGTGAAAGTAATTGCATTGTGTTTATTCAGGGGTCTGTCTAATAGCTGAAATTCAGACAAAATGTCTTCTCGGGACAATTTCCACCTTTTCAAGATAACAATACAACAGTAACTAGTTTTTCTTAATTTGGAGTACTCTTTTCTTCTTACTGGAATTATACATCCAACTGACATAAAACTTAAATGAACATTATATTGAATGTGGAATTTTAACCAAGTATTTTATCAGGTAAATATTTTTACTGCAATTTTATGTTTGAACACTGTTTATTGCAGGTAGCTTTTGGGGTATTTTAGCTGGATGCATGAGTTTGGTGCTACTTTAGTGTAGTTTAAAGATGAAGTGCGAAGTCTATTTACAGGAAAGCTTAATACCTCCCAGACACAAACCACGGAACAACCCATTTTCAACGCTAATAATATGTCAAACTTCAACGCTGATTCCATCGCCGGATATCTACGATCTAAAAACTTTCATATACAACCGCGGAACAACCCATTTTCAACGTTAATAATATGTCAAACTTCAACGTTGATTCCACGTCGGATATCTACATCTAAAAAACTTTCATATACAACCTTTTTTCAACGTTGATAATAGGTCAAACTTCAACGTTGATTCCACGTTGGATATCTACGTCTAAAAAACTTTCATATACAACCTATTTTCAATCTAATTTCAACGTTGAGGACCAACCTATTCTCAACGTTGAAACAACGTTGATGTGCCTGCTGGGGTGTTCCTTTCAACAGTTGCACGTTTTGGATTTATAACAATTCCAAACGTGTAATTGATGAATAAGTGAAGCATTTTTCTAATATCTGAACATTCAATTATCAAAATTGAGTTTTCATACTCCTTTCAGCCAATTTTATGTAATTTATAATTCAAGAAGTCTTGCAAAATATTAAAGTGTCTGACAATTGAGCTAGCAGCCATTTGAACATGTCCTATAACTTTCATACCAATATTTCAAGGAGTTTTGTTTTATTTTGTTTGATGTTTCCAGTGAGCCAAAGAGAACCATACGCTTTGAGCAAACACATAAATAGTATCTGGATTTTACAGAGATTTGTTTAATGATTCACTTACTTTTAAAACTAGTAGGCCCACCAGGAATATTGCCACAATGTTCAGAAGGGTGAGAAGGAGACTAATAGTTCCCAAGATGGCCGCCTCTTCAGCCATATTGCAGCTGTAGGTTGGTCGGTAAGTATTGTCCAGGAAAGGCACACAGGTTGTATTTGGTACTTGAGAAACTGTATTGTTCACAAGTGAAGTTTTATTTGTGTCATACATCATGACTGATGGTGTATTTATCTGTAAAAATAAGGAAGGAATTAGAACACCATGAACGTAGTGTGTGAATACAAATCGACAGGTCATACGTAAAACAAAAAAACAGCAGAAATGGGTTGTTATCACATTACTCTAAGACTTGAAATTTCCAAAGTTATTTCAAACTGCTCTTTTATCTCCATATCATTGAGTGTAAGATTTGTTTTGCTAGTTTGTTGTTTAACGCTGCACTCAGCAGTATTCCAGCTATAGGCGACAGTCTGTAAATAATTTAGTCTGAACCAGACAATCCAGTGATCAACATCATGAGTATCGATCTATGCAATTGGATATAATGACATGTGTCGACCAAGTCAGCGAGTCTGACCAACCGATCCCATCAGTCGCCTCTTACGACAAGAGCATGGGTTACTGAAGATCAATTCTAACCCAGATCTTCATTGGTATTGAACGTAAGAGTGGGGAGGGAGTCAGTGAGTGAGTATGGTTGCTACTTTTAGCAAAATTCCAGTAATATCATGGCAGGGAACTCCACAAATACACATTATACCCATACGAGTTATAAGATCTCAGCCTTCAGAGTGCCAAGTGAACACTTTAACCACTTCATCCCTCCACCCAAAACAGTATTCCAGTCATATCCCTACTGTCAACCTTGGGAGATACCACAATATCATGCAGTTCTTTCATGTAAACCACATTCATAAATCCCACAAGCATGGGTATAGTGCTGACAAACAAAGAATTGCAATCAGGGGCACCTGGGAATGAAAGCATGATCATAGGATTCTGGCCAGGCTAAGGGAGACAATTCTGCACAGCTATTAACTGTACCTTTGAAGACTGAATTGCTCATTTCTGGTACCAGGAGAATGTATTTGTACATGATGATCACACTACTCACCTGCACCAAGGCTGGAGGCGCGCTATTGCAGCTGTTATTGATAGAGCCCACAACATTCCCTAGACATTGAAACAAACAAAATGATCATCAGTTGTAAAAGAATTACGCCACGTGTGTCATGAAAGCGTGAGTGAATCATAACTAAACAAAACTACCAGAACCTATTGTTTTGTTTGGTTGTTGTTTAACACATCACTTAGCAATAATCCAGCTATATTGTGGCTGTTTGTAAGTAATTGAGTCTGGACCAGACAATCCAGTGATCAATATTATGAGCACTGATCTACACAATTGGGATATAATGGCACAAGTCAACCAAGTCAGCGAGTCTGACCACTCGATCCTGTCAGTCGCCCAAACGAAAAGCATAGGTTGATGAAGAAGAGTTCTAACCCGGATCTTCAGAGGCTTTCAAATCCTTTGAGTGGCATTTAGAAGTGAGGTGAGGTGAAATTGGGTTTAACGTCGTGCTTGAGAATATTTCGCTCATATGACGACATGCATGCGTGTGTATGTGTATGTGCGGCTGCTTGTACTAGCCCAGACTTAAGCTGGTTTTTATAGTGCTAGCTCACTGAGATACCATGCTGCAGTGAAGCATGAATACCCTACTCAGACACTTTATACTGACTCCGAGCCGACCAGTCCTTGTTGTACCCATTAATGCTGAGAGCCAGGCAGGGACCGACAAGTACCATATTTTAACGTCTTTTGGTATGACGTGGTCGGGGGATCGAACCCGCGACCTTCCGCTCTCCAGGCAGACACTCTAACCACTACACCACGGAGGCTGTCCATTGAGAAGTGGGTGTAATGAACAACGAGGAGAGTTCTATGGATATACAACTTCTTGAATATCAATATGACGGAGACCAATGCACTTAAGTGCAATCAGTGAACTTGCTTGATAAGGGTGTTAGTAGCTACACCGAAACATTGGTCATATTAACATCAAGAAGTTGTATATCCATAGAACTCTCCTCATTGTTCCTGCAGAACCTGTACTTTACTGAGAAAGTGTAATCCTACATATAACACATATTACCAAACAAAGTTGTCATTGCTTCACATGTCTATAACAATTTCAACTCACAGCATTAACAGCTGGGGGTAGGAGAGAGGCTGAGATGGCCACACCCACCAAGGAGCCAGCATTGCCCCCCAGGATCGACAGGGCCACGCCTGCCCCCGAGGGGATGGCAATTAGCAGCCCTACAGCAAGACTTCGATGGACACCTCTGGAAACAGAGGGGAAGGACTTAATGATAAGGTAATAAAAGTCTGAGTGTATCAATGTAAGTGTCATGAAAGAGTGAACAGATTAGGAGCGGTGGGGTAGCCTAGTGGTTAAAGCGTTGGCAGATGCCGAATTTAGTTGAATCCCCACATGGGTATGGTGTGAAGCCCATTTCTGGTGTTAGCGTGATGTTGCTGGAATATCACGGTGGCGTAAAACCAAACTCAGTCAGTCAGTCAGTGAACAGATTAATACTATTAAATACACAATGCCATTTAGCTGACTGGCTGAGTATGGTTTTCACCGTTTTTAGCAATATTCCGCAATATCATGGCCAGAAATGGGCTTTTTGTACCCATGTGGGGAAGGGCGGCCTTCGGCGTGACGAGCAAACGCTTTAACCACTAGGCTACCCCACCGCCCCACAATGCCATTTAGAAAGTTGTCAAATGTAACATATGTTATATTTGGGATTACACTTTCTTCGTAAAGTACATATTCTAGTACTGAGCGTCTGACTTTGTGTGCTGGCGATTACTTGCCTTACTCTGAGGGTGTGGGTTCGAATCCCGGATGGGACTCATGGGGTCCTAGAATCTGTACTTTACAAAGAAAGTGTAATCCCAAATATATCATCTGTTAATACTATTGTTGTGAATAAGTGAGTGAATCAGTGATACTGTTATGAAGTGAGTGAGTTTAGTTTTACGCCGCACTCAGCAATATTCCAGCTAAATAATCGCGTCTGGACCAGACAATCCAGTGATCGACAGCATGAACATCGATCTATGCAACTGGGATACGATGACATATGTCAACCCAGTCATCGAGCCTGACCACCCGATCCCGTTAGTCGCCTCTTAAGACAAGCATGGGTTACTGAAGATCAATTCTAACCCAGACCTTCACAGGTAGTCTGTCTCACAGTCCCTGAACCACATTATTTTCCCTACTGCCAAGCCCTTTCTGCAGTGCTAAAGCCCTAAATAAAGCAAGTCTAGATTTCCTCATGTTCTGAATTTCTGGTCTCCCTAGGGCTCCTTTTCAATTTAAATGGGCTTGTTTGTTACTATCAGAATTGGAAATTTTACTATAAATTGTATATTTATATACTTATCCTATCTCACGGTATGCACCTCTCTTCTTCTTCTACGACCATGCGTGGAAACGTGCTGTAAGCTAACTTGAATCAAAACTTCCTGGCCTTTGACCACCTGACATCTGCCCCTACTCCGATAGCAGACCTGTCAATCATCTCAATAAGTGTGCCGATCGCTCAGATGATCACGTGATGTTCTGTGCCTGTCATTCTCGTCTTGGAGCGTCAAGTATATCTGTGACGTGGGGCAGGTCGGGTGGATATCCATCGCGTAAGATAGGATAAGTATATAAATATACAATTGATAGTAAAATTTCCAAATTTTTAAACTTATCCCATCTCACGGTATGCATTATTCCACGGTTGGCTGGTGGGCCGCAGATTACCCTGTGTCAACTCTACAACCATGAGGTCGCATAACACAAGGAGGCCAGGAGAAAGCACCAACTCCCGATATGCTAACTCCGAACTTGTGATGGGTTGCTTCTGAAAACCCCTTAGCTTACACAGCACAAAAACTCTAGGGAGTGGGCGGTCCCGAATTAATGAGGTTTTCAGCCGCAACTTTTGACAAGCAAAAGGACGCAGTTTGGCAAGTGGACCCCGCCTCCCTGCGATTTATCAAGTGACACCAGTGAATTAAAGTCGAAGACCTTAATCTGGATAGTCCCTGCTTCGAAACTACCACCCACAGACACACACTGTAAGGCAGTGAAAGAGGGAATAGCCCGGTTGCTCAACTGGAGCGGAACGCTTTGAAAACTACGCAGGTAATCGGAAATCAACACTTCACTGATGTAATTGCTCAGAGAGTCGAGGTCAGTAAGCGGAGTGTCGATCACCTCTGCATGTAGCACAAGACTGGCCTCTCAGTCTATTGAGTCATCTCTATGACAGTGCAGACACGCCCTAGTTCCCTAGGTGAGGTAGTCTATGCCCAAATATAATCCATACCAATAAGAAAGATAGGACCGATATCTTTCATGATATAGAGAATGCAAAACCTACACAAAGGTAGGAACTGCATCTTATCTGCGTTTGCGAGCCGACGACAACTGCTGCACCAGAACCAAAGGACCCAGTTGGTGAAGACCTTCCACGTCAATGGCAGACAGATCCCGGAGGTAGGGTGAGACGAAGACCGTGTCCAAACTCCAAAAACAACCCTCCATGATGCCGTGAAGGGAACGGTTCTATGTAGCGCCATCGTAAAGGTCAAGGCTCTTGTCTCATGAGGGTTGGCCGTAGTAGGAGGAGGAAGGTCAGCATAGGTGTAGGCATGAAGTCCGGACAGGACATAGGAGAGATCCTCGGTGTTGTCAGGGCCCAGAACAGTTGACAGCAGCTGGAGGCGAATAGTCTGTCCGGCTGTCCAGGCAACTGGTTTCAGCGACGAGATCCCACCTCAAACCAGGGAGGGCTTTGGCATGTCTGGTCCACTCGAAGCGCAACTGGGTGACATCCAGTGCGTGAAGCTCGGAGATGCGGGCAGCAGTCGCAAGAGCCAGGAGGAAGAAAGTCTTAGACGTGACATGCTTGAAATCCTTCTCTGCCAGAGGTTTATACTCATCTGACGTGAGATGATTAAAAACCACGGAAAAGTCCCAGGCTGGTGGCCGGAACTTCCGGGATTGATCAGCAACTTTGTAAAAGGAGACACTGGAGCTCAGGGACAGTTGACACCTTCGTACCCGTAGTTGGCGCAATAACTGTGTTACGCATGGCCAGGTATGTAGACAAGGTAGAACCCTTCAGTTCCTTGGAAGTTCTAGGATGCTGGAGGTACTCTGCGACTATCTGAGGCGATGCTGTAGTAGGAGATATAATACCCATCGTCTTGCAGTACGCTTCAAAATTCTTCCATAGTCATCACAGAATGGCCAGGTAGAAGTTCGGTGTGCCTTGGTAATATCTTGGAATATCCCTTTGCAGTTAGCGATTCATGTAAATGCACCAGGCGTGAAGATTAAGTGCTAGCAGAGACCAATGCAGCTGATCGGAGTGAAGATGAACCAGAAGATCGGCATGATCGGGAAGTGGTACTGGAATGGGTCGACGAAGTCTTGCAGGTCTAGGAACAAACTTCTGACGGGCCAAAAGGTGCGACCCAAAATCAGTGTCATCGCTGCGTCGTGCGTAAGTTGAGCAGTATGCGTGGAAGTAGTGCCATTGGTGGAAACGCATGCGCGTTCTAGTAATCCCCGGGATGTGATTGGCCTGGACCGTGATGTTGAGAGAGTCCACTAAGTGGAAAAACTGTTCTGTCCACTGAAGAAGCTGAGGAGACCCCGTGGATCCAATTCGATTGATGTGCCACACGACTGCAGCATAGTCCAATCGAATCAAAAGAATGGTTGATTGTAACAGGTGTTGCCAATGAGTGATCGCAAGAATCACTGCCCTGAGCTCCAAAACGTTGATGTGACATGCGCGGTCTGCAGAAGACCACCGCCCTGCCACCTGCTGATCGAGAAAGTGAGCTCCCCACCCATGTAGAGAAGCGTCTACGTACAGGTGATGTACTGGAGCAAACGGTCTTAAAGAGACTTCGCCGCAAACATTCAACACGTCCAAACACCACTGGAGATGGGGAAGGAACACTGGAGGAAAAAGGTCAATGCATGAAGGTTGCCGATCCTGATGTGCGGATACAGAAAATATTGGAGAGGCCGTAGTTGAAGCTATCCCCTCAGAGTCACAACTTGAGCTGACGTCAACAGAAAAAGGTCTGTAACTGATGGAGAACCTTCGGTTACGAAAGCGCTAGGGGTACCATAGAAACTCCAGGGCAGACATTCAGTTCGTCGAGCCACCACTGAAGGACTGGACGAAGCGGTTCTGGAAAGTGACTCAATTCTTTCGGGTTCAATTAACGGCCTCGAGATACGGGCATAGAAATTGCTGTATCGGCAAAAGTAGGAGATGGCCCTGTACGTTGAGGCTTGAGCTGATATCAAAAGGCCTAGCAACTACTGCCACTGGAGAAGAAATCTCTCCTGAGATAGGATACATTCGATTAGTCAAGTCAGTATGACAGTACTGAAGAAGTGCTGAATGTAGTAGGTTCGTGGCATGGAGATTGTCAGTCAATCTACAGGAACGTTCACATTGTACACATAGTGATGCAGGCGTATAATCAGTGATCGCAGGAACGTATGGTTCACCAAATGAAGTGTTGGTCCGCCAGATGGAGTGAAAAGTTAGTAGATGCGAGGCAAGGGATCGTCAATCTACCGGAACAGTCGCTGGGTGTAATTGTGGTTTGTTTCGTCAACCTCAGCACCCTTCCTTTCACATCATCGTCAACTTACTGGACAATGTGTCAAACCGGTGGTTGTAGAGCTGATATCTACGTCGAAGGGGGGATTCGGTGAATCGAATCATTCATCAAAGGTGAAGATCGGATGGTAGATGACGGAGGAATCTTAAAAATCTGGGATCACACCCGTAATGTAGAGGCCTGTGCTACTGACATAACTACTACCTCTGTACAACCAACCGAAACAATGCACTAACTGGAAGCGCTGCACTGGATGAAAGCGTTGATACAGAAGAAAGCGTCGCACTGGATAGAAGCGTCGATATATAAGAAAGTGGCGCTCTGGATGGAAGCGTTGATACATAAAAAAGCGGCGCTCTGGATGGAAGCGTTGATACATAAGAAAGCGTCGCACTGGATGGAAGCATTGATACATAAGAGAACAGCGCACTGGAGTAAAGCGGCACTCTGAATACGATCGACATACTAGTAGATAATCAGAAAGTGAATGAAAGCGGCGCATTGGGACAAAGCGTCGCACTGGACTTAAAGCATTGGTGAAAACAGGAACCGTAGAAACAGGAAGCGTAACCCCGAAGACAAGCTGAACACCGGTAAAAACTGTGGAAATGAGGTATCAACGCCGCAGTTGGAAAAAGTGTTGAAGTAGAACTGCAGTAGACAAAGTCACTGTAGGTACCGTAGTGTGCGAACTAATAAACAAGTCATGATGACAGTATGCACATAGAGGTAACCAGATGATTCGGCGAATGCTGACAGTTCAACGAACACTGTCGGATCAGCGAATACTGTTGGAGCGGCGATCTGGTATGGTGCGGCGATCAGGATCAATTAGGTGATCCGGTTCGGTACTGTGATCCGGTTCGGTCAAGTGATTTGGTTCTGAAGCGCTGAGTCAATTGGGACCGGTGCATTCGTCTAAAACGTCGTACCATACAGTAATGGTGTACTGGACTGAAAGGTGTTCCAATCAAAACAGTTCACTAAGTTGAATCGTTGTTCCAATCGAAAACGGAACACTGGTCTGAACCCTTGATCTAATCGAAAAGGCACACTGGGCTGAAGTGTTGATCCAATCGAAAGCGCCGCACAGGGCTAATGAGGTGGACCGAACGAGAGCGGTGAACTGAAGTGAAACGATGCACTGGTCTCTTCTTCCCTTGTGAGAGTGACGCATTGGTACAAAGTGATGACTGGACAGCAAGACCCGCTCTGGTAGTAAGCGGCGCACTGGAACTAGGCGGTGGTTCAGAGACAAGTGGTGCAAGGTACGGGAAAGGTGTTGAAAGCGCTGTACTGGATACTGCCGTCATGCCTGATGTCACCACAGAAATTTATGAGAGCGCCGAACTGGAACAAAGCGCCGCATTGGAAGCAAGCGGCGCATAGGTTGAAGCGCCAAACTGATCCCTGTGGTTGAAAGCGCTGAACTGACTGCACTCGCCACATGAGAGTGAACGCTTGGAGCACCCACCATAGCAAGGGGTGGAGACTGGAAACAACCACCTGCCAATGTAGAAGGCCGAGACTGTGCTACAGAGGTTGTTAGCACTACCACTCTCGGAGGAGATAAAACTTGTCTGGAGACATGACTAGATGTTGAGGACGAAAGAGACGACGGAGATACTCGCTCAAGTAGGAGTCTCAGGCCACCTCTAAAAAATCTTCGTCCGGGGAAGGAGATTAGATCAACGAACTGCTCTCATCGAACGGCGTTCCGATTTAGCACACTTAGAAGTTGAAGGACCTTCAGCAGTTGTATGCCAATCTCTGTCTGATCTACGTCTAGATGCACCCTGTCGATATTCAGAAAAAACATCATCATTCAAGTGTGAACAAGCAGAACACTGATGTGACCAACTACAACAGCCTATACAATCCACACACAAAGCGTGGATCAGCAGCGGAAAAGTTGCTGTTGCACTGACCACAAAGTTTGCGTTTCTTAAAAGAACTTCGATTCGATTTATTTCCCATATTGACAATCAAATAATGTCTAACTGAGAGAACAACACACGTCCACACGGTGTAGCGACAAGAAAGAGAATGACAGGCACAGAACGTCTTGTGATCATCTGAGCGATCGGCACGCTTATTAAGGTGATTGACAGGTCTGCTATCGGAGTGGGGGCAGAGGTCAGGTGGTCAGAGGTCATGAAGTTTTGATTCAACTTAGCCTACAGCACGTTTCCACACATGGTCGTAGAAGAAGAAGAGAGGTGCATACCGTGAGATAGGATAAGTATATAAATATACAATTTATAGTAAAATTTCCAATTTTATTGAAATGATCAAAATAATGTGATAATTGTAAAAAGTGTGGTTAATATTTTATTTTTATATATTCAGAGACTAAGCCTTAGTTACTTCACGGGTGATACTGTTATGAAGGAGTGAGTGAATTAGTGATACTGTTATGAAGGAGTGGATTAAAAAAACTGTTGTGAATGAGTGAGTGAATTAATGTGTAACTATTATGAAAGTGTGGGTGAATCAGTGATACTGTTATGAAAGAGTGAGTGAATGAGTGAATGAATTAATGTGTAACTATTATGAAAGTGTGGGTGAATCAGTGATACTGTTATAAAAGAGTGAGTGAATGAGTGAGTGAATTAATGTGTAACTATAATGAAAGGGTGGGTGAATCAATATTACTTTTACCAAAGTGTGAGTCAATAAACATCATTGTCTTGAAAGACTGAATCAATACAACAGGTGAGTGAGTCAATGTCAATTTTCTGAGTGAGTGAGTGCATGAGTATGGTCTTTAGGGGTGTCACGATACACCAATCTCACGATACGATACGTATCACGATTTTAAGGTCACGATACGATACGTATCGCGATACATAATTTTTGCACCTTTTCATAACATTACCTTACCGGCAACGTACGCGCTCGCTCATTGGTCCATCAAAATAGTCTAGCCAATCACAAAAGCTGTTAGTTTCCAACCTATTTTTTAAGTAAAGCTAGCTACATCTATTTATCGGAACGGTCTCGTATAATTTTACTATCAAGACTTTGATGGAGATGGATATAGCATAAAAATTTGAATCGATAAAGTTTTAAAATAGGAATCGATACACGCAAGCATGTATCGCATATCGTATCGTCAGTAAAAATGTATCGATGCGACACCCCTAATGGTCTTATGCCACTTTTAGCACATATTCCAGCAATACCCAGAAGGGACACCAGAAACAGGCATCCCAGATGGAACCCATATTGGGAATTGAACACAGGGTTTTGGTGTGATGAGCAGGATCACTAACCATTAGGCTACCACACTTCCCCTTTTATGAGCGAATAAGTATCACTGAAAGGCTGAATCAATATGCATGAACTGGAAGAGTGAGTTAATCAATGTTTCTGTTAGGAAAGAGTGAGTTAATCAAATTTACTTTACTGAAAGAATGTATGAATCAATTTCACTAATCCTGAGGTATCTTGTACAAATCAATGTTTTTCTTTGGATGTACCTTGATGCCATTTCAGGCGTCGGCCATGAGTCCGAGTTACCTAGGAGTTGTCCATGTACACCCAGTCCACCATAGATAAAGCCAGCAAACAGACCTGCCACAAACCAACACACACGTGGGTGTCACTTCATACCTATAGCCCACAGTGTAAATATACCAGTGTCCAGTTTCTGTAAAGGCTGACCATTATATAGTCCAAGCAAATCTGATACAACACAACACAACATTGTTTCAGTGTTAAATGCCAACTATGAATTAAATGGATCACTGTATATAATTAATTAAAAATATATTTGATATTTAGGTTAAAGTTTACCGATTTGGCCCATTTCAATGGTTAATTACACTCATGACCATTACATGGAAACACTGTCTGTTGTACATAATGGTGTTCCGATTAATTGAAATAATCGAAGATTGGTCGCAGTGACGAAATGAGCAAGCAATCGATCACATTTTCTCATAATCAAACACAAACGATTTTGGAACTACTGTTTAAGTGTTTGAAACACTTGAAGATGGAACATATCTTAGAAGTTGTCAGGGCCTGAAAACATGTTAATTCTTAGAAAACTCACTTCACTTACTGAAAAGTCATGACTGAATATTTCTTGAAGGCACAAGGAGGTTTATGGTCATGATATATTAATCATCACTTTTAGTAGCAAGTTTACTCATTTCACCTTGGATGTGAAATTGGCAAATGCAAAATTAATAAATAAATAAAACATAAAGCAACAGAGAACCACATTATACTTATCTGCAATAACAACCTGAATAGGAAAATCTGAAAAATGACGCTAACCAATTTATTTTGATGATTGCTCATTGGTAATTGACCAATCATCAATTGTGAGATTTCGACCAATTCCTATCACTAGTTGTATGTCCTTCTAGTCATTAGTGGTTACTGTACATGCTCCATTAACATGACTGACACAAGACACACAGTGCCAAGGGTATTCTAAACAGAGACTAGAAGTTGTACCCATGCTGTGGATAAGAGGCCCTTAGTTGTAAAATGAATTCAAACATTTACTGTAATCTGATTGGTTTAACAATTCAAATTCGGATTTGACACTGGAAATCTTATGACTTTTCACTGTGTTTGGATACTTTTCTTGATGAGTAAAGTTTCTTTCTTAAAAAATATATGAAAGATGCCATTCAGCCTGACTAACTAAGGGGCATTTATGTTGATTAAAGTTACTGATTTATACACAAGCTAATTACTGTGTTGGTTAGTGAGTTAATTCATGCTGAAATATTACTCGGATTAATGTGCTTTATAAATGACTTTATTTGATGTGATTACACCTACTATTTTATGTGGTACCTGGAAAACCAAGATTGGTTGATTGATTGATGCTTAATGCCACACTCAGCAATATATAATAGAGTGATCAACATCATGAGCATCGATCTACGCAATTGGGATACGATGACATGTGTCAACCAAGTCAGCGAGCCTGACCACCCGATCCCGTTAGTCGCCCCTTTCGACAAGCATGGGTTACTGAAGACCAATTCTGACTGACTGACTGAGACCACGCTTTTAGCAATATTCCAGAAACATCCGCTGGGGACACCAGTAATGGGCTTCACACATTGTACCCATGTGGGGATTCAAACTCGGTCCTCGGGCGGATGAGGTTAACCACTAGGCTACCCCACCGCCCCGAAGACCAATTCTAACCTGGATCTTCATATGTCAGAAAACCAAGAGATTCATGCACATATATAGATATGATGCAGATATAGGTAACCAGAGATAGGCTTATGTGAAATAAAATTAATCCCTGGTTGCTGTTTACAAAGAGAACTTAGTCTTAAGGTGATTGTAATTTCTGTACCTTAAAATACAACAACTTTTAATCCCAATTGAGCCCCATTTAATATAGGTGAAAATTAAAGGCTGTCATACTGATTACACTTAATTAACAACATAATATTGTAAATAACCTGTAGACACCATCACTGAATAATTCAGCAAAATAATGCAACACAAGCCCCTTTCAGTTGTTTGAGATGAAAAACAAAAAGTTTCAACTGAAATTTATAAATGAACTTGGTTGAACTGATTGAACATTTTGAACCACTCGGAAAATATTCATCTGGGCCTAATATTTTTGGAAATGTTTGTGAAGTGGATGTTGATTTTGTCAAAAATTCTAATCGTAAAGCTATCAATATCTGTGACAGTCCAATCCTATTTCTGCACAGAAAAGTAAACTTGAAATAAGAATGGCAAAAACTGGCCTTGGATATGAGCTAGTGTCCATGCTTGCCTAGGAAAGATAGTCCTTACTAGGTGACAGGTTGTATTAAACTGTTGTTCAAGATAAAAGTCTTAGTTATAGAAGTGTGAACACACCCACGCTTCAGCGTAGCCCCACAGGCATTCCGGGTTACAATAAGCCTCAAACATCTTATGCTTGACAAATATGTTGACTAGCAGACCTAGTGGTCAGACACAGTGATATATTTGACTCTGTGTCATTGAACACTGATGGGGAATGATGTTCATAATATCAGTCACCGCTTTGTCTGGTCATGGTTTGATTTTTTTAAAGGCCATCGTCACATGGCTGGAATATCTCTCAGTGAAGCAATAAATAACATCCATCCATCCATCCATCCATCCATCCATCCATCCATCCATCCATCCATCCATCCATCCATCCATCCATCCAGACAATCACTTACCAAAGACAAGGCATATTCCCAGGCCAATGAGTTCAGACTTGATGCCAGTGTTCCTGAGGTCATCATACTTCACAACTGAGCCGAAAATCCCTGCTAATATAGGACCCTGCCAACAGGTAGAAAATCCAGTTTATTCATGTTTTGTTGAATCCAGACATGCACATTAAAGAGTCAACCAAGCTATATGCACTTGTATAGCACTACAGTAGCTAAACCAACTTTGACAAGCAGCAACCAATCACAATGTATGTACCAAATTTAATAGTGGGGACAAATATGACAAGCAACAACCAATCAAAATCTACGTACCATAAGTGGAGATATAAGCATACTGGCTACTAAAATCACAGAACTGTTCTCTCCCAGACCCAGAGCAGCTATCCAGCTGAAACACAACCACCAGGTACAGAGAAAGCAGGAGAGTCTGTCAGGAGTCACACTGTTTTCTATTCAATTTGATACCTGTAAACATCTTTCCAGTCTCTTCCCACCGAGGTTACATGTCATATCTTCCTACAAACTTCTGTTCTGTCGGCCCTTTCATTACATAGGCCTCGGTAATTTCTTTCATGCTTTGGGAAAACTAGAACCTATTTCTCTTCTAGCCAGAACTCAGTCATGTTCAGGATCAATGTGATTGCGTCTCCATGCAATCAGATTTAGTTGTATTAGTGCAATCAGTGACGTTCTGATTGGCCAAAAGTGATCATTCGCAAATCTTTGGTAATTTCCGAGGAAATATGCTGTTTGGGAAAGATATGAACCTCCTCTCTTCTAGACAGAACTTTCAGTAAATGTGTAATGGCGGATCAATAGTGTCGCTTTTAGCATCAAGCCTCTCAAGGCAGGGGACAAATGGACAAGGTAGCCATTATATGAACCCAGGTATTAGTGAAGTTGGATCTTTAACACTAGGCACCATGCAGCCCCTCTTTCAGTTCTGATTGTATTGATAGAAAAGAAGGGAGATAACCATCACTTTCACTCATTACCAACATGAACTTTTAAAAGAAAATTTATGTATTTCTGAGAGATTTTCCGAGAACCTCAAAATATCAAATAATGTTAGAACCAGAGGTTTGTAGGAATAGACATGACAAGTAACCTCTGGTGGGAAGAGAATGACATCTTCATGAGACTGGATGTCTGATTCAGAAAAACACAGCCCAAGCGAGTGAGTTTAGTTTTCTACGCCACTATTTAGATGTTCAACAAACTACTGGCAATATCAAGGATAAGTTGAGCACCAACCTGACAATTGACCTGTATTAGCATGTATGAGTGAAATCGAACCCAGGTCCTTGCCATTGTTAAGTGAATGCTTTAACCCCAGGTTGTCCGCGGCCCATCTTTCACTTACTGAGATGGGTGAAATTAGTGAATGCGTGTGCAGCTACGTGCGGAATAAATTTCATTGTCATGCAATGCACGTGCACTAGCCTACATCTGCTCTACCTTTCACAAACCAAATGGGTTTGCTCATTGCCCTGCACCACCTACTTCTTGTAAACACGTTCTCTGTGCCGGTCCAACTTATCCTTGTTTGCCAGTAAGTAACAACTGAGGGTAAAAGATCTACACTGAAGATTTCTCACCTTGCTAGGAAGATGAGCATGACATAATCAAATGTCAGCCTTGCATTACTCTGAACTGACTCAACCACCTGCAAAGAGAAACAGAGAAATGTGACCTGGTTCTGGTGCTCACCTTTAGAACATATTTAGAGAGAGTGAGTGAGGAGTAAGGTTTTATGCCGCTTTTAGCAGTATTCCAGCAACATCACGGTATCAAACTGTGTTTTCTATTCAATTTGATACCTGTAAACATCTTTCATGTGTAAATGTCTTTCAGTTACTGAGTGTGTGAGTTTAGTTTTACACAACTTTTAACAATATCCAAGCAATATCAAGTCAGGGGACACCAGAAATGGACTTCACACATTATAATCATGTGGGGAATCAAACCCAGGTCTTCGGTGTGACAAGCGAATGCTTTAACCACAAGGCTACCCCACCACCCCTTTAACTACTTGAATACACTGAATATTCAAGAACACTTTTGATGATATTTTCTTTAGCTAAAAATCACATCCCCATCAAAATATCAGTATAGATCTAGTCTGGCAGTCCCAAGCACAAATTACCATAGCTTACTTCTGGAGGACAATGAGAACACTGTTTATACAGGAAATTATTCATCTGGTCAGCAGTGCAAAGGTCAATCAATATATTTTTGTTTGAAAGAGGAGCCATTTTGTCCATTTTCATTTTGTGAACCTCTATCCTAAATGCAGTATCAATACAAACAAATGGGCACATTTCAAAGTATAGAAATGTTAACTCTGAATACCAGGTAAAATGTAGCCATAATGTTTTCTTACAGGTAGTTTTCACTGCATTCAAATGTTGAATTCAAGACATGCTAAAAAATTATCTGTATTTGTCCAAATCTACTGTTCTGTTAAAACGATTCTATCAATTTTCACAAACATAAGCATTAGTGATGCAATACTCCTTCCGCCGTGGGGCGGTGGAGTGGCCTAGTGGTTGAGGCGTTCGTCGTCATGCTGAAGACCCGGGTTCAATTCCCCACATTGGCACAATGTGTGAAGCCCATTTCAGGTGTCCCTCGCCATGATACTGCTGGAATATTGCTAAAAGCGGCATAAAACCTAACCCACTCACTCACTTACTCACTCCACCATAAAGCCACATTGTTTAAATCATTGTAAGACTGTATGGTGATGATCTAACCTGAGCCACAACCAATCTTGACTTGATTGAATCCCTGAATTCATGTTCCTTTTCCTCCTTAGCTATGTAGTTCCTGGAAGACAGAAATACATGTATATGCAATAATAACAATACATTTTGCTTTTCAGATGGTGATTGGCACAAGTGTAAATGAATCTGATTTGTAAGATGAATAAAAAATTAATAAACAGGGTGAAAAAAATACTTTTAGGGAACGTCTTGTTTTTCTCATTTATCAGTTTAGTAGAGTATTTTACCACTTATCTTATTATAGATAGAGTGTTATTCACTTGGTTTTCTATTTGTACTGTTGTTGTTTAATGCTCCATTTATTATTGCAGCTGATGGAGGTTTAAACTGGTAAATAGTTGAGAAATATACCAGACCACTCGATCTCCTTAATGCCAATGTATGATGAAAAATATTTTTATCCCTGATCTTCATAGGTTCTTGGTTGTTTGTAAATAATTATTTAGGTGCCTGTGGTTGTACACAAATTAACAACTGAATTTTACACTGGAGTAAGTAATACTGCAGCAGTGTCACTGTGGTCTGTAACTCATGGAGAGTGGCAAGGCAAATAGTATCTGACTGCATGATGGTAATTAATGAATATTTTCTAAACATATTCAAGCAAGATTTTGGATAAAAAATGGAAGAAAATGTAAATGATTAAGAACAAGCATTGTCATTAAGGTGACATAATCCCCCGGCGCAAAGTTATAAAGTAATGAAAGTTTAAGGTGAAGTTAAATGTCAACAAAAACATGACCAGTCAACCTCTCTTGATATCTTGCTGTTTAGTTGTTCAAACACACACATATTTTCAACACTGACTTTGACCTTGACATGAATGTCATAGTGTATGAAATATGCAAAACTAGTACTAAAGAAATTGCTTATTGAAAAACATTCAAGGGAGGTCTTGAAAGTCTATGAAGAAAATCCAGTGAACCGTTCTTAAAATATCTTGCTGACAATTCAGGTTAACATGCTGAAATCTTCAAAGTGTCGTCGTGACCCTAAAAATTATGTGAAGGTCACCAAAATTGACTGGGCCCTGGGCCTTCCCTAGATGAAGCTTGGTGTCAAATATGAAGAAAATCCAGTGAATGGCTCTTGAGGTATCGCGCTGACAAGCATAACAATAACATGTAGGTTAATATGCTGAAATCTTCAAAGTGTCTCTGTGACCTTGAAAATTAAGTGAAGGTCACCAAAATTGAATGGGCCCTGCGCCTTCCCTAGATAAGACTTGGTGTTAAATATGAAGAAAATCCAGTAAACGGTTCTTGAGATAGCTTAACATGTGGGTTAACATGCTGAAATCTTCAAAGTGGCGCCATGACCTTGAAAATTATGTGAAGGTCACCAAAATCGACTGGGCCCTGCGCCTTCCCTAGATAAAGCTTGGTACTGAATATGAAGAAAATCCAGTGAATGGTTCTTGAGATAGCTTAACGTGCAGGTAAAACGTTAAAGTCCTCTTGTGACCTTGAAATGAAGGTCAAGGTCACCAAACCTGACTGGCACCTTCCTTTTACTGTGATGAACCTAGGTACCAAATATGAAAAGAATCCAGTCAACTGTTCTTAAGATATTCCAATTCGTACGTACGTACGGACTGAGCCTAATGCTATATCCCCCGCTTCGCGCTAAACGTGCGGCGGGGGATAATAAATTGTTCTTTTATTAATATTGAAACTGAGGAAATAGATTTGCTTGTTTGCTCTTTAATGCACCACTCCTGCAAAACTTCAGCCATATTACACAGTTTGTAAATAATCAAGTCTGGACCAGACAACCAGAAATCAATATTGTGAGTATCGTTCTACACAGATAGGGTAGAGTGACACCCAATCAACTACATAACCCAGCCTGACCACCTGATTAATTTAGTCCCCTCTCATGACCAACATAGGTTTTTGGGTACATGTATTCTTACATGTACAGAATCCCACTAAAAAATTCAATATTTTGTATTGTAAACCAAAAGTCACCGTGTTCTTCAATCTGATTGGTTAAAAAACATGGACGAATGGTATTCGATTCCCGGAAATTGCAAGACTATTCACTGCGTATTGTTGACACGTACAAATATCGCACACAGCATTATATTGTTGCGTCGTCAGCAGCGGTGACGTCATTCAAATCATATTGTGACGTGAAGTCGGAATGACGTCACAAATGAGCATTTCCAGATGCTACCATGGGAACCAGCTGAAACGGCCGGCTGATGACATTCACTGCTGTTCCCGTATTCAATGTCAATGAGAGCAGACAGTAAAGCCCATGTTGCTTTACTTTTGTGTTTATAATGTTGATAAACATCATGTGTTGGCCAATTTCTGGGTGCTATTGAGCATTTGAAGCACAGGAATACTTCATATGAAACCTCCGGCTTACGTCATCGGTTCCAAATGAATTCCCATGCTTCAAATACTCAATAACACCCGGAAATTGGCCAACACATGATGTTTATCTCCTAAATCATACTGAGTTTAACATGGATAATGAGTAATTGACACAGATAGTTGACATGGATAATGAGTAGTTGACATGGATAATGAGTAATGGGCATGGATAATGAGCAGTTATCATGGGACCCTCTATTATCGTGGTAGTTAATGTTGTCTCCATCGGGATTATGAACAGCTACTGACATTTAGCATTTTATATATATTTTCAGTTGACGGATGTTTAATCTTCATTTCTGTCACAAATAATGTGACACATAGTCGCAACTCGTTTAATACCATTGCGGCAATTCCGATTGTCTCATTTGACCCGGAAATTGAAGCAACACTCTATTATCGCGGTATTGGTATTTTCTTACTATGGCACAGGGTACAAGCAGATCACAATGTGAAACGTTTACTAAGACAAGTAATAGTTTGATCATTAAAAAATATTTAGGAATTTCATTCACATTAGTAATATCATCATGTTTTTAACCAACACTGAAACTTCTATTCATTTGGATACAAGGTAACTAACATAACAAAATATTGTTTTTCCGCCTTAAAACGTACCATACAAGTTGCAGCCGTGTGTAGAGTGAAGTTGCATAATACGTCACTTCCTGTTACAGTTTTAGCAAGGAAAATATGCAAATGACTTTATAGTGGTCGCAGGATTACTCTTGACGAAGTAAGTTTTGATTCATGCTAGATGTAATGGCAGTAGGGGTCATACTAGTTTCAAAATGTTCCAGAACTTACTGAAAAGATGAATGCTTTAATATTTCTACGATTAGACATGACATTCCAATGAAATAAATGACTTTTTCAAGAGCAATGAATATATTGTACGTAATTTGCATATGAAACAGCCGATGCGGGCGTGGTGTTTCTGCTTTCCAGATGTTTTCGCGTGACGCGATAATAGAGAGTCCCAGTATAATATGGATGAGTAGAAACTTAAGAATGCATTTGCATGATCATAGCCAATGATTATAACGATGGATCACAGATGAGAGCTGCACTTGCATGTTTGCAATAACACTAGCAATATTATGTTTTCAACTACTGTAATCTCCCGATACAGATTGTAAGTTGTCCTGAGTTATAGGAGTGTTTATACTATCAGAACATTATCCTCAGACAAATAATTTGACTCACGGTTCAAAGTTTTCTAGAACCTCTGATTCCTCACTGGGTGCTGGCTCGTAGCGGAGATGGATTGATGTCGGAAATACACTGAAGAGAAAAAAGAATTCACTAGCTAAATCAGTTTTACTCAATAAAATCAACATCATTTAAAAGTATGCAAAATAACAAATCCTATTTGTTTGTGCAGATACTGTGATTTAACACAAAACAAGAGTCATCAGAAGATGATAAATTCCCCCGTCCCCCCAAAATTTGAAAGAACAAATCATCTGACAGTTACTTAAAGTCCAACTTGATTTTTTTTTACTAAGTCCAAATCGTTTCCATGGAAATCATGAAAAATAGCAAAAGGCACCACTTCAAGATTTGTTTGACATATCTGCCAAGTCTTGTAGAAAAATATTGAACGATTTTCAAGTTGTGCTCTGGAACCGAAGCCCACCCATCCCTTTTGATACTAAGTCCAAATCGTTTCCAAAAAATAATGACAAAAATCTATAAATAGCAAAAGAAATATGGAACGTTTTTTGAGTTATGCTCCGGAAACAAAATGATTATGGACGGATGGATGGACAAACAGACGAGGCATCGACCATAATTTTATTCATGTACATTTGTGCAGTGAAACATGGTAAGCAAGTGTGATGGCCCTCTTCATTGATGTCACGCTCAATTGTCACAGACGTCACAGACGACGTAATACAGAAACAATGGTTTCAAACAAGAATGGCACATGTGCACATATGATATACATGTATCTGACACTGGTTATGTTTCACCACATGGGTAATAAAAAGATGTCTGAATAATGTCCAAAAATCTTATTTTCAATATGGCTTAATTGGATCAGAACTATAAGCAAAATATATAGGAACCAGAACTGGGATAGTTTATGCAAAGTTAAACATCATAGGTGTTGCGAAAAACATGATTACCTGACGGTGGTGTTTGGGTTCCTCCCAATACCAATATTGGAAAGGCGAGTGATGATTTCTTCACATCTCAGTCCAGACTCCTCAACAAAGGACACCTGAAAGTAAAGTTTTGTGTGTTTTGTGCGTTTTGTTTGTTGTTGCTAAGACATATTCCAGTTATATGATACTGGTAATCGATTCCGGACCTGACAATCCAGTGATTGACATTATGAGCAGAGATTCTCACACATGGGACATAATGATGTTGAAAACAAGGACTCTACCCTGACAACTCCAACCACTAAACTGAATCTTACAAGCACAAGTTTCTGGGCATGTGTCTTTCCCAGGATGCCCATGAGTCAGCGAAGGAAGATTGTTTTATTGTTAATCAGTGGATTAAAACAGCTTGGAATGTTGAGCAGAGGATTGAATGAATGTTTTTTTAATAACAGCAGCATTTCAGTTGTATCACAGGGGCCTCCTAGCTATGGGACCCCTGAAGGTCTGGGTTAGATTGATCTTCAGTAACCCATGCTTGTCGTAAGAGGCGACTAACGGGATTGGTTGGTCAGGCTCGCTGAATGGGTTGACACATGTCATCGGTTCCCAATTGCGTAGATCGATGTTCATGCTGTTGATCCGTGGATTGTCTGGTCCAGACTCGATTATTTACAGACCGCGGCCATATAACTGGAATATTGCTGAGTGCGGCATAAAACTAAACACACTCACTCACTCTTAGCTAAGGCATCTGGTCCAGGTTGGTTGGTTCGTTGTTTAACGCCACACTCAGCAATATTACAACTATATGGCGGCGGCGGTCTGAAAATAATCGATCCAGGGCCAGACAATCCAGTGATCAACAGCATGAGCATTGATCTACGCAGTTGGGATACAATGACATGTGTCAACCAGGTCTGCGAGTCTGACCACCCGATCCCATTAGTCGCCTTTTACAAGCATGGGTTGCTGAAAATCAATTCTAACCGGATCTTCACGGGCCTATTTGTCCAGGAAAAAGGTCAACAGCAACAGCAGCTGGCTACACCACCTGGCAAGATGTCACCTAAACAGTCCGGACAAAAAAAGTCCCAACTGATCCTAATTCTGTCAACTTATAAGATTTGCTGGATTGCCTTGGATGCACCTAGGTATTGCTTTGGTATATTCTCCAGGAATTTTCAACTGTTTTTATGCATTTAACAATTTAAGGAAAGTTTTATCAACCCTAAATGTGTTAAAAACCCTGGAGTGTTTGAACAGCATTTAGAAGTGATACACATAAACGCAAGAATTTATGGATGTCAAATTATTTATTTTGATGGACATGACACTTCGGAGTATAGTCTTACTTCTTCATCAGGTAAATATTCATCTGGTGAAAGAGTTACCTGAACAATATTTTCTTCGGGAGATGTCTGCCAGACTGCATTGTCAATCTGTAGGGAGATGAGTGTCTCTTTCAATCTCTGAAAATTGAAAATATCAGTGAATAAGTGTGATTTTACACTTCTTGTATTCAGTGAGTGAGTGAGTGAGTGAGTTTAGTTCTATGCCACTTATAGCAACATTCACCCCCCTTATATTCTGACAATACCAGAAACATACAAAGTGTACCCATGTTGGGTCTGAACTCTGATCTCTGCTGTGAGGATGAACAGCTTTAACCTCTGTCATCTCTTGTCTCATTGTGGCTCCTTTTTAAATTAAATAAGTTATCTGTTTTGATCAAAATTATTTATTTTCATAGATGATGCATTGGTCTAGGTTTTCATCAATAACATTTCTATGTTCATAACAGGTATTTACTCACATCTTTCAATGTATCTTCACCTAGAAAATCTACAAATATGCTCCCTGCTTCAACACTGTCTGATTCTGGTTTGTCTGTGGGTTCTTGTGCTTCACCAGTTATCTCCCCTGATTGTTTCTCAGCCGATTCTGGCACACATTCACTTTCCTCTGTATCAGGCACAGCATCTACTTCAATGTCTGTCTCAGCTGAAATTATATGCTTGTCATATAAACACACAGGACAAAGCCATTTAGAAAGTGGTCAAATGTAACACATGTTATTCTTGGGATTACACTTTCTCTGTAAAGTACAGATTATAGTACTTTCTAAATGGCATTGTGTTTTCATAGCTTTCGGCCAATTTACACCTATCAGGTTACATAAAGTCTGTGGTCTAGAATTCCAGTTGTCTGACTTCCATTTTGTGGAAGCCACAGTTGATGAGTGGGTTAGACATCTGACTTTGTGTGCTTACGATTAGGTGCCTGATTGAGGGTGTGTGTTCGAATCCTGGATGGGATTTGAGAAAGTGTTATCCCAAATATAACGCCGTAAGACATGCTTCTTTAGCATGTTTAGGGCTTTAACATGACAGAATAGGCTATGCGGAAAGGAAAATAATACAGTTTAGGGGCTGTGAGACAGACTACCCTAATTCTTGGGATGAATATGTAATTATTATCTAACAGGGGTTTTCCTATCATTTGGAATCTTAGTATTTCAAAGAATGTAAACATGTAAAGCTAGGCATTAAAGCTCCTTCCTGTTGTTTGGGCCTGTTCTCAGCATGTTCACTGGACTGCAGGTCAAGTCTGCAAAGCCATTAGGAAGAACTATAATATCCTGACTGTAGAAACTACTAATTTCATTTAAGGAACTTCTACTGACATTTGCTGCTGGCTAGTGGCCAGGTTTCAGCCTCTGAGTAGTTCTACATAAATCTTTATGTGTCAGGAATACATAACGTACCTATCAGAGTCACGATACGGATGAAATACTGCCATATAGCTGGAATATTGCTGAGTGCGGCATAAAACTAAACTCACTCATAAACCATCCAATATCGGGGGAACTGCAGATTGTTGTGTGGTATTCATGTCAATCAAAGTATTATACCTGAATTGAAAGCTGTGTCACACCCAAATTTGAATATACCAACAAAAATTCTTATTTTTCCAGCTTGGAAAGTTTAATTTATTGGGTAAGTTCTTCTGTTATGTTTCCTTAATCAGAGCTTGGAGTGAACAAAATCTTCAGGAAAATGGTGATTTCAAAACAGAAACATTTTCCTTTGCATGTAATATATTTTTCAGAAGAGTGCAACAAGAGTGAGATGTTATGTTGACTTATGCTTACACGTAGGATAACGTTTGCCATTAACCTGATGTTGCTTTTTATATTTAGATTGAAAAGACTGCTGGCGTTTTAGTTCAAAGAGCAGGGATTTACATGGAGTCCTGTATTTGCGGGTCCCTGGGACTCATATTCTCAATTTTCAGGGGTCCTATAGACAACAAAATAGGGGTCCCAGACACTTAAATATTATTATCAATACTGTTATCGTATTGTGTATCATGATCATGACATTGTTACAGTAAATAAATTGCAAATAATACCATAACTCAGCTAATAGCAAACGCCGTATTGTTACTTGATTGGAATTTTTACAAACAGTATTTGGACTTTTTCTCAGTCCCTTTGGACGCGCTAATAAATTTTGATGCGTCCATTGTCAATTTTTATTAGTATAGGACGCAGGAATTCGATTCCTGTTAATCCCTGAAAGATCTAACTGTACAGCAGGGGCGGTGGGGTGGCCTAGTTGTTAAAGCGTTCGCTCGTCAAGCTGAAGGCCCTGGTTTGATTCCCCACATGTGAAGCCCATTTCTGGTGTCCCCCGCCGTGATATTGCTGGAATATTGCTAAAAGCGGCGTAAAACCCAACCCACTCACTCTGAACAGCACAGTAAAATGTTGCCGTTTTGGCACTGCTGTTTTCCACTGTTACGTTTCTGTATACGTTCTCATACAAATCGAGCATCGTCATTACTTACATAGTCGAGCATCTGGCTCTACAACCGGTGTTTTCTCGGATTCGTCTACAGTCTGTGAAGAAGTCTCAGTCCGGGGTTGGTCACTTTGTGAGGGCGGATCGACCACGCTCTCTTTGGGGTCCACGCTCTCTTTGGGGTCCACGCTCTCCTCCAGGTCTCCATCTTCTTCCCGTCCATCCTTGGCGTTCACAACTACGCCTGAATCATTTGGAATGTTAATAATAAACAAAACAAACGCCATTTCCAAACGCTACCCAGCGTGACGACCTCACAACATTGAGTTTGATTTCCGGGTTCACCGCCTATCATGAACTTGGTTCCATCTATAGAGAAAAGGTCAAGCTCATTTGCGTTTTACTATGCCATAACCAGATTTACAGGCGGTGTTATACTATATTTGTTCCTTGTGATATATAAAGCAGTGTTCACCCTAACACCGCTGGTGTTGCTGCTGATGTGCAGCCAATGTTCAGTTTACTTGGTTAAAAATATGATGCAAATTCTGGGTAAAATTCTATAGCTTATGATGTTTTTCTGTGTTCATGTTTTTTGAAGCTGCTTAAAAGCCAGCTCAAGAGGGCTGAATGTTAATGTTGGCTAATTATTTTGTTTGTTTGAACATATTTTATTCAGTGTTGAAATGGATTGGGCACAAGTTATGTAACTTATTACCGCCCGCTCCCATCAGAAACATGAACAATGATGAACAATAATGGTTGGACGTAATGGATGGACATAATAATATTGAGACATATTATTGATTAATTGAAGCGCTTACTTCGTATAATGTATTTATGCACATGTCTAAAGATATTTTCATTGATAGTATTTGGCAGAGCAGGGTTGCCGTAAAGAATGGTATCAATGTCTAACTGAACTTTTGATAGTTCAAAGTCTTTCTTCAGATCAAAACGGCAACTGACAAATTTTGGACATTTTAAGAAGAAATGGTTAGCATCTTCCACCGGAGCACCACAATTGCAAGCTCTACTCTCCGATGGATTAACACGAAACAGATCTGCTTGTAATGAACTACACGAATGTCTTAACTTCGTGTGTAGTATATTTGTCTTTCTTTCACCAAATAGAAAATATTTTGGAACCTTGTAATTATTTCCAGATAACTTTGATTTAAACGATGATAATGAATTTGTATATTTTGTTGTAGAGGAGAGAGCATTCCATAAACTTTCAGAATCATAAATAAATGACTTTTGAAGAAAAAAGGTGCGAAATTTAGGAACAGCCAAATCTGATTTGTTACGCAAGTTGTATCCGGAAATGGTTTCAGTAAAAGATGGAAGTAAATCTATCAGGTAATCAGGAGCTTGCATAGTAACAATTTTGTAGAATGTACAGAGTTTCCTTTTATGTTCGTCTAACTTTCAATGGTAACCAACCAGTTTCACTGTATAAACTATATCTTGAAGCGAATTTAGGCAATCCGGTTACAATTCTTGCTGCTTCAAGTTGTAACATTTCAAGTTTATCACAAATATAGCTAGGGCAATTATCCCAGACCTCAGATGCATATTCTAAAATAGGCCTAATATACATTTCGTACATACTAGAAAGGATATATCTAGGTAATACGTACTTTAGCGTCCGTAATGAGGAAACAATTTTTGCGGCCTTTTCTATTACAGCAGATACATGATGAGACCATTTTGTATTATCTGAAAAGATGACACCGAGGTGTTTATGTTGATGTACACGTTCCAAATGTTCATTATTGAAAATCAAGTCAGGAACTTGTGGACAATTTCCATTTTTAAAAAGCATGAATCTGGTCTTGTTCGGGTTAAACTTAACTAACCATTTGTCAGCCCATTCATTCAATTTTGCTAAATCATAGTTAAGAGTAGCTTCTATGGTTTTACATCTTTTCCTGCAACACCAATTGAAGTGTCGTCGGCAAACAGTCTTGTGACATTTGTTAGAGTTTCAGGTAAATCATTGATGTACACAAGGAACAAAAATGGACCAAGGACAGATCCTTGAGGAACTCCTGCAGTAACATTTAGTTCTTTTGATAATGTACCATTGATGGAAACACTCTGTCGTCTATCAGATAAATAGTTGATTAACCGACTAAGTAAATGCCCACGAACACCATAATTTTCTAATTTGAGCAATAGCCCTTTATGCCACACCCTGTCAAAGGCCTTTGAAATGTCACAAAAAATCATACAATAAAGGTGATGAGTATCTAGAGCTGAACATATATTGTGATAGATTTCAATGAGTTGAGTTGTGGTAGAGTGGTTTGTAGTAAAACCTGATTGATATTTTCTTAAAATGCTATGTTTATTGAAATGGTTATGTAAATGCTTTAAAGGTCACATGCAACCAAAAAATCAAACATAATTAATACACAATTATCACTTATTTAGGACATATAATATACATTGCTGGTTATGAAAAAACATATAAACAAAATTATAAGCGTACAATCGCAAATCAAAAGTGCAATATTGTGTACTTCGGTTTACTTCCCAAGAAAGGAAGCAGCCGGGATACCGAACCCAGTCAGAGCGGGTGGGTGTGCACTCAAGTGTAACGGCTGGTTCATTTGCGTATGCCCTCACGGCTTATTGTGTGTGTATATATAGAGATGTTGGGTTTTGTAAATACATGCTCATTTTTTGTGTATAACATTTTGCAATCAACAGACATCATAACATGTCATGTGTTCAAGTATCACACCTGCCTGTCTGTGTAATTACATAATGTGACAGAGACCGAACTCGGGCCATAAATCAATGCATTTTGTTTATTGTGTATAGCCTGATTGGTGTTAAGTTCAAATTGCATGTGGTCAGTGATAGCAGTTGTGTATTAAATATTGTCATTAGCAGACAGGCAGGCAGACACACAGGTGTCAATAAAACAAGACATTGAGTTTTGTCTGTGACAACGACATATCTATATCACAGTTAGAAATTCTGTCAACGCTAAATAATGACATTGCTTTTAAGTATCGAACAGAGAAAGTGACTCGGTAAGAAGAACGTGTGGTGAAATTATATAAACAGTTTATTTACTGTCATAACATATAAAAAGCTCGCGCCTGTGAGATATCAACAAAACATTAGAAAAATAGCTCACACCAAAGCCTTCACCGAGTATTCATTCTCGGACAACCCAGCTCGTATTCCCCAAACTGCGCGAACCTATTTGACGACTGCGCACGTGCTATGATCGCAGCCCAGACCTGTTGAAACATCTTTTTTTGCCCCGCCAAAAGTCTCGGGGAAAATTAGTGAAACGTTTGAACTCCGATTTCGCGCGATAATTTTTGGAAACATCTGTCGCGTTATTTTTCACACTTTATAAGTTGAATTTGCATTTTGACGATTTGTTTTGGTAAGTCCATAGGTGATGAAAGGTATCAGAATCTGCAAATGGTAGAGTGGTGTAGTAAAACCTGATTGAAATTTACGTTGCATGTGACCTTTAACATTATTTTTCAAATGTTTTCCCGAGGATAGATAATAAACTTATGGGTCTGTAATTAGTAGGGAGGGATTTATCTCCTTTTTTGAAAATAGGGATAATATTGCCTGTTTTCCAAGCTGAAGGAAAAACACACTGACTCAGAGAAATATTATACAGTAAACAAAGAGGTTCAGCTATTGATGTACAAATTCGTTTTAACATTCTCATATTAATACCATCAGGTCCACTAGCTTTGTTTGCTGGTAAAGTCTTAATCATATCCGATACTTCCTTTTCAGGAACACTAACGCATGTAATGCTGTTAGGACAGCGATGGCTAACATATGGTAAAGTCTTGCCCTCATCATTGATATTGGAAACAGATACAAAATATTTATTCAACGTTTGGGCTTTGTCAATGTCTGTAAATGCTGAAGGTATTCCGGAATCATCAGTTACGAGAGGGGGAATGGGTCCTGGTGAAGTAGAACCTTTCAACAAATAATTAAAAACCTTCCAATAATCTGCTGATTGAGTAGAGTGAGAAGATAAAAAACTACCTAAATTCGAATAAAAATTTTCCTTGGTTAATTTGTTAAGATTGTTTACTTTATACCTCTGCTTTTTGAATTTAGAATTTAGATACAGTATTCAGTATCTTCCTTAAACGGTCTCTTTTTCTAATTTCTCTCCGAAGTTCACTGTCAAACCAAGGTTTGTCTTTAGGTCTGACTGTAATGGTCTGGGTTGGGATACATCTAACCATATATTCTTTAAGCAGAGAAGTAAATATTACACAAGCGTCGTTAACATTTGGAGTTTTAGAGAAAATACTCTCCCAATTAGTTTCCCTAATCAGATTATTAAAGCATCATAATTACCGTTGTTATACAACCAAACTTGTTTCTTGTATGCACTGTTGACATTTACATAGCTTGAAAGATAGACATAGGTTCCCTTGTGATCACTAATATTTGATGTTAATTCAACGACCCCTGCGTCTTTGTATAAACAATCATCAGATAAAAGAATGGGATCAATCAAGGAGGATGAGACGGGCGTTACTCTTGTAGGTTCAGTAATAACATTTTGTAGGTTGTAGTGAATAATCAGGTCACGTACGTTGTGAACATGAGTACCTAAAAGATCTTGGTTAAAATCTCCCAGCAAAACCATGTGTTTTGATATATCAAGAGCAGAACTAATTGAATTATCCAATGAATTCCCAAAACATGACCCAGTGTTAGGTGGACGATATGACACACATAACATTAAACATTTATAAGGCAAAAATATCTGGAACCACATCATTTCATACATAGGTGTTTCTAAATCCTGTCTTCGGTGACCATGAATAGGCTACGTACTGTTGACGCATCATACACAAATGATATTATTGAGACATCTCACATTACAATATAATGAGCAAAATTTAGGCTTTTAAAAGCAAAGTAAAGAAGCCGAGCTGTGAACATGTTTGCCTCAACCAGGTTCTATGTTTGTTTCTTTATTGTTTAACGCCGCAATCAGCAATATTCCAGCTGTGTGGAAGCGGTCTGTCAAGAGTCTGGACCAGACAATCCAGTGATCAACATAATAAGCATCATTGGGATACGATGCCATGTGAGAGAGAGAGAGAGTGTTTTAAGCCGCTTTTAGTAATATTAGATTAACTACCTAGCAACTTGCAGATTGCCAACAGCGTTTAACCAGATAGTGGGTAGACGGTTGGCTGGTACAACATATTCCGGTCACTCATGAGAGAATGAACATGTACAACAATGAATAACAATATTTAATTTTATTTATTTAATTTTGTTTTATTGTCTTTTTTTCAGAAACCCCTGTTACAAATTGGGGCTGCAGCCCAGGGAAGCAGAAACCCCATTGAAGTGAAAAGAGATTGAAGCAA